CCTGTCGTGACCTTCCTTTCAGCCCTGCTTTTTCTGAGACGCCGTCCCTAACTTGTCAGTCCTTCCTTGAGCTCCTAAGGCTCCTGACCACCGGCCCGCTCACCCTGTCCTGGGCACAGGGTGCAGGGGGCTGTGCCGGTGTGCCCATTGCTCTCCGCTCCGCACCCCTCCAGAGGGCAGCCCCTTCCCAGCGGGCCACACCCAAGTTGCTCAGAGTCCCCCACCTCTGTCAGCCTGGACTTGGCACGGCTCCATGCTGTTCCTCTGCCACGCTCTCCCCCACCCCACTCACTACCCTATCACCATTTGCCCCTTGGGTGCACGCAGACCTCACCGCCCCACACCCCAGCCCCCGGCAGGCGCTCCCCCGCCCCCTTGCACTTGAGCGCGCCTGCCTCCAGGCTGCACCGTCTCTGTTCTTGTACTGGCTTCTGTTTTTGCCTTGAGCACATCATATTTTTCTCCCCCACTGCATTGTGACTTCATAAAGAACAGACTGGCATCTTACCCACTTTTGAATCCCAGCCAAGAACAAATGGTGGTTTAGCCAAAGTGAAGAAGCGCGGAGGCCCGCGTACTCCCTGACGTCTGAGCTTGTGTCGCCTCCTCCGTGAAGCTCCTCCGACTTCCCCCGGGGTGAGACCAGGAGCGCCTTGTAATCATCAGGCGAGCATTTGCGCGTAAAGGAGTGAACGCATGGACTGAGCATGAGCTCCTCGAGGGCCGGATGGCCTCGCCTTCATCTTCGCACCCTGCACCTCCGCGGGCCCTGCCACAGAGCCCTGAAAATGCCTGGGTCTCGGTGGCACCCTCAGCTGTATGGGCTCCAAGACACCGTGGGGCCAGAGGGGAAGGTGAGGAGAATTCCAGGTTCCAGAGCATTGCCGGCCCAGCGCATGAGGGCTCCCAGGACTGGGGCATGGCGTGTGGGCCGGGCTTCCCTCAGAGCTGCCCAGAGGTTCCCTCTGCGTGGGGTCCTGGCCCATCCCGCCCCCTCTCTGGCCTTGCCCTTGGGGAAGGCTGGCTAGGCTGTGCCCTGGCCTGCCCATGACCCCCAGCCTTCCTTTACCCACCAGTCTGCCCGCCGCCTCCCCAGGCAGGAGGATTAGGGCTGGGCTGTGCTTCCACCTGGCCTGAAGCACAGATGTGCCAGCCTCCGTGCCAGGCACCGGGCGGGAGCGTGAAGCAGCCCAGTTCAGTCCCCTCAGAAGCACACACCTCTGCCTGGCCCAGGTACCAGCCCGGCTTGACCTGTGCCCTGATCTTACTCCTCGGCCCTTCACCAGCCTGCTAGCCCCCAGGTGCAGAGGCTGCTCCCCTCCCCCGCCTTCCCACCGCTCCAGCATCCCTTGGACCTTCCAAGTGGCCCCTCTGCCTCCCTGCCTCCCCTGCCACCTCCGCCTGCAGCCCCTCCGCATGCTGGGCCGCCTTCCCTGACTCTGGCCATCCTGCGCACGGGCCCCACTGCTGCATTTTCAGCGGCCGCTCTGGGTGGCGGCAGTGTGGTAGGCCCCTTGTTTCCACACAACCGTGCCCCAGGAGTTGAGTTGCGGACCCCTGGTTGAGGTCCCCAACCCTTGAGGGGGGTGAGGAGATGAGCACGTAGGCCCTCGCCCCTGGTTCAGCACCCAGCCTCAGGGACTGGGATGCCCAATAACTGGGCAGGGGCAGAAGCCTCGCAGGAGGCGGATGCCCGCTGCCCAGTCGTTCCGGTGGCCAGAGCTGAAGCTGCTAAGTCAGAAGGTCCTGAGCAAGGGCAGAAAAAGGTAGCTCTCGCTACTGGGTGGTTACATTGCCCCAAGGGAAGGTTGGAGGAGAGGGGGAGGGGCGTTGGGGAGGCAAAGACAGAGAAGAGGAATTGGGTCAGGGATGTGGGTGGGTGGGTGAGAGGGGACGCGGGCATCTGCCGCAGAGCTTCCTCCTGGCTCCCAAAGCATCTCCACACTTCCCTTCCTATCCCCTCCCCCCAGGTCCTGGGAGAATTCACCCCGGTATTCCCCCTCCCCCATGCCCCCGCCCCAGGCGTTGCCACAGGGTGGGGGGTGGGGGGAGGCCAGCCTCAGCTGTCTGAAGGATGGAGGGGCTGGGGAAGTAGGGCTAGGTGCCCAGACGGCCGCGTGTGTGGGAGGGGATGTCCTCAGATGCCCTCCACCCGGCAGTCCCCGCTCTGACGTGGGTGCCCCCCCTCTCCCCGCCCGGATTAGTGGCAGCTTGGCCTGACTCTCCGGGGCTCCTTCCCCCGCCCTGCCTGCTGCCCTCCCCTTGGCAGGGGGCTGCTCCACCCGAGGGGCACTGTGCTTGCCCAGGTAAGGGGCTCTGGGGACAGCGTGAGGGCAGCTGGCTCGTGAGTGCTGCTGTGCTTGTCAGCATGAATGTGCGTCTCAGTGCGTCTGTGTGCATGTGTCAGTGTGTGAGGGGTTACCGTGGGGCCGAGTGGGCCCATGCGTGCCTGGGGGTGCTGGTCAGCTTGCTTTTGTCCACGAGTCCAGCACTGTGTCCACGCGTTGTGTGGCTTTCCTTCTGTGTTTGTGTCTTTTGTATGTCTCCTCAGCTCTGCTCCGTCCTCAGGCACAGAAGAGCCGGCTACCAGGGCTCTGAGGGCCTGGGGCTCTGGCCGTGAAGCAGGATGGGAAGCTGGGTGAGGGTGGAAAGGGGCTCCTGCCCCCGCCCCACGCCCTCTGACCCCCTGGGCATTTCAGGAGCCTGTCCTGAGAGTCCTGGTCTGATCTAGAGACCGTGACCTGACAAAGGAGACATGGCAACTGGGGTGGGGTGGTGGGAGGTGTCTGTCCATGCTCCTCTAGGACAGTCCCCATCCGCTTTGCGGATGACAGTGGCAGGCCCTAGGGCCCTGGACCGCCCAGGCTCCCACCCTGCCCTGCCCAACCTCCTCTAGGCCCCAAGCCACAGGAATCTCCCCCAGACTCTCCCACAAGCTTCAGTTGCCAGAGGACAGGGATGGGGGACCACAGGCACCCCAGCCCCCATCCGCACCCTGGAGAAGCTTGGGAGCGGGAGGCTGGGGGCTGGGGTCTTGGGACTGCAGTCCGTGGTGGACCCTTCACAACCACAGGCCCTGGCACACTCAGGTCTGGCCACCCCTCAGGGGAGCTGGGGGAGGAAGGCAGTGCTAATAACTCAGGCAAGTAAACAACCCCTGCCAGCTTGCCCAGCCGCAGAACTGGCCCCTGGGGGGGGCGGGGGGGCAGAGAGAGTCCACCCCAACCTGCGCCAGGTCCTGCCCGGGCCAGCCCCCTCGGACCTTCTCTCCTCTCCGACCCCCCTCCTTCCCCCAGCTGGTGAGAGGACCCCCGCCTCCCCTGCAGGCTCCTGGAGGGAAGGCTCCCTCCCTCCGGGCCCTCCTGGCTGTCCTCTCCAGGGATGGTGCTGTGACCCGGGACTCATTCGGGCACCGGAGAGCTCATCCCTTCCAAGGGATGGGGTGGGTGGGGTGCCGCTGCCTCCCTCGCGTCACAGGCTGGGTGAAGGCAGGCCAGGGACAGCTTCCACAGGGAGGCAAGGGAATCTCGGGGTGGGAGGTGGGCGCCTGAGGGGAAGGGAAGCGCCCGTTGGGCGTGTGGGTTTCTGTGTGTGTCTGAATCTGTCTGTGTGTGTTTGAATCTGTCTGTTTGTGTCTGTGCTCTGGAACCACCCCCGCAGAGGAGCCGGGATGCTTCCTCGGGTGGAGGGTGCCCTGCTTTCCCATTTCCTCTCCTCCCCCTGTTCCCTCCCAGCAGCCACTCCCGTGGGCTCCTCTCCAGAGCTGGGCCTGGAGCGCTCGGAACAGGGATGGGGCAGACCCCCAGAATGTGAGTCTGGAGCAGGTGGTGGAGCTCAGCTGGTCCCACCAGACACTTGGTGACACTGAGGCCCTTAGAGCAGGGACAGCTCAGAGCCTGGGCCTCTCAGAGCTGCTAACACGGGAAACCGTGCCACTGGGCCCGGGAGGGGGCTTGGGTCAGAAGGTGAAGAGCAGCTCGGACAGGTGAGGAGGAGGAGGCCGGACAGACACCGCCAGCGGGGTGTGCCCATGTGCCAGAGCTGGAGAGGACTCCCAGGCGCGAGTGGTCCAGCAGGCACAGGGCCGGCTGGCGTGGGTCAGAGCGCCCATCACTGACCCGTGAGAACCCGACTGCCCCTGCCAGCTCTGGCACTGTCCCCTCCCAGCCGCCTGCTCTAGCACCCCAGGGGGGCACCCCGCCCCACCGTGGCCTGGTCCGGCCCCTCCCGCCCTTTGCTCCAGTTCCCGGGCTTGGCACCTAGAGTGGGGGTGCTGCCCGCCTGCTAGGCTCCGGGGCCGGGCCCACGGGAGGGTGGGGCGGCTGGGAAGCTGGCACGCTGCCCCCGGGGAGCCTCTCTCGGCAGGCGCCCGGGTGCCGCGGGGGGAGGGGGGAACAAAGGGCTCATTCTCCCCGTGCGCAGCCGGTGGCATCGCCGGGGCGTTGGCGGAAGCCCCCGGGGCCTGGGAGGGGGGCAGGCCCAGGCGGGGCCGCCGAATCACGGGCTCCTGTTTCCCGCAGGGTGCTGGAGGAGGAAACCGGCGGAGCAGCTTCCCCACTCTCAGTTGCGCGTCTGGCGATGGCGATCAGAGGTCCTGCTGCGCTCTCTGCTGCGCTCTCCCTCCATTAGCCGCGCTGCGCCGCTTTGCGCCCTCGCTGGTGCCTCTCTCCTGGGTCCCGGGATCGGCGCCCCCTTCCAGGCACGACCCCCTCCCCCGGCCCCTCGGCCTTCCCCCCACTCGGCTGTCTCCGACCCGGGGCGCGTGTTCCCCCCGGCCCGGCTCCCTCTCCCTCCGGGGACACCGTTCCCTAGCCCCAGCCCGGCCCTCCCCGCGGCGCAGCACGGAGTCTCCGCGTCCCATGGCGCAACCCACGGCCTTGGCCCAGAAGCTGGTGCGGCCGATCCGCGCCGTGTGCCGCATCCTGCAGATCCCGGAGTCTGACCCCTCCAACCTGCGGCCCTAGAGCGCCCCCGCCGCCCCGGGGGAGAGAGAGCGCCAGCGCGCTGAGCACGGAGTGCCGGGGAACCAGGCCTCGCCCGCCGGCCGGGAGGCCCCGGAGCCGGCCCATGGGGAGCGGGCGCCCGGTGCCGGCCCCGACGACCGCCGCCGGAGCCGCACCCTCCCTGTGAAGCCCAGGTAAGCGCCGAGAGGGGGCGCCAGGAGGGCGCCTTCGGGGACGCCGAGCTGAACCCGAGCCTCAGCAGGGAATGAGCTCACCGTGCTCCTCTGGGCTGGGCCGTGCATCCGAAAGTTAGGGTGCCCGACGGGGCTGGACCGCGTGTGAGCGGTGGCCCCAGAAAACCCGAGAGCTCTCAGTCCCGGCTCCTTCTCCTCCCTCCTGCGGCTTCACCCAGTCGGCCTAGGGGGCCACGAAGAGGGAGCGCTTAGGCTCTCATGCCACCTGTCATCCTGGTCCTTTGCACGCACGTTCAATTTTCCCTCCTTTGCCTCTCTCTGGGGCGCAGCCCGCTTTCCCCGCCTCCTTCCCTCTCCCCGCCAGCCTGCAGTTACTGCGGGCCGCCGTGGCCCTGGAACTGCCCGCTGGACTAGGGTAGCTTGACCCATCGCAGCGGAAGCCTCTTAATCCCCCTCCCCTGTGCTGGCTCTCTCCTTCCCTGGGTGGCGGCGCCAGCGCGGTGGAGACCCCAGTCCCCAGCAGTGCCCTGGGACTCGGCTTCAGAAGCCGAAAAAGCATAGAGCGCTGGGAAGAGGCAGAGATGGGCTGCCCCAGTATGGGACGCAGCACCAAACTGCAAGCCGGCCTGGTGGCTCCCTCAGTGACTCCAGCCCGTACCTCCCACCCCACAAGCCTGGGTGGGGCTGAGGGGTGGGGTGGGGGCAAGCGGCACCCCCAGAACCACAGGCGGCAATGTGGGAAGAGGCCTCTGAGACCGCAGCTTTCCAAGCCCTGTTTTACACAATGGCATGCCGAGGTCCAGAGGAGTGACTGAGTGACTTGCCCAAGCCCCAGCAGGTGACTGAGTCACAGCCGGAACCAGTCTTCTTGTCCCTAGTGCAGCGATTTCCACCAAGCTCATCTTTTGGGTTCTTGTCCCCATCCTTCCTCATGGCTTGTGACCAGGTTCCAGGCTCTGCGAGGAATGTCATCCCAGAAATAGCAGCCTCTGCCGAGGGGCTCTGACCAGGGAGGGCAGTCGCATCCCATGTGTTTGAGGGCAGGAGTGACCTTTCGCACTGCCGTGTCCCTTCCAGGCGGGTCCTCAGGCCGCGTGTGGGTAGGCAGCGTGGAGCCCGGCTGTGGGCTGGCACTTGCCTTACTGGTTTGAGCCGCCTTGATGCTGCCAGGGCGGGGCCCGCTCTGTACTGGGCAGCCGGGCGCTTGGGGCAGGTGCCTACAAAGCTTGTGTTTTGGTGGTTCTGCTCCAGGGACCCCTTGCGGGAGAGCCCCATGAGGGCAGAAGAGTGATGGAGAGTACGCCCAGCTCCCTGAAGGGTGCCCCAGCCTGGCAGAAGACAGCCCCTGAGAACGGCGTCGTGGGCCGGCAGCCGAACACGCTGCCGCCAGAGGGCCTGCGCCATGGGGCGCTGTGCCTGGGAGAGTCGGCTCCCTTCTGGAGGGGTGTCCTGAGCACCCCAGACTCCTGGCTTCCCCCTGGCTTCCCCCAGGGCCCCAAGGACACGCTCCCACCCGTGGAGGGTGAAGGCCCCCGGAATGGGGAGAGCAAGGCCAGCTGGCTGAGCAGCAAGGAGGGGCTGCGCTGGAAAGAGGCGATGCTCACCCATCCGCTGGCATTCTGTGGGTCAGCGTGCCCACCGCGCTACGGCCCCCTGATTCCTGAGCATAGCAGCGGCCAAGCAAAAAGTGACCCTGTGGCCTTCCGGCCCTTGCACTGCCCCTTCCTTCTGGAGACCAAGATCTTGGAGCGAGCTCCCTTCTGGGTGCCCACCTACTTGCCACCCTACCTAATGTCCAGCCTGCCCCCAGAGCGCCCATGTGACTGGCCCCTGGCCCCGCACCCCTGGGTGTACTCGGGGGGCCAGCCCAAAGTGCCCTCTGCTTTCAGCTTAGGCAGCAAGGTGAGTGCTGGAGCAGGTCATGCGAGGTGGCTCGGCAGTCCGCAGGGAGCCCTGCCAAGGCCACGCCACACTGCCCCTCCGTTCCCAGGCAAAGGCAAGGCAGCACCCCGACAGGGGAGCCTGAGCCTGTCGGCCCAGACCAAGTCAACACCAAGCAGCTCTCCTAGGCCTCCCCTGCCCTCAGGCCATTTCCGGGGCTGACTCATCCATTGTCCACTCAGAACAAGGCCCTAGGAACTGGGGCCTCAGAATGTGTGATCTTGTCCTGAGCAAGGGGACAGACAAAGCGGTCTCCCTGGGAGAGGGATGTGCAGGCAGCCCTGTGGCCGAGTCTAGGACACCTCCCCCACACGCAACGGCGCTGCCCGGGATGAGATCTAAGCTGCTCTCAACCCAGTATGGCACAGGGCAGCAAACGATCTGGATAGGCCCTGGCGGCCCTTGGGCGGTGGCAGACACTCCCCCTTCGGGGGCTGGACAGTGGGGAGGTCTGAGGAATGCTGGGGGGTGACCTGGGGATGACCAGGGCAGCGGGGTGGCACGTGGGAGCAGACCGTTAACCAGTAAATGAGCCCTTCGCGGTTTTCCCAGCCCTCAAAGCCACACAGACACACACCTGCTGGTGGTCAGTTTGTTCGTTGTTTAAAGCCCTGGAACCAGCGTCAGCACTAGCTTAATCCTTTCCCCTCTCTTCAGGGCTTCTACCACAAGGATCCGAGTGTTCTCAGGCTGGTGAAGGAGCCGTTGGCGGCTGTGGAGCCGGGCTTGCTGGGCTTAGCCCCTGGCGGGCCTCCCCAGAGAAGCGGGGAGGCGGAGTGCCCTCCGCTCCACCAGAGGGACGGAGAGACAGGCCTCGGCCGGCATCAGAATCTTTGCCCCCTTCTCCTGGGACATCCAGACACTGCTCCCCAGACCCCCTGGCCTACTTGTCCCCCAGGCCTGGTTCATACTCTTGGCAACGTCTGGACTGTACCAGGGAGTGGGGGCCTGGGGTACCCGCTGGGGCCATCGGCCACATCCAGGTGCCCCTCTCCTGGGCCTGCTGCTACCTCGAGGGCCTGTTGCTCATCCCGCCCGCCTGTTGGGGAAGGAGGCCTTGGCCCCTGTGGGAGTTGCCAGGGGGACCTGGAGGGAGGCGCCAGGGGGGCTGGTGCGTCCAGCGAGGAAGCCAGCAAGGGCTCTGGTCCCCGGGCCTGCCTGCCCAGCCACCACACCAAGCTGAAGAAGACGTGGCTCACGAGACACTCTGAGCAGTTCGGGTGCCCAGGCGACTGCCCTGGGGAGGAGGAGAGCCCAGTGGCCCCCCTTCGGGCCCTCAAGCGGGCAAGCAGCCCTGAGGTCCAGGGAGTGGCAGGCAGCCCGGCCGCCAAGCGCCCCCCTGACCCTTTCCTGGGCAGTGCGGGGCAGAGGGCCAGAGATCAGCAGGACGTCCCGGACTCGTCATTGGGGAACAAGGCGGAGGCAGGACAGCGTGAGGACCACAGAGGTAAGCGGGCAGGAGAGGGGCTGCAGGGGGCCTACTTGGGAGGGGGCAGCTAGGCCGGGAGCTCTGCAAGGGGGCCGGGTCGGGAGGCCCCTTATGGGTGGATCGTACCAGCATCTGGTGGGAGTTCCTCAGCATCTACAGGCCAGAGCCGTCAAGCTAGTGGCTTCTATTTCTGTCTGCCTCCTCCCAAGCCATGGCGTGTTGGTGGCAGTGTAATGACATGGTTCAGAGCCTGGGCCCTGGAGTTAGAGTGCCTGGGTCCTGACTTTGCTGACTGGTGGCCGCATGACCTTGATCTTGGGCCGGTTGCTTCGCCTCTCGTGCCTCAGTTTCTTCATCTGTAAAATGGGGATAAAGAGGACACCTCCGTCATAGACTGCTGCAAAGATTAAATGATATAACCCACAGAAAAGGCTTTGAAGAATTTCCTGCACTTGGCACTCCGTAACTGCTCACCTTTACGATTATCTGTGCCACGAACCCCTGCCTGAAGGGCTGCCTGTCTGGAAGGACCCCCGTCCTGCCTCAGGAACAAACAGCTGCCCTCCTAGCCAGCTGGACCACGGACACTCACTTTGGACTCTGCCAGTGTTAGGACTGTGGGCACACCCTGGATGCCTCTATCACACTGCGCCCTTCACAGAGGGGTCTGGCGCTAAAGGCCTCAGCCTCGGTTCTGTGGGATCACCGCAGGCCCTCGGCCCCCTGAGCCGCCAGGCTTGGAGGCGGACTCCCGATGGGCTTGCCCAAGCACCCTGCACCTGGTTGTGGGTCTGTCCACACTCTCCTAGGCCTGTGTCTGGGCTGGGAAGCTGTTGGTCCCTTAACCTTCTTGGGTTACTGCACCTGTGGCCTGTGTCGAAACTCTCCGGCCTTCTCACCTTCCAGCGCCCTCCGGCCACGCTGGGATTGTCTCCTCACACTGTCACGCAGCCAGCGGCATTGTTAAGCCCACGGCGGAGCTATCCAGAGTCTACACTGGCTGGATCCCGCACGCGGGTCAGGACTGTCACCCGTGCTGCCCCGGCCCTGGACTCAGTGCCCCCGACCCTCCTTGCAACCTGTCAGTCACGTCAGGCTGTTGCAAGGCTCCTCTTGCAGACTTTTTCTGTGAAGCTTCTAGCTGCCTGGTCTGCTCTCACTGGTTCCAAGTCAGGCCTTGTGGGCCTGGATCTAAGGCCTGGGGTGGTTCTATGTGTGGATGGCTGGGTGCTAAGATGGGGCCTGGGGTTTGCACAAGCCCAGACCCCTGACCAGCCTCATTGCCCCCTTAGGACCCCGAGACGGCAGGGCCAGCTTCCAGGAGCCAGGGCATCAGGATGCACCGTGCTCAGCTCCCCCTGCAGGCGCCGCTCAGTGCCAAAGCTGTACCCAGGCAGCAGGCGAGGTGGGAGGGCTGGCTCGCCACTCCCAGCAAGTGCCCAGGTAAGCCCTTGCCCGGGGATGTCCCCAGGGATGTCCCCGCATCCTCCCACTCGGGGCTCCCTCCTCACCTCCCTCTTCCCCGTCTCCAGATGGTCTCTGGGAGGGGAGCAGCGGCAGGAGGAGGACTCAGCAGCCAGCTCCTGGGAGGGAGGAGGGTCTGGCCCAAAGGCCGGGCTCAGCGTCGGCCTTGCCAAGCACCTGCTGAGCGGTTTGGGGGACCGACTGTGCCGCCTGCTGCGGAGGGAGCGGGAGGCCCTGGCCTGGGCACAGCGGGAAGGTGAGCAGCACTCGTAGGGCACTGGGGACCCCAGGAGAGCCCGGCGCCCTCCCAGGGAGCAGGGGGACCTCCGGGGGGACCCCCTTCCTCCCGCCAGCACCGCCCGTCCCGCTTTGCCCTTGTCCCGGCCAAGGCTTTCAGGCACCATGTTTTCTGAAGTTTCTGGCCTGGGTGGGGGATGTTAGGAAGGTGTAAAACTTGGTCCAGCCCAACTGCCTAAGAGCTTTGGGGCTTGTTGGGGAAACAAGACTGAGTGCCAAGTGTCTGTGAGAGCCCTTGAAGGTGGGGGGAGGGCTCCCTGCGGAGGAGCACAAGAGAAAGGCCTCTTGGGTGGTGAGGCTCCCGGCAGGAGAAGGGAGACTGGTTGGCTTTGGGCTGCTGACTGAGACTGTGGGGCCCCTCTGGCTCCAGGCTGTACCTCCTGCCTCTGCTTCCTGGCACCTCGAGAGCAGTCTGTTGGGGAAAACCCAACCCGGCGATCCCTCACTTCTGGGTGGAGGCCCATTGGTGGCTCCCTCTTGTCCCAGGAAGTCCAGCCCCTGCCGCTTTCATCAGCCCCTGCCACTCCCTGAACCCAGGTTCCCGGCACAACACGTCAGCGTCCGGCCTGCGCGCCCTCCCTGGCTCACACGGGCTTGTCCACCCCCGCCGGCCTTGGCGCGCTCTGTTCCTTCTGTCTGGAAGGCCTTCCTCCTCCCTGTCTACCTGGTGAATGAGAACTTACTCATCACTCAGGCCAATTTGCGAGCCTGCCCCCCATCCCTACCCTCTGCCTTCCGTTCCATTGTCACGCCCCAGCACCCACCCCGGGGTGCTTCATCGTTGCTGTGTTTATGGGTCCATCTCCCCTTGGAATGTGAGCACTGGGTGGGCAAGCGCCAGGTCCTGGGTGGGCTGGCCCAGAACAGGGCAAGGGTTTGCTGAATGAATAAATGAACATTTGCTCACTGGCGTCCTTGCACCTACCGGCGAGGGCCTAGTCGGAAGCTCTGGCTGAGGGAAGACACGGCCGTGTAAGCCTTCCTCTTCTGATGCAGTCTCCCCTGAAGACAGCCAGCTCGGCAGAGGGGTGGGGGACGGGTGGGTGAAGAAATGTGTTGGAAACGGTGTGCATTGGTATTCAGGGGCCGAAGGGAAAATCCTGGGGCAAGAACTGGGGAGGCGGGGCCTGCCCCCTCCCTGAGAGGGCTGGCAGGAGACAGCGGTGCCTCGGGAAAGTTCTCGATGGGGGTGGGCGTCGCCTCAGCGGGGCATCTGTGAGGGGCCTGGCTCCCTTCCGGGGCGGCAGAGCGCGCGGGGGAAACTGCTCCTCCTTCTTCCCAGTCCCGCCTGGAGGCCTGCCACACGAGGGCCTGTGGCGGGAGCCCCCTCTGACCCTGTCCTCTCCCATGGTCCGCAGGCCAGGGGCCAGCCAGGACAGAGGACAACCCAGGCATTCCAGGCTGCTGCAGCCGCTGCCACCACGGACTCTTCAACACCCACTGGAGATGCCCTCGCTGCAGCCACCGGCTGTGTGTGGCCTGTGGTCGCGTGGCGGGTGCTGGGAGGGCCAGGGAGAAAGCAGGTAGGGAAGGAGCGGGCCGAGGGGGGGAGGGCAGGGACTGGGGCTCGGAAGGGCTGCTCTAAGGCCTGCGACCATTTCGTGGCTGCCTCTCTCGGAGAAGCCCCCTCCCCAGCCCCAGCATCAGCGCCCCGCCCAGTGCCCCCTAGAGCAGACCTTTCCCTCTCCCCAGATCACAGGGCCACGCCTGTGTCCTTGCCCACCCTTAAAAGGAGTCCAGTGTCTACTCTATGCCTCCCACTTTGTCAGCTTGCACCTTTTTAAACCTTACAACGCTGTGAGGTGGGTATTTTTGCCTCCATTTTCCAGATAAGAAAAACTCAGGGAGGTTAAGTGACTCACCCAAGGCCCCACAACGGCTAAGTGCCGGGCCCAGGACTTAGACTCAGGGCTTCCGATTCCAAGCCCTGTTCTTTTCACGGTCTTCAGCTTTCTCTTCCTTGGCTCAGCCGGCCACCTGAGGGCTTGCGATTTCCCATTGTTCTAATAGACGCGGCCAAAAGGAGTTCCAGGGTCAAAACGTTCCGAACACTGTATTCCGCGTTTGGGAGTTTTACAGCTCCCTTAAGCATGTTAAAGTCTCTGCAAGCAAAGGATCCTATGTCGCTTGAACCCAAGTGTCCCAGAAAAGCCATGTTTTATCGATTGTCAAGCCCCCTGATTTAGATGTCAGTGCTCTTGCCCTTCTTCCCTGACCTTAACCTGGGCTTGCCTTGGTTTCCTCACCTGCAGCCTCTCCCTTTCTGCCCGCAGGCTCACCGGAGCCGTCCCCAGAAGAGTGTGCCCGGGAGTCTGGGCACGGTGCCTCTTCCTTGATGCTCACACAGTTTGTCTCCAGCCAGGGTGAGCCATCTGGGAGGGCTGGAGGCGAGCGGGGGCGGGGCCTGGGGGAGACCAGCTTCCCGCTGAGATGCCCCCAGCCTGATGCCATGCCTCCCCCCCCACCTGCCGTGCCCCGCCCCGCCCCCAGTTGGTGAGCTCAGGCAGCACAGGGCTGTCTCTGGTCTGCACTCCCCAATACACTGCGTCTTCCCTCCCGCCTCCAGCATTGGCAGAACTGAGTACCGCAATGCACCAGGTCTGGATCAAGTTTGACATCCGGGGGCACTGTCCCTGCCAAGCTGATGCCCAGGTGTGGGCCCCTGGGGATGGGGGCCAGCAGGTAAAGCATGGGGCAGATGACAGAGTACTAGCCCCAGGTGGGCCTCAGGATGCAGTGTGTCTGCAAATTACTTACCTGGGCCCGTGCCTTGTCCCTCTCTCTGTGAACTGTTAGGGCAGGGTTTGGCCCCTTCCTTCTGATGGGGACAAAGTGGGACATCAGGCTACTTCTCACCCTCCCCTGGGGCTTAGGATCCATTTGTCCCACGTCCCCCGACCCCGCATGCTGCCCAGCAGAAGTCCTCACTGTGCCTGCCCAGAGCTCCTACCCACCCTGCGTGTGTGCCGGCTTAGCACGCGCCATATCAGGCTGAGCTGCCTGCCTTCCTGCCCCATCTCTCCACGCCCCAGACACGGACCCCTGCGAAAGAATGTTGGCTCACCTTCTCAGTATCCCCTGCCTATAACACATAGCAGGTGCTCAATGTGCATTTTGCAAAGTGTTTATGAAGCTTGTGTTTTTATTATAAAAGTTAGTGATTCAAGAAATTGTTGAGTGCATTTTGCATACCAGACACCATGCTACCTCCTCATGGTGGAAACTTTGGAAAATACAAACAGGTCTAAGAAAGAAAACAGCAATGGCCTATCATGCCACCATAATCATTTTGACATCAGTAGTTTGCCTGTCTATTTATTCAAGTCTATTCTAGTGTACTTTATTTTTTTTAAAGATTTTATTTATTTATTTTTAGACAGCAGGGAAGGGAGGGAGAAAGAGAGGGAGAGAAACACCAATGTGTGGTTGCCTCTCGCCCACCCCCGCTACTGGGGGCCTGGCCTGCAACCCAGGCACATGCCCTGACTGGGCATCGAACTGGTGACCTTTTGTTTACAAGCCGGCGCTCAATCCACTGAGCCACACCAGCCAGGGCCGTTCTAGTGTACTTTAGATCGTACTGTATGTAGAATTCCATGAGCAACTTTTTCCACCTAATGTTCTATCATATAACCTTTTGTTCCTTGTAAACACAATTTAAGACTTACAAGAGCCCGTTGTGAATACATCCGGGTTGAATTGGACTGAGATGCATTTGCCATTTTTAAATCTCTGGTTGGATTGGGGGTGGTGGCTGGGTTTAACAGAAGGAGCCGACAGAGAAAACCACCCCAACTCCACAACCTTCCTGCAACGGGGACACCAACAGGACCAAGGACATCAAAGAAGGTGAGTGGCCCCCTGCCCCTCATTCAGACTGGGGTGTGGGTGCTGGGCCAGGGCGGGGAGCTCAGGAGAGACTGGGCTTATTTTAACCCCCTTTTCCCCCCATTGCCATCACTCTTCTCAAGTTGCTCCAGAGAAAATATATCTAAATAAAATCTAGGACAAGCGTCCTAATCTCCCTCTGGCCAGGCCCCCTTTCTGAGCCCCCCTTTGGAGGCAGAAGAGCTGGGGCTGCGGGGAGAGCACCCAGGGCCCGGGCAGGCCTGGCCAGCGGATGGGAAGATGCGCAAGAGCGTGCTGGCCACGGAGCCGCAAGGTGAAGCCCTCCTTGTCCTCTCCTCAACAGAGACCCCGGACTCCACAGAGACCCCTGCAGAAGACCGTACCAGCCGAGGGCCCCTGCCTTGTCCCTCTCTCTGTGAACTGCTGGCCTCCACTGCTGTCAAACTCTGCTTGGGGCACGAGCGGATACACATGGCCTTTGCCCCTGTCACTCCGGCCCTGCCCAGTGTGAGCAAGGGCCTGGGGGTGGGGCTGGGGGCGTGGGGACAGAGGCCGGGCCAGCCCTCCCTGTGAGACCGAGTTTGCAGGTGCTGAGCCCCTCTGCCCCTGTTGCCCTCTCCCCGCAGGATGACCGAATCACTAACATCCTAGACAGCATCATCGCGCAGGTAGTGGAACGGAAGATCCAGGAGAAAGCCCTGGGGCCTGGCCTGCGGGCGGGGCCGGCCCTGCGCAAGGGTCTGGGCCTGCCCCTCTCGCCCATGCGGCCCCGGCTGCCTCCACCAGGGGCTTTGCTGTGGCTGCAGGAGCCCAGGCCTCGGTGGCGAGGCTTCCACCTGTTCCAGGAGCACTGGAGGCAGGGCCAGGTAAGGCTCCTCTCTTCCCTGCTCCCAGCTCTCCTGGCTTCGCGTGGCCTCAGGGCTGGGATCCCTAGGCCGGACAGACCTGGCCCGCCACTTAGAGGGAGCGGCAGGGCCTGGCGACCTCTACCAGATACCCCGGCCTGACCATGTTGGGCAGCCCGTGCATTGTCCCGTGTTCCCATTTCTCCCCTCCAACAGCCTGTGTTGGTGTCAGGGATTCAGAGGATGTTGCAAGGCAGCCTGTGGGGCGTGGAGGCTCTCGAGGCGCTCGGAGGCCAGGTGAAGGTGATGACCCCCCTCGGGCCCCCCCAGCCGACAAACCTGGGCAGTGCCGCCTTCTGGGACGGATTCTCCCGGCCTGAGAGTAAGTATCTTTGGTGTGGGGCAGAGGGCGCCGGGAGCCAGCGCTGGGTGGCAGCTGAGTCCCCCAGTAACCCTCGGGGCAATGGACGCAGAGCCTCGGGCAGAAACGGGGGCAGGGCCTCCGGACAACGGCCTGTCTGTGTCCCCCTCTAGTTCGCCCAAAGTCACCCGAGGGCTCGGTCCTCCTGCTGCACAGAGCTCTGAGGGACGAGGACACCAGCAGGTGTGTGTGGTCCCAAGGGCTGGCCCCCGTTCCTGCCTGCCCCGCCGCCGCTGGCCCCTTGCCACCCCTCCTCTCCTCCTTGCCCCCACCGGCGACCCTCGGCACACTGTGCTTGCGTCTGGCAGTTACCTCAGTCGTGGGGGGCTTTGATGGGGTCTCTGGTGCCTGGGTTGAGCCTGCTGGGCATGACCCCCCACAGGCTGGAGAACCTGGCTGCCAGCCTGCCCCTCCCGGAGTACTGTGCCCAGCAGGGGAAACTCAACCTGGCTTCCTACCTCCCACCGGGCCCTGCCCTGTGTCCACTGGAGCCCCAGCTGTGGGCAGCCTATGGTAAGTGTCCCTGCCGCTCCTTCCCCTTCCCTACCCCCGTCCTCATCACCTCGGTGTCTGTACGTCTGTGCCAGGGTTCTGGGACCTGTTCCCAACGACCCTTTCTCTCCCTCTGTGCAGGTGTAAGCCCACACCGTGGGCACCTGGGGACCAAGAATCTCTGTGTAGAGGTGACAGACCTGGTCAGCATCCTGGTACGTGCTGAAGCCCCACTGCCTGCCTGGCATCGGGCACAGAAAGGTGGGTCCTTCCTCGGCCCGGAGCAGGGGTGGGGACAAGCTGCAGATGCAAGGGGCTGTGCCTGCCTGCCCTGGGCGCTCCTGAGCCATCTTTCTCCCTCAGACTTCCTCTCAGCCCTGGATGGGGAGGGGCTCTGGTCTCCGGGCAGCCAGGTCAGCAGCGTGTGGCACGTGTTCCGGGCACAGGACGCCCAGCGCATCCGCCGTTTTCTCCAGATGGTGAGGGGGGAGCCGGGAGCCTGCCCCTTCCCCTGTGCAGCCCTTCTGCTCCCTGGCAGCGGGGACTTCCAGCACCGGGAGCTCTCCCTGTCTGTGTGCGCCCCCGTGTGCTCCCCACCCCCTCAGGTGAGCGGGCAGCCTGACCTGCAGAGGCAGGTGCAGAGGAAGCAGACTGAGCGAGGGTCGTGCCGTGGGCGCGCAGAAAGAGCAAGGGGTTGCGTGGGGGGCCAATGATGAGATGAAAGCCGGAGCTGCTGCAGGCACTGTGTTGGGGCCCGGAGGTATCTTTTCTTGGTCAGTGGTCACAGCCGTCCTGTGAGGTAGACCCTGCTGCTTTCCCATTTTGCACACGGGAAAGCTGAGGCTGAGTGGTGGCGCTGGGCCCCGAGCTTCTGGCTGTTCTCACCCTGGGCTGCTACCCTGTGCTCCTGCTGGGGGCAGGCGGCCTCCCCTTCGGGGGCCAAGGGAAGCCCGGCTGAGACGCCCACCGTCTGCTCACCCGTAAGTTGTCAGCATCTCGGGCTGAGGTGCTCCTTGCGGTGTCAGCAAGTAAGGGGCTGAGGGAGGCCTTAACGGTGGGAGGAGGGCGAGGCTGGACCGAGCTGGGGGCAGGGAAGGAGCAGACGAGCCGGAGCAGGAAGGTCCAGGGAGCTGGGGCCTGTGTTGAGGTCAGGGCGGGTCCAGGGCTTGCAAAGTCTGGCTGAGCTCCCATTGTCCTGGGGAAAAGATGTCCACCGAGCGTCACCCCGGCTAAGGCACATGCTCACAGGCAGTCATGCAGATGTCAGCGTGGCTGGCCATCGCCGCCCTCCCGCCCACAGGCACGCACACACCTGCAGACATGGCGGCGACACACGTAGGTCTGTGGACGCATGCCCAGGTGCAGGACGGCGTCTGCAGCGGGGGCCGACGGGGCACCCCTCACATGCCCATGGACTCGTCTGGTCTGGGTGTGGCTGACTGTGGGCAGTCCCGTGTGGCCAAACCCCATGACTCATGGGGAAGTTCTGAGGGATGTATTCTCCCTGGGTGGCCTGGGAAACACTGCTCTAGCTCCAAGATGGACTTGAACTTCTGGGAGCCAAGGCACCTTGGCCTCTGCTGGGGCTGCCCTCGGGTCCAGCCGAGCTCAGCAGCCTCCTCTCTTTCCATGGCCGTCTTGGAGCCCTGAGCCCTGAGTCCAGGGACCGTTGCCGAGGTCCTAGGGGAAGGGACGCTTCACCAGTGGCTAGCTGGAGCACGATGCTGGCGGTCATCTCTGCAGGGGCTCCCTGGGCATCGCCTCCTCTGGCTCTGCCTGCCCCTGTCTGCCCAGGGAGCTCCCTGCTCTGGTTCGGCTGCTGAAGGCCACCCTCCGCCCCCAGCTGTGCCTGCCCGTACCCACTAGAATCAGAGCTTCCGGTGGCCACCCCTCTTCTGAATCGGGGGTCTTAGAAGAGTTTGGATGGTCTCTTTAGGAACATACAACAAACTAATCACCTACAGTTTGGGACATTCACGGGAGTCCTGCTTTGGGTGCAGGAAGTTCATGAGTTGGGACTATGCAGGGTGCCTTCCTGGGTTTTGGAGAAAGGGGTACGTTTGAGTGAGAGAAGAGAGGGACCAGGGCCAGGGACACGGGCTTCTCAAGGCGCCTGGCCTCGGAAGAAGCAGGGATTTAGATCCCCCGATCTCAGAGCCCGTCATCCTTCCCTCTGAGCCCCTTTCCGCCCAGCCTCCGATCCGCCAACCTGAGTGGGCCAGCCCCTCACCACCCAGCCCCTTTCTCTCTCCGCGACGTCCTCCCTGCTTGCCCTTCCAGCCTGGGCGTCAGCTCTTTCCAGTGCCCCCGCCTTTGGGAGGCCCACGCCCGTCTTCCCACAGCCCTGCCCTCACCGCCCTCCCTCGCTCACTCCCCTTTCTCTTCCTCGAGGTGTGTCCGGCTGGGGCAGGCAACCTGGAACCTGGCAGCCCGGGCAGCTGCTACCTGGATGCAGGGCTTCGGCGGCGCCTGCGGGAGGAGTGGGGTGTGAGCTGCTGGACCCTGCTGCAGGCGCCCGGAGAGGCCGTGCTGGTCCCTGCCGGGGCTCCCCACCAGGTGCTTCCCCTGTGGGCCCACCAGGGCTCTGCGGAGAGCCCGCAATGGCAGAAGCAGCAAGAACGGCAGCACAGTGACACCGCATCCCCCCACCTGTGATAGCCTTGTCCCCGTCAGGACCTGGAGAGCTAGGCAGGACAGGAAGCCACGTTCCCATTGGAGCAGTCTCCTTGAGCTGGCTCTGGGTCCCTGGGTGCCAGCTCTGTGCCATCTCTGGCATCCTCTTGGCCTGGTTTTGGCCACGCCCTTTGGGATGCTGGTGCTGGATCCAGAGCCTCTGTTTTCCGAGAGCCGGGTGGGGTCATTATGGGAAGTAGACCTCAGGGCCAAGCTGGGCGGTGAGAGGGGAGGTGATCCTGAGTCTCCACGGACCCTCCTGCTTATCTCCTTCCTGGCACAGGTGCAGGGCCTGGTGAGCACGGTGAGCGTCACTCAGCACTTCCTGTCCCCCGAGACCTCGGCCCTCTCTGCTCAGCTCTGCCACCAGGGACCCAGCCTGTCCCCTGACTGCCGCCTGCTTTATGCCCAGGTGAGCATGACACTGGCCAGGAAGCCGTGTGCGCTGCCCGAGCCCGCCCAGGGCACAGCGCGGTGGTGTGGCAGACCTAGCCCCGCGCCGAGCATACAGCTGGCCCAGGCCGGGGAGGAGCATTCTCCTGCGTGGGGAGAGTCCCCGAGTGTGACTGTGAACTCCCTGCCCTCTCTCTCTCTCCTAGATGGACTGGGCTGTGTTCCAAGCAGTGAAGGTGGCTGTGGGAGCATTGCAGGAGGCCAAATAGGGGCATCCCAGGTGTCTGGGGTAGGGGCGGGGGTAGGTAGACCAGGTGCTCAGCTCAGGCACAGCATAAGGAGGGAATGGCAATGGGGACTCGGGGACTTTGGGTCAATTCTACAAGCACCACTCTGGGCACCAGCAGGGCACCCTGTTCCCCACCCCTGGCCTGGGCCCTAAAACCAACAACCACAGTGCCACCAAAGTTAATACCTGCCCTTTGCAGGCTGGCACCTGCTCTGCCCCTGTGCCTCTCTCCGTGGTACCAAGCCCACACTGGGGGCGACAGACTCCCTCCAACCCCTGTCCCTCGACCCAGGAGACAAACTGGCCTTCCTTGGGGGCCTTTGGGAATCACTCTGGCTTAAGCAACACCTTCTGCTGCCTCATCCCCTGCTGTCCCACCTGTGCCGAGCTCTGTTACACCGCCCACTGCACTGCAGGCATGCTGGGCAGGGGGCCCCAAACTCCTGCCCTCTCTCCCTAGGGAGAGCTGAGCAGCGTGGGCCGGGGGTGGCCTCAGGACAACACCTAGGCTTGGCCAAAGGGAATGACAGGGGTGGGGCCCTGTCCCTGCTGCCTCCTCTCACCTCCCTCCCTCCTATTTTCCATTAAAGTCTGTTGTTTTGTGAAAGCTGCTGGTGTGGTTGGCCCTGCTCCCGCAGGCCTTGTGGATTGGGGAGGAGGGGAGCCGTGGAAGTGGAGCTGGTGGGCAGGAGCCAGGGCTGCCCTTGATGGGGGCTCACCGCCCCCCGCCCCCGCCCGCTCCTCTTCCCTGGACTTGGGTCCCTCCCTCGCACCGAGGAGCAGATGAAGCCGTCCAGGGAGCTGCCCCTGAGGACGCTCCTGAGCGACAGCAGCCAGGCGGAGCCCGGGGGCACGGCCGCAAGGCGGCCTCAGCCCCTGCCCTCCCCGGAAACTCCAGGCCACCCCATGGCTCCTGTCTGATCTGACCTGCAGCTCTGGAATGTGGCCCAGGAGGGAGGGTCCCTGCCCAGGGCTTGGCCCGCTGCCTGGGACAGTTGGCAGCCCCGCCCCCTCCCCAGGGTCCTCTGGCGTGGTTCTGCTCACGGTCCCTGCCCTGGTGCACCTCGGCCCCAGCACGCTCCCGCTCGTCATACATAATTGTTCTGCGGTGGTTCGGGAAATGTGTTTTTTTTTAATAAAATAAAATTTTTTATTATAAATTTAAGACATTTTCAGAACATTTAGAAAATAAGAAAAGTCACCTCCACTCACCCCCAAACCAACTGCTGGTCGTACTTTCATATATTTCCCTCTAGTATTTTCCCCAAGGATCTGTTTTACACATAGTTAAGTTGGTGTGCTTTTTACTTGGCTTCTTTCTTTTAACAAACACTGTTGTGATAGTTTTCTGTGTTGCTACCTAACCTTCATTATTAGTGACTGCTTATATTCCCTCAAGTGGCTTTGCCATGATTTACATAGCCATCCCTCATTTTAAAAAAAATTAGACTTCTTCATTGTTTGCAGAACTAGGTTATTTCCATTTTTTTATGGGATAGAAAAACAAAAACAGAAACAAAATGAAGACATTCCTACTCTTTAGCATGCCACTGTTTTCATTTAAGTGACCTCATTTAATCCCTTATCATGATTTTGAGGTAGATATTATTTATTTCCATTCTACAGAAGAGGAAACACGCAGGCTGGGGGTGAGTGAGTCACCCAAGGTCACACTGCAATTTTAGTGGCAGAATTGGGATTTGGACCAAGAGTCTTGACTCCAGCCGCCTCATTTACATTATAGTCTTAGGGCTTAATGGCCTTTGCAGATGGCTTTGTTGTCTTCTCTGTCCTCCTTCCAATACAAGCACTTTATAGCTGATCCTGTTCCAAGTGGCACTGAATGACCCTACCTACACTTCACCTTCTATAGCCTTGTCCTGATGTCACCCCAGAACACCACACACAGGGTCTTTCCTCTGAGAAGACAGGGATGGCCCTGCCACTAGGCCTATTTCTTTCCTACAGTCCTCTCTGTCCCTTCCCCTTTCATGGTGGGTCACAGCACCCTCTAGGTGGACCAGATGTCCCAGACCTGGACTGGGAATGAAGCCAGTCCTGGTGGGGACTGGCCCCGAGACTTGAGGCACTCGGTGGCCCTCTCCCTCGTGGAGGCTCAGCTGGTCCCCCGCCGCAGCCCAGCACTGCCCTCTGGGCCTCCGCTTTTCCCAGCAGCCCCGCTGCACACCTTCACCCCCAGCACCCGTCACCGGCCAGGCAGCACAGAGGCACACCCTCAGCGCTGGAAGTGACCTCGGGTGTGTATATTCGGTGCTACCTTTTTCTTTTTTCTTATAGAGTACATTTTTTAGACTCTTAATTTTGAAATGATTGTAGACTTACAGCCGAGTCACAAAGGTAGTACAGGCAGTTCCCAGTTACCCTTCTCACGTTAACGTGGTGCATAACCATGGCACAGTGATCAAAACTCAACGCTATTAACTAAGCAACAGACTTCACAGGGATTCACCAGTTTTCCACGAATGTCCACCCTCTGTTTCAGGATCCACCTATGCCTGCAACTCACTAATGACCTAGAGGGCTGAGGCGGTTCCCCTAAGGTCACAGCAAGCTAGTGGTAGAGTGCAGGTGGAAACCAGGCCTCCGCCCTGCACCCGGGGCTACTGCCCTCCTTCCCCTTCCCACTCTGACAGGGGCCAGGGTTTGCTGCCCTGTGACCGACTCTAGCATCACAGACACCCTTGCCCCACCCTGCCTGCCCATCCCTGTCCCTGTTTCCGAGGTGGCCCACATCGCCTTTCTGCACACGGGCTGGCACGCACATGTGGGTCCACATGCGCTGGAATGGCTGGCGCAGGTTCCACGCCGTGGTCACTGTACTGTGTGGACACTCTGGTCCACCACACTGCACGGTCCCTGACACCAGCTAGTACACTTCCCTCTTTGGAAATGGAGGGCGCAGCGCAAACTTGATGGGTTTCTATTTCAGCAACATATTCCTCAACTCTTCCCAACCTGTCTCGGGGCCTCTCCTGCCTCTGTCTGGGGTGTGCTCTCTTCCTCCCAAAGACAACAGACGTCTGCTTTCTGATGTCTCCCTCAGCTCTTGGGCAGGGCTGGCACACCTGGCCCATGCGTCCTTCACAGTTGATGGGCGGCTTTCACGTTGGTGCATGTGCTCCTCACCGCAGGGGTGATTGGGTCCACTTCAGGGGAGAGGAGCGCTTCCCACAGTGATCCTGGGGGAGGGGAGCCGCGGCTTGTTGCAGTCTTCGCTCTGCTAGGCAGTCAGGCTGCCTGGTGTTTATCTTAGGCTGCCTCTGAGGCTCTTAGAGCCCTGCCCAGACATGACCTCATTCTCTCTCAAATCATCCCCGGGAGGCAGAAAGGAGTCTGGGACCAACGCTGTCCCCACTTCACAGATGGGAAAACTGGGGGGCACACACAAAAACTATGTTGACAAGTTGCTCTACAGTCCTAGGGTCCCGACACTGAGCCCCGTGGGCTCAGCTGTTTAGGAGGCAAGAGGTCTAGGGCTGGGGGCTGCTGTATTCACCACGTGCCTCAGCAGAGGTGGGCCCACCGGGAAAGCCTCACAGCCTGACACAGCGCCCTGCCCTCAGGGATCTCGTAGTTGAGTGTGTGAGAGGGAAGGGCCCCAGGACGCAGAGCTGGAGTGGCTGGAATTCCTGAGAGTAAAGGCTAGTTCCACAGTGGCTCTGGAGGCACATTCCGTGAAAGTGGGCCTTTGTGTTGTAGCAAGTGCTGCGGCCAGGAGTGCCCACTGGGGGTCGGAGGGCTGCCTGGGGTGGCAACTTGTGCTGAACAACCCACGGAGCTCCTCCCATGGCATCTTACCTTCCCAACAACCCTGTGAGGGAAGAGCTGTTGCGAGCCTACCCTACAGATGAGGAAACCGAGGGCCACGACTTGTCCAGGGACACAGAGCCAGCCAGTGAGCAGAGGCCTGGCATCTGGCTCCAAGTCCAATGCTTTGTCTGCTCCACCAAACAACCCCCCCACCCCAAAAGGGAGGTGCGTGAAGCGAGCAGGAGGGAATGGGGAGGCCTGCGGAGGATCCCAGCGTTGGCTGGCTTCACAGTTTCACTCCAGCTGGCCCTGCCTTCCTGTCCTGAGAGGAGGTCAAAGGAAGCCCTGAGGAGGAAAGGTCAGGCTGGGAGAGAAGCAGGAGCTCGCCAAAACCCACACCCTGCTCTCAGCGCAGCGGGCCCAGCCAGCTGGGTGTGGGGGCAAGAGATGAAGGAGCAGGACCTGGCTGCGGGGGAGAGGGCGCTGAAAGTGCCGCGGTCAGGGGGCTGCGACACGGATCGGGGCGCTCTCTCGGCCCCTGATTGCCCTTCTCTCATTGCCAGCCACACCTGGGCCGTCCCAGCCCGCATCCCTCCCTCCTCTGAGCCCTGTCACACTGTCACACCTCCTGTCCAAACCAATCAGTTAGCGCATGTCGTATAATCCCGGGTTAACCTTTTATTATATGTCTATACCTCCCTTCCCAACCAGATCAGAATCTGGTCGAAGGCAAGAACTTGTGTCCTCCTTCTACTGTGACATTCACTACATTTTTGGTGAACAATGAAGTTATTTGGGAAGTGATCATTTCGGGCGATGCAGTGGTATGCTTATGACAAAAGCTGGACAATGAGCTCCAGCTGAGGCCCCGGGCCTCCGTGACGTTATCCGATTTGTTGTGACGTCACCGTCGCTGGCCTTCGTGGCGCTCCCGCAGCCTGCAGGCAGGATGATGTAACCGTCAGAACTGTGCAGACCTGTGCTCGCTGGAGAAATTAGCGAGACCGGCGGCTGCAGAGGGCGAGGAGAAACGAACTGAGAGGCCGAAGCTTGGCGGGTCCTACTTGCCTGGAGCGGCGTGTGGCCCCCTTATGCACTGGCCCCGCCCCCGCGGTGACCTGCGCGGGCTAGCCAATCCGGGCACGCCGCGGGGACGCGCAGCCTATCAGCGGCAGGGACTCTGTCGGCGCTTCCGCGTTCGCGAGTACGCCCGGCGCGAGTACGCCCGGCTCGAGTCCGCGGGGGAGTGGACGAAGGCCAGGGCCACGCACCGCCGGCTCCCCTACGTCGCACCCCACCTGGCTCGGCGGGTCTGCGGACTGCGGCTGCCGCCTTCCAGGGGACCAGATGGCCTCTGAAGGCCTGGAGGGGGAGCTGGCGGCGGTACTGGGGGGCCAGGGGCCGTGCGTGCAGAGCTGTGACTCGGAGCCGGCCGGGGAGCTGCCGGCACCCGTGCGGCTACGGAGGAACGTCTGCTACGTAGTCCTGGCCGTGTGTCTCAACGAGCAGGTGAGCGTCAGCCCGCCGGCCCGCTCCTGGGCCTCGGAGCGCGCAGCCAGGCCGTGGGGACAGAGGACCCCCTTTGCAGCAGCCACCGCTTACTTGGTGGCGTTTCCCAGTTTTGCAAAGCACTGTCACACTGACATCTGAGCCTTGTGTGCCCAACCCTGCGATTGTCAGATGCACAGAGGAGAAAACCGAGTCCAGGAGCCTGCGTCTCATCCCACTGGGCCTCAAATTCCTTGTGGGGAGGGCTGTCTTACTCCTCTTTCTTTTCCCAGAATCTAGTCAGCACATGCCTGCCTTGGCGGAGTGGGCTCTCTTAAGGATCTGTTCAGTGCTGCAGAGACCTCCTCCGGGTCCCCCAGGCAGTAATGGCACAACCTGCGCTTACACTCAGACTTTCTCATCCCTGTGTGATGCTCTTCTTGGGTGCTGATCTCAGTACAAGTTGTGACAATAGTGAGAAGGGACTGCAATAGGTAGGAGTTGTATGGGGTGGAGTCAGGTTTCAAAGCCTAGACTAGACTCCAGTGTGAGAACAGGCCACTGCAGTTTATAAACCACAGGGGAGGTGGGAGAGAGAGAGACATACGCAGACAATGCGGGACGCATGGCCACGCCCGCTGAGGGGCCTGGTCCCTGGCCCCTGAAGCAGCTCCCAGGAATATTAGCTCCTTTCCGCAATGGAAGTCTGAATGCAAAGGGTACAGTGCAGAGAGGGACAGCTGCAGCTGGCAGCCATGCAAGGGCAACTCCCCACGAGAGCTTAACGGTTTGGAGATGTCCACCAGTAAGGGGAGACTGGGTGACTGTTTAAGATCCAGACCCAGGGCAAGGGAAGGCTGCTGGCTGTGCCCCTCCTTTGGAGCTCCCAGCCTGGCTGCGTGGGGTGAGGATCCTCTCTCCCCCTCAGGATGAGGTGCTGCTGATCCAGGAGGCCAAGAAAGAGTGCCATGGGTCGTGGTACCTGCCCGCGGGGAGAATGGAGCCCGGGGAGACCATCGTGGAGGCGCTGCGGCGGGAGGTGAAGGAGGAGGCCGGGCTGCACTGTGAGCCTCTGACCTTGCTGTCTGTGGAGGAGCGGGGCCCCTCCTGGATCCGCTTCGTGTTCCTTGCTCACCCCACAGGTAGAGCACACTTGGTGGTACTGTGGGTGGGGGGCAGCTGACACCCTCCCCCAGCTCATCCTCGGGTGAGATGAGCCCCTGTTCTGGCCGATACAAGCCTGGCTTCTCCAGATCCCAGCCGGAGTGTCAGGGCTAGCAGGCCTGGGTGGCTGTGTACTCTGCCAGGCCCAACACTTCTCTCTCCACAGGCCCTTTCCCTCACCCCACGCCCACACTTCCCCCAGGTGGTGTTCTCAAGACTTCCAAGGAGGCAGATGCAGAGTCCCTGCAGGCTGGCTGGTACCCACGAACCTCCCTGCCCACTCCGCTGCGGGCCCACGACATCCTGCGCCTGGTGGAGCTGGCCGCCCAGTACCGCCAGCAGGCCAGGCACCCTCTCATTCTGCCCCAAGAGCTTCCCTGCAGTCTGGTCTGTCAGCGGCTCGTGGCCACCTTCACCAGTGTCCAGACGGTGTGGGTCTTGGTGGGCACAGAGGGGGTGCCTCACTTGCCCATCACTGCCTGTGGCTTCACTGCCATGGAGCAGAGGGGTGGCATCAAGGTGGCCGTCTTGCGGCTGCTGCAGGAGTGTCTGACTCTGCACCACTTGGCAGTGGAGACCAAGGGGTTGCTGGGACTACAGCACCTCGGCAAAGACCATACAGATGGTGTCTGCCTGAATGTGCTGGTGATGGTGGCTTTTCGGAACCCAGGTACCCAAAATGAGCCCCCAAAGGTTCGGGGTGAGAACTTCTTTTGGTGGAAGGTGATGGAGGAAGACCTACAAAACCAGCTCTTACGGAGGCTTCAGGAATCGTCTGTTGTCCCAGTCAACAGATAGGAAGGTGCCATCAGTGGACAAGGAGCTGGCTGAGCTGGCTGGCTGTGCTCCGTCCACCGTGGTTTCACCTCCCTCTGAGGGAGGCAGGAGGTTGGCAACCAGGGATCCTGTCGTATTGGGAGCAGGGCAGTTCTTCTCAGGGGGACTTCCATCTCTCCTCGCCATGGGGCAGGCCCCTGCGTTGCACCAAAAGGGACAGTGCCTTTAACCAAGCAAGGAGTCCAGAGCTCAAGGACCCAGCTGTCATGAGGCACAGTGAGGGCACTGCTCCCTCAGGGGATGTGAGAACTTTCTGGATCTGAGACAGCATCTTCTCATCATTTTCTGTGCCAGATTCTCAGGCACTTAGAACATGGAAGGAGCGCTGGGGGAGGCCACTCCGCAGAACGGGCTCCTCGCTGAGTAAATAGGTATTGCTTACTTTGCCTTCCTGCCTAAATGTCTCTGGGGAGAAAATGAGCAGGAAGGGGCGGGGGACTCCCCTCAGAGAGAAGCTCCTCCCCTTGTCCCACCAAAGGCCACCCAGGTCTTCCCAGGCAGCAAGCGGACACTGCAGGGTGCTGCTGTCCTCCACGGCCTGCCTGGGGCCCACTGAGACCTCTTCACCTTGCCTGCCCGGGTAGGATGTGACCACACACCCTCCAAGCTTTGAGCAGTGAGAACACCAGGGGAGCCTCAGGTAGGTCAAGAGTCAAAAAAGCTGCCCTGCCTGGGTTTCCTTCTTGAGCTGACCCCCCCACCCCCTGCCCTCCAGTCACGCTGCCGGCCCCCTGGCTCTTGCCTCTGCCTCTTCATAATTCCAGCCCAAACTGAACCAAACTCCTTTATTTCCCCTCATCCCAGCTGAATCGCTGTATTGTGCGCTCCTAAAGGCCTCGCAAGTCCAGCTCTCTGATTCTGAGCTGGGAAACACCTGACTGGGCTTCCCTTCTTAAGTAACTACACTCAGGCACTGAAGGAAGGACTGGGACCTTCAGAGGCCCTTCCCCACTGTCCCCTCCCCCACCCCACAGGCCTCTCCTGGCTGCCACTCTGGCTTTCTGGCCTAGGGGGCTGCGGTAGGACAGCTCCGGTCCCCGTAGAGGGCTAGCGCCTCCCAAATGAGGGAACCAAACCCTTCCACCCTGGCTTGCTTCTCGCAGTGCCTGCAGGACGCACCAGTCAAGTCCATGTCCACGGGCAAGGATCTCTGCTCCTAGGATTTAACCTTTGGTGGTTTTCAGCCCTGGGTGCCCATCTGCTTCACCCGGAGAGCTTTGGAAACAGTTCTGGGCCACCCCAGAGGCACCGATTTAACCCATGGAGGGTGGGGCTGGGCACTGGTAGTTTAAAAAGCCACCCAAGCGACACTCATGGGCATTGAGGAGGGGAGCACCGAGCAGCCCTCTCGAGCCTTTGGCTTCCCTGGCCCCGGCGCACGTGTGGTGACTCCTGCAGAGGACCCGCGGCACGTGCACGTTTTAGGGACAAGATTTTCAAACCAGTGGGCCCACTGGCTACCACTAAAGCAGTCACACAACTCACAACCTAAGCACCCAATGTGAGACCCGCACGCAGACGCTGCAGATGGCCCACTCCCTCGTGGCGTCCTGAGGCGAGCCAGCCCTCGGCTGCGGGCAAGCGGAGCAGAAACCGTGTTGCCCGGCCAAGGGAGGCTGTTCCTGGCAGGCGCTGAGGAACGTCAGACGTGCGCTGCCAGAGCCTGCCTGTTTACCGCCACCCCCCCTCCGCTACAGTGCTGAAAAAGGAACTTAATTTGTCTTCCTTGGGGAGGAAGACGGGCCCAAATTAGCAGTGGAGCCCAGGGCAGAAGGACGTGAAGGCTGGAGAACAGGGCAGCTGTGTGCACGCAACCACACCGTTTATTGCCGTGGTGTCCGACGTGGGGGGCCACCGTGAGGACGCCAAAGTGCACTGAGGAGGGGAGTGTCTGCGACTGCTGGATGCTTGACCATTTTCATAACGGTAGCCCAGGCCCAGTCTGCCCACTGAGCTCTGCTCCTGTCCCACACCAACAGCCATGTGCACGCACACGCCCGGTGTCCTTCAGCTCAGCAGTTCAGTCCTCCCCAGCTGGGAGGAATGCAGGAGAGGTAGAGGTCACCGAGTTTCCTCCTCTTTCATGTCACCTCTTGGCAACCTGCGGCTGGCTTCTAGAAGCAGCATGGGCAGGAAAAGGAAGCGAAAGGGGCTCTGGCCTGCTCCTCCTTGCCCAGGAGCAAAGCCAGCAACTGCAGTCCTGCTGTGAGGTAATGCCTGGCGCCGCCTGTGTGTTCCTGCAGGTCGAGGCAGATTCGGGCCGGGTGGGGTGGCAGCCCCAGCCTCAGAGGGCACGCAGGGAGAGGAGCACCGGGGCTGCGGCCGGACCCCAGCCCCTCCAGCCAGGCTGTGGGGGCCGGCAGCCAGGCAGGCATGCTGCCCTGGACCCCAGCCTCCCCGGCGCCCCTGGGAGAGCATTCTGTTGAGAACATTGTGGGCTGGGCCTGGGCTCCCCCGGCCGCGAGCCCCTCTGCCCAGGTGTTGTGGACCTGCTGAGACGGGTTCAGAAGGCGCCAGGGAGAAACCAGCTGGAGCTGGAGCTGGAGCCTGGCTCCCGGCCCCCGGCTCCCCAGGCCCTCTCCCGCCCTGGCAGAGTTGCATCAAGGTTCTCATTAGCAGCTGCCCCCGCCTGGGCGCGGAGCAGGCTTTGGCCATTGGCCATGAGGCGGTTGGGGATTTTGCAACAGTCTCCAGGAAGGCCAGGCAAGAGGCGGGGGCTACCCCTGCCATCCAGTGTCCCCCGATAAGGGTTAAGTCAAGGTGGCAGGAGGAAAAAAAAGTCAAGTCTTAGCAGCATCCATGGTACCTAGCGTGACTGAGACAGGGCTCCCTGCCCCCAACCTTCTGACCTAAAGTCCTGACCAGCCTTGAGGCCTTCAGCTCACTCCCCCTTGTGCCACTGGAACTGAGTCACAGGTCCTGTGGCCTTGGCCACAGATGTCCCATAGAGACAAGTGACAGGGACAGAACACAGTAGGGTCTGGGTTCCCATGGTCACCTGGCCATCACTCAGCTCCACTGAGAAGGCCCCAGGGACACCATGCTGCCTGGGAGGCCACCTCTTTTGCTTCTGGGCTTCTGGTACCTTGGAAGCCCACTTCCGGAAGCCGAGTCTGGTGCACCCAACAAGGCAGGGGCTCCTTGAGGTCAGCTGGGAGCCACAGGGGCAGAGGCCCCTGGATGCAGGAGACGAGGCCAAGTCCCCGCCCCGGGAGAAGAGCGGTGGCGGCCGTGCCAGGCAGCAGGCAGCTCCTGGGCAGAGGCGAGGTCAGGAGCCTCCCCTCCCGTCATGCTCCTGGCTCAGACATGCCCTTCCAGGGGTGGGGAGAGGTGCAGGTGAGGACCCTGTGGGGGGAACTTGACAAAGGCAATGGCAGCCAGCTCCTTGCAGAACTCCTCCAGGACAACCACGCCTTGGAGGAGGGTCTGGTGGTCCAGCCTGAGGGGGAGAGCACGGAGTCATGGCTGGAAGGCTGCCAGCGTGCCCCCAGTGGGACATCTCAGTGTCTCCACGGCATAACACAGTGGCAGACCCTTCAGAGTAAGGGCAGGGCTCAGCCGCAGAACCTCCGCACCTGGCCTGGCACCTCCCACCCGGGGCTCTGCCCCAGCACCCACTTCCCTCGGTTACTTACTGCTCCCCAGGGACATGACCCATCAGCTGCTTGCGCACCAGGAGCAGTTTGCCTGGGAACTGGGGTACCCTCTGAATCCTCTGCATCAAGTCCCCGATTACCTAAAGCAGGAACAAGAGAGGACTGAGGTAGGGACCAGTGACACTGGAGCGAGATGCCCTGGCTCTGCCACACCAGGGGGTGGTACCATGCTCCCCCTGGCAAGTGGCAAGGGCCCCCACACCTGCAGCCCCCACCCCCACCCTGCACCCTTCCCTTCCTGCCCACTGCTGACACATCCCAGGCATCCTTACCCGGACCAGCACGGAGAACAGGCTCCTGCAGCCCGGGGCCAGGCTGATGTAGGGGTCCAGGAGGTACTCGTGGATAAGGGGGTGGGGGAAAAGGGCGAGCCGGGACAGGACTGAGGTCACTTGCAGATTCAGGCTGTATGGCTGCAGGGAACACGGTGGACAAACCTGGGGTTGGCGGGGGCCGGTGCACTCCCCCAGAGCGGCGCCTGGCCAGCATGAGCGTGTGCGGGGGTGGGAGACGCACATGATGTGTGTGTGTGTCATGGTTCCCCGGGGCTGAGGGCCAGAGCGTGTCAGGGCACGCAGAGCCGAGGCGAGACGGGGCTTCCCGCCTGGGGAAAGGTGGGGGAGTGGGGCTGTGGAGCTGAAGAGCCAAAGACGACCAGACCCCCTCTACCCTCCACGGTCAGGCCCTGCTCCCTCACAGGACTCCAAAGGCACCCACCTAGAATGCTCCCGTGTGCCCCCGCCCTCTGGCTGGGGCCCAGGCCTGCTGGCTACCTGTTCTAAAATCCGGGACATGCGGTCGAACAGCATTCGGAGGAAGTGCCCCTCAAAGAAAGGCCGCTCGGGCTCATGGGGATCCAGAGGTGGGAGAGCCGGGGGCCAGGCCCAGGGGGCGACTCGGGAGCTGCACTCCTGGAACTGGAACGGGAGGGAGTTGAGAGGAGGTGGTCCATGATCAGGAGGCCCCAGCACAGTGGGAAGCGGGGCTCAGGGCTCCTGGCTGGAGCGGGCAGCGCCTTAGGCAGAGCTCGCAGTGGGAGAAGGAAGTTTTCAACCCCACAGCTTTGAGGGGCGGGGAGTGGGCGCTGGCAGAGACTTGGATGCTCACCAGTCCATAGGCGTCGTGGACATAAGTGTCGTAGCCAGTCTCCTCCAGGAAGGCTGAGGTCTTGGCCTCCTCGGGAACCAGGCAGAGGAAGCTGAGAGACAGGACCCTTGGTGTGGCGGGGCGCCCAGCGCACTCCCTCCATCTCCCCCTGGAGGGAACACCTGCCCCCGGGCTGTGCCCTAAAGGCAGAACAAAGTCAAGTGGCTCGGACGTCCTGACTTGCCCCCTACCTGTTGACGATCTCGGTCACCGCTGTCTTGCCATCCGAGGTGGTGGCGGGGGATGGCGGGGGCTTGGCAGAGTGCTGAAAGCCGGCATCAAGGAGGCCGTCGGTGAAGTAGGGGTCCTCCTCCAGGTCTCTGTGGCCGGGGTACACATGCGTGGCACCAACAAACCCACGGAAGAAAGAGTGTGGGGATGCTGAGGGCTGGGGTGGGGCCTGGGTGTCCTTGCACACTTACAGCGTGTCCTCGTAGTTCTCGGGCTCTGGGGACCCCCGGGCCACGTAAGGGCGGCCCTCGAGGTGGCACAGGATCAGCCTTCGGACGATGTGTTCGTGAGGCTTCTGGAGCAGCTCCTCAAACAGCCGCAGCGTGGCGATGCTGATCTGGGGCAGGAAGGGGTCAGCAGTATGCCCCTTCCTGCCCCGGCCTCTGGGTATGCCTGGGGCTGCGCTCGCGCAGGTAAGAACGGGCCGCAGGAGGGGGTCCCCCTCCCTGGCAGGTTTTGGGGGGAGCAGAAGTGTGTGGGCCTGGGAATTGGAAGTCTGGCTGGTCCTCGTTCCATTATTACTTTGATATGTGATAACAGGCAAGGAAGTTGGCTTCTCTGTGCCTCAGTTTCTGTCTGAAAAATGTAATGCTGTCCTCGCCTACCTCACAGAGTGGCCGTGAGCCTCAAACAAGTCCAGTGAAGCAGTCTGCAAACTACAAAGTGCCATCACAAATACTGTATTTTGCCGTGTATGACGTACGCTTTTTTGCCCAAATTTCTGAGGGAAAAGTAAGGGTGCGCATTATACATGGGTGGTACTAATTCTGTATCTCTGTAAATGCTTTTAATTCTTTTATTTCTGCTTATTCATTAAAAGTGTAACTCTACCTGGCTGGCGTGGCTCAGTGGACTGAGCACCAGCCTGCGAACCAAAAGGTCGCCAGTTCGATCCCCAGCCAGGGCACATGCCTGGGTTACGGGCCAGGTCCCCAGTAGGGGATGCACACAAGAGGCAACCACACAATGATGTTTCCCTCTCTTTCTGCCTCCTTTTCCCCTCGAAAAATAAATAAGTAAATGAATAAAATCTTAAAAAAAAAAAAAAAAAGGTGTAACTCTAGAATGCATAACGGTATCTGTATGCAAAATAATACCCTGGAATACAATAATTACTTTTGTTTCTAAATATAAATAAATACAAAATTGAATTAAAAAATTAAAACGAGAGTTTTTTCCTGAAAGTTGGGGCCAAAACCATGGGGGTGCATGATACACGGCAAAATATGGTATGTGATCACAGAAAACTACTGTGCGACAAAAGCAGTCTGGCCCAATCACTGTGTCGCTTTCCTTTTTGCGGGGGTGGGGGTGGCAGCGTTCACTGTCTCAAAGGCAGAACCACCTGGGCCCTAATGAAAATGGGAGACCTCAGAGATACTGCTGGCAGTGGTGGGGGTGGGGCTGAGGGGCGGGCCGAGGGGCGGGCCCTCCCGCCTCACCTCGTCGGAGAGGTGGTCGCAGTGCCTGATGAGCTGAGCACACAGAGAGCAGGGGCCGTCCTCGGGGGTGGCGGGCCGCAGCTCCGAGCCCAGGAGGAAGGCCACGGCCTCGCGGAGCAGCGCGGGGGCGCAGAGCTGGCGCAGCAGGGCTGTCAGCAGGGCGGTGGAGGACAGGACGCGCTGCTCAGATCTATGTGGACGGAACACTGAGCCAGACAGGGGAGGGGAGGCCAGAGAGACAGGGAGTGGACGAGTGGGGGCGGGGGCAGGGCCCTTTCCTGGTTTCCTTACATCACCGGCTAGTGCCTCTGCTTACTCCCATCCCTCCAGAGGTCAGGGAGCCCCAGGGCGGAGGCCTCCGCTAGCCCACAGTGGCTCTGAGCCACGTGTGGCGGGGGGCAGGCCTGGCCCACATGAATCGATGGAGCCCACAGATTCATGTGACTCTGGCTACGGAGGCCCCTGGCTGTAGGGACAGGAAGGTGCGGGGGCGGGGGCGGGCAGGCAATTGGATCCACATCATGGCCACAGCTGAGGGGTCTGGACATAGACTTACACGTGTAGGAGCTGCGGCTGCAGAATCTCCACAAATAACTTCTCAGCCACAGCCTTTGCCAAGGCATCAGCAACCACCTAGACACCAAAGAGCACATGGTTAACACCTTTATCTCCACTGACAGTTTTCCGCCAAGAAATAACTGTCCCTGTACTGCATCCAGCACAGCAGGCCCCTGCTAACCTAGCTCCCGAGAGACCCTCCCAGTCCCCCAGGCAGAAACGGAGGGGGAGGGGAGAGCCGCCTGGAGCAGGGAACTCCCCGCCCCGCTCACCGTGTGTGCCTCCTGGATGAGATGGTCGCAGTAACAGAACCAGCCCAGGAAAGCCGCCAAGTCCTCCTTGCCCGGGAAGGAAGCCTCATCGGCCGGGGCACTGGGCACCCTGCAGGGCAGTGAGGGAGGCACTGAGGCCTGCCCCGGCTCTGCTCCGGAACGAAGCTGCGCCCTTTCTCCCCCTGCCCTGGAACCTCTGTTGCAGGGCGAGAGGTGGGCAGGGGCTCAGGGTGAGGTGGTCAGTTCAACAGGGGGTTCTCTGGGCAAAAGCTAACGGGATGCTTCTCTGGAGGGTGAGAAAGCCCTTAGGATGGGCTGTCACCTTGGGAAGAAGATGGCCAGCAGGGGTCCCCCTCCCTCCTAGAAAACAAGAGGAACCCGCTACCAGAGGCTAGGCCAAGCCCGGATTCCAGCCTCTGAAGATGCAGCCCCGCCCTCCCTGGCCCAGCGCCTACCTCCAGCTGATGCCCTCCGAGGCGGCAATGTCTGCAGGGTCCAGGAAGGTGGGCATGGACTGGTACAGCTGGCAAAGGTGCTCGACAATCGCAGGGCAAAAGGGGCTGCTCTGCACCAGGTAGGTGGCGGCTGCCTGGGGAGCCACGCTAACAAGGAGCAGCAGGTTCTCCTGGGCCTTCAGCGCCACACGGCCTTTCTAGGAAATAGGGGTACAACTTCAGCACATGCACCTGCACCCCCAAGCAATTCACCCTGCCAGGCCCACGCTGCCTCAGCATCAAGCACCTTGCTCTTGCACAAGCCAATCAGCGAGGTGACCAGGTTGCTCTCCCCAATCCCTCCATCGGGCTCCGGGGTCTCAACAGGCAGCCGGGTGGTCAAAGCCCGGGCACCACAGGGACCCCCGTTGGGGGCCTCGCTGTGAGGGCGGTCCTTGTCCTCGGTACTGGCCGTCTCTCTGGACAGGGCGATGGGTTCTCTGGATGCGTTCTTCTTGGCGGCAGTCTTTTTACCCTGCAGAGGGGCTGGGTGAGGCCAGGTCGTGGTGGAGCCCATGCCCCACGCTGTCCCCCGGGGAATGTGGGATGTGCGGACTGTTAGGGCCTCGCGCGGAGCTGTCGGGGGAGGCTGCCCCGCCCGCTGCTGCTTCCTCAGAGGGGCCACGGGGCTGGGCCCTCGGCTTCTGTTCCCACAGAGGCACTAACTTCCAGGATGTAGGTGAGCAGGGCAGGATCCTGCTGTATCTTGGAGCAGAGGACGGTGGTGAACTGCACCTCCTCCTTTTCTGTGGGGGATCCAGGAACTGTCCCTCCAAGCCGGAGAAGTTTCTGGAAGGGGAGCAGCATAGAAGCAGAGGGGAATGGGGGGCAGGGAGGTGAGGGGCTGCGCCCGTATACACCCCTTGGCTTCTTGACCCCTCACCTGCACAGGCCTGTGGACGTTGAGGTAATGCAGGAGCGGGTGCTGAACCTGGGCCAGCACCTTGCTGAAGAACTGGAATACCTGCTGCCGCATGCCTGGGGGGTACTGGGGGTCAGGGGGCAGAGTGCTCGTCAGGAGGATGCCGTGCCCCAGGGCGCTGCCCTCTGCGCAGTTCCTCTCTGCCCCCCAGCTCAGAGGGCACTGTCTCCGCAAGCCGCCCTCCCTCACCAGGGACACGGGCCTCCTTTGCGCCGCCAGCCCCCCTCCCCACGTTACTGATCCCAGTAACCTTGTCATCATTTAACACACACACGGGCTCCTCTGTCGTAAGCCTTGCTGTGTCCCCGGTGCCTAGAACACAGCCTGACACTTGGCTGGCCTCAGCACATCTTTGCCGGATGCATGTGAACAGTGAGGCCGGGACACCAGGGCAGACGAGCAAGGGGAGGTGGAGGGTGTGCTGAGGCGCCTGCGGCAGTGCCCCCTACCCTGCCTCCACACTGTTGGCGCTGGGAGAACACGGGTGGAAGGGCCTGGAGCCCGGGGCTGGGCGGAAGCTTCGGGAGGCAGCGGGGCCCCGCCCACCTCGGCCTTGCCCAGCGTGCACAGGGTCTCCAGGATCTTGTGCTGCAGCAGGTACTCGAGGCAGGGCCCGGCCTCGCCTGCCGCCTGCTGCTTCTCTTCGTACACCAGGATGTCCAGCATCTGCTTCAGCCGCCAGGGGATATCTGTCTTCTTGGCCGGCGTGTTTTCATCTATTTGAGATTCAGGGAGAAGGGTGAGTGGGGAGAAGATGAGCACTCTGGCTCCAGGGGGTCAAGCCCAAGGGGCTCAGGGGGTGGGTGGGGGTGGCCGAGGGCACCCTGGAGAGGCCAGGCTCACAGTCTGCTTTCCAGGGAAGGCCAGAGGAAACGGAAGTCACAGGTCAGTCCTCCACATGTAAAAGCACAAAGGACCTTCTAGGATGAGGCCGTGGAGACAACTCTGAGCACGTGCATGCCCCAGCTCAGAGGGGGGACTATCCGTTTTGCCCCAGACCCTGGGGCCGACACGAGGGTCCCTGCCAGGGCCGCAGGCCAGCTCTGGGCCTGAGCGAGCAGCTGCGGGCTCGGGGTCTCTCCCCAGGGTCTGGAAGCTATCTTCCCGCAGCTTCCCAACAGATCATCTCCGGGGGCCTGCTTATGTCCCTTTTACATTCATGGAAAGCAATACTCTAGTTTTTAAGAAGCAGGGAAAGACCCCGAGCCCGGCCGTGGGTTCAGACCCTGTGGGTTCAGACCCTGCTGCACCACGCCGCGGTCCCAGTGGAGAAGCTGCTGCGCGCCACTTTCTTTGATCTGCAGCAGGTGGTGTTTTTTTAAAGGTTTTGGCGCTCTGGGACTGGCCTTGAGCACCCTCTAGCTTTTCTTGAAAGCACAGGCTCTTGGGCAAGGCAGCTGCCTCGCCCACTCCCGCACCTGGGGTACAGGGGCTGTTCTGGAAACTACCGGGCTGGGCTGAGGCGACACCCCAGGGGGTGGGGGGGGGGCCCGAGTCAGGCCTGGGCCTTCTGCTCTCCTGGTGAACTGGGGCTCTGTCCATGGACCTTCAGTCTCTAAGAGGCACAAACTTCCAGTTATAAAATCAGTCCCAGGGTGTGTAATGTACAAAGTGGTGACTACAGTTGATAATACTGTATTGTATAAATGAGAGTTGCTAAGGGAGACTATAAAAGCTCTCATCACAAGGAACTGTAACTGTGTGGTGATGGATGTTAACTGGACTTATTGCGATCATTCTGCAATCAATCCATATATCAAATCAATGTTGTACAACTGAAACTAATATTCTATATCAATTATATTTCAATGAAAAAAGAGAAATTATCAGTCTAAAATTGTTGTTCTCAACGGGAGACAATTTTTCTGTCCCACCCCCGCCCCCAGGGGACAGGAGAGACATTTATGGTTGTCACTTGAGAAGGTGGGGTACTGGCCTCTGATGGGTAGAGGCCAGAGTCACTGCTAAATATACTACAGTGCACTCCCACAGCCCCCACAACACAGAGGCACGCAGTCCAAACGTCCCCAGTGCCAGCCTGGGGAACCCGGTCTGACAGAGGGTTCAGAGGGTCCTTCAGAGTGTTCAAGGCCACCTTTGAATTTCTGGGCCTAGCCCAGGCTGGACATGATGCCTTTAGGACAGGTACAGGCTGGAACCAACCCCGAGTCGGAACTGCAGGAGGTGAAAGGTAGGGGTGCAGGACATGGGTCACCTGGCAATCAGTGTGCATCCACCAATGCCAGCACACCGACCGCCACGCAGCCAATCAGAGTCCGCCAGGCAGCCAATCAGAGTCCGCCGCCCGGCGAGCGAGCCTGACGGGCCCGGACGCCCCCAGGCTTTGGTTCCCTCGTGCTCCCGCGTGGGCACAGGGACCAGGTAGTTACATGCCTTGATTTTTGTTCTCCTCCTACCCTTCTACGTTGGCTCAGAGAAAAGAGGAATTTGTTCCATTTCTTTCCTTTTGATCGGTAAGCCCCGGGCACAGGCACTTGAAGGCTGAAGGCCTGGATGCTCCACCCAGCAGGAAGCTGGGAATGGAGCTCAGCTGCTGCCTGGCAGAGAAGGCCAGTGAGACCCCCACCCTCTTGGGGGTCTCACTCCCGTTTCACACAGCTCCTCCCTCAGAGGGGCAGATGTCACCTTCCCCGGGACTCCTGCGTCCTCTCTGAGCTGCACCATGACCATGACTGTGCCCCTACCACCCTCCCTTCCTCCTGGGAGAGCCCGGGCCTCACCCGTGCTTTCGATGTAGTAGTGCGTGATGCCCTTCCAGTGCTCCACGAACGCCTCCAGGAGGTCCAGCGTGGGCTCCCGCTGTGGAGAGAGCAGAGGCATGCCCTGTGTGATGCGGCGCCGGCGCTGCCAGCGCTCGGGGGACCCGCATTCCACCACCCACGAGCACGTGGCCTCCAGGACACGGCCGGACTGTCGCCATCAATCTGGCGCTCCTCCCCTGACACCCGTCCTGCTGGAAATGCCGTCCTCCTGCCTCGGTCAGGATTCCACAGTCCCCGTCTCAGAGGAGCCAGGAACGTCGGTGGGGGAAGCAGACAGAGACAGATCATTTCAATACAACATGGTTATGCTACCAGGGGAAAACAGGGGCACACCCCCAAAACAACAAAAGCAAATGGCACGGACGGAACGTGTGTGAAAGACAGTTTTCGGATCCCTCTGAATGCGAGAGTTTGCGAAAAGCTGTGAAAAGGCTACAGCGGCTCAGTTCAGCCAGATGGGTAACATCAGCGCAATACTAAGAAAGCGCTTCACTCAGGATGCATGGGCAGCTTCTGTCCGAGGCTTCAGGCTGTGCCGCCCGCTCGAGTTCTTCCTTAGCTAGCTCTGCCTCTGCCAGGCCTGCTGCAGCGCCTTCTACTGGCCTCGGAGGATTCTGTCGCTGCTGAGAGCAAGCCCTAAGCGCCTCCTTTCCAGTGCCCGCTGCGCTGCCACAGCCCAGCTGCACCTGGCCTTGAACCAGTAGCAACCACTTTCCCTGAGAACTTCTCCCCAGAAAGCACATTTCTTCTCTTTCCTTGCAGAGTAAGTGTCCGCAGGAGAGAAATACACAATCAGGTAGTCCCTCTCCAAAGGTGCTCACTTCTATGCCAGGTCTTTGCTCGGGCCGCTCCTCTGCCCAGGAGGCCCCGGAGCCTCTACACTCACCCAGATCCCAACAGTGCCCAGTGAGGTCCAGCTGAGGGCCTCCAGCTGCACAAAGCCCTCCCCCGGTTCCTGGATGCATCGCCCGCTGAGCTCACACTTTACTGCACCACAGGACTGCGTGTCCCCTCCCTTAGTCTATTCAGGAGCTGTCTTCCCAGGGCCTGCTACGTACTGGGTTGGCCGAAAAGTTCGTTTGTCTATTTCTGTAAAATGGCTCTAGTAGCACTCAGTTGTCTTTCACTTCATTCAGACTGTACTGTGATATCAGCATGCATTTAAAAAGAGACTTCTCAAGATTGGTGAATTTTTGCGTAGCCATTTTAATATTGAAGATGGAAGAAAATATGCAACATTTTGGGCATATTATGCCTTATTATTTCAAGAAAGGTAAAAATGCAACTGAAATGCAAAAGTAAACTCGTGCAGTGTATGGAGAAAGTGCTGTGACTGAATGTGTCGAAAGTGGTTTGCGATGTTCCGTGCTGGAGATTTCTCGCTGGACGATGCTCCAAGGTTGGGCAGACCAACTGAAGTTTATAGCGATCAAATTGAGACATTACTTGAGAAAAAATCAATGTTATACCACACGGGAAATAGCTGGCATACTCAAAATATCCAAATCAATAAAGTTATTGGTGAAAATGAAATATGTCTTTTTATTTTACAGAAAAAACTAAACGGACTTTTTGGCCACCCCAAGACACCATGCTCGATGCCACAGGCAACACCAGGGTGCCTAAGATACAGTGCCACAAAGGACGAGAGAGAACCTAAGCCCGCACCAAATAACTCAGCGACAGGAAATGGTGTGAGAAGAGAACACAGCAGAGGTGGGAAGTGACCTCAGGGAAAAGAGGGGTCGCTCCCAACGGGCTGGAACAGAGAAGGCTGAGGTCACGCCGGAACCAACACTTGAAGAGGTGGGTCAGATTTCAACAATTAGAGATGGAAGAAACACATTTCCTACAGCACGTACTGCGCAAAGTATGTCTGGGGCTACGACGGACTGACGGAGCCTTGAATGCCAAGCCAAGAGGTCTGGAGAAATACATATTCAAGTGTATATGCAAATACACTGCAGGCAAAGAGGAGCAGGTCAGGGCCATCTGAGCTGTGTCTTAGGAAGAGTCATCTGGCGGTTGTGTGTGGAAAACAAAGGCAAGAAGAACCCCCTGAAGACCATTACGATGGGGAGGAAACAGTAACACTGAGGCTGAGGCCTGACACCCCCCGCCCCCGCCTTGGCCGCCCAGCCATGTCTTCTTTCAAAATTAGTTGGAGGGGATCACCGCCCTTACCAGACTGGCCTCTCCCACAGGCGTTCCAAACACGCTGTGTACGGCCACACCGTATCATGTTCTACGCGATGCTATTACTGTTAGGTCGGCAGTCATTCCTTCTACCAGACTGTGAGCACCCTGAGGGCCAGGGTTCCGTGTTTCAGAATCTGTCAGTTCCTACAGGGGCACCCACATAGTGACTGAGTAACATGTACTAAATAGCTCAGCAAGCTCAAGACACTGTTCCCTGGCTCCTTGTCACTTGGAATGCCTTCTGACCCTTGACCAGCACTACAATTACCTCACGAGTCTGGGGTGAGGGTGCGTTGAACCTCAAAATTCATTTATAGGCTCTGAAACCTTGCCTGGGCTTAAACCAAAATAAGTAAATAATAATGATGCAGTATGAAAAGTAGAAATAGGAGAATGCAGGTTGGCCGAAACAGACCATTAAAAAGAGGAAAGCAGGGGGGATATTCTTTACCTGATACAATTGCTAGCTACTCTCCCTCTAGAGGAAAGAGATCGTACCAAATGATTTCTTTTTAAAGGTAACAGTTGCTATTCCACTTTGTCAGAAGAGGGCAGGAAAGAGCAGCATGTTTTCTCCTTAACAAGGAGTCAACCCACTTGCTGGGGTCTTAACCTGCTGACCGCAACAGGGAAGGCCTCCGTGCAAGATGCGGGCGCAGAGCAAAGAGGGGTTCCCACCTCTCGCGACAACCACACAGGGTCTAACTTCTAGGGGCCTAAGGGAGGCGACCTAGGGGCATCTCCCTTGACCGCCAATATTTCCTCCAGCCCCGGACTGTGAAATTCCTGCATGGGAGGCATTAGAAAGTCACTTCTTAGGGCTAAGGTCTTGTCTGTGTGTCCCCCACCCCCACCCCTACCCCCACCCCTACCCCTACCCCTACCCCTACCCCTACCCCCACCCCTACCCCTCTCTGCAGGGAGCTCTATTTGAGAGGTATGAAGTAGTCTGTCCGATCACTTTCTAAGGTGACAGCTGTCTTGACTGGGGACAGGGAGGAGGGGAAGGAGAGAGCCTATGGAACCCCTCCGCAGGTGGGATGGCTGAGGCCCCTGGACATCCGAGGAGGGCAGGGCTGGGGGCAGGCGGGGCAGTCCTGGAAGGAGCAGAAGCTTTTCACTTTCTTTAAGAGTTTGCTTAAGGCTGGGACTTAAGCAAATTCATACTAAGCTCTGATTTGAAGAGGGGGGGTTGTTGGGGAGGCAGGAAGTAGAAACCAAGGTTTTGCGTCTCCTGAGAAAATCTGATACACTAAACTGATCAATTAGGAAGGGTTTATGCTGAGACAAATGAATCGTTAACTTCACAGATTCCTGGCAGGGTCACTTTAAGTACATGGCCTCCACCTAGCCTCCCTAAACTGCACTTTTATCTTACTGAATGACGTGAACGCAGTGGGCTACCTCTGACCAGCTTCGCCCCTAACAGAAAATGGCAAAAGCACAAACTCTGAAAGAACGTAAAAAAAAAAAAAAAAAAAAAAATCAAAAACTCTTCCCCACAGGGCTGCTGCCCCAGGCCCCAGCATGGCTGGCCTCCCCTGACTCAGGGGTGCTGTAATGAGATTAACACGCTGGAACCCTGCGGAAGGCGGCTTCCAGGACGAGGGCCCCGACTGTCCGTCCTGTCTGTTCAGGCTTCCCGGGGACTCGGGCAGTCAGGGCCCGCGCTCCCGAGCGGAGAATGAGGGCGCGCTGGGCCTGAACAAGGTCTCGGGCTGGTCGTGGGGCTCGGGCGGCTGTTTTGAAGCCCAGGGGACCAGGAAGAGGGGAGCGCGCGGGTGGAAGGCACACAGAGGCCGGGGGAGGGAACTGGGGGTTTGGGGGGAAAGGCTACCGGGTGACACGGGGGCACTGGCACAGGCGAGTTGGAGCTGGGAGAGACTGGGGAGCTGGAAAAATAAACAGGAAGCAGTTCGGGGAGGAGAGTCAGGGAATGGAGCAGTCTGGGAAAACGGCGCGGTCGGGAAAGGAGCCACTGGAAGCGGGCAGCGCCGTGCGGGAGGCCGGGAAGGGCGCTGCGGCCCGGCCGGGGTCCCTCCCCGGGGCGGCCCGCGTCCCTCCGCCCGCCGCCCGCCGCCGGCTCCGCCCTGGCCGCCCCGCGCCCCGGCCCTCCAGCGCCCACGGCCTCACCGCGCCCACGGCCTCCTGCAGCAGCGCCCCGAGCCGGCTCAGCATGATGGCGCCCGGCCCGCTCCGGCTCCGGCTTCGGCTCCGCGGCGGCGGCGCGGGCGGCGGAGCTCCGGAAGCAAGGACGGCCCCGCGGCGCGGCGCGGCGAGGGAGGCGGGGCCCGGCCCGCTCCGCCCCGCCTGGGCCGGGGGCGCTCTCCCGCAGGGCCCCGGAGCCCCCGCCGGGCCGCCCGCCGTGGGAAAGGAAGCCGAGCCCGGGGAGCGGGAGGGGCGTCTGAGCGGGGTTGGGGGCGCCGCAGCGGAGGGGCGGGCTCAGTCCCGCGGGTCGCCCTAGCGAGCCAGGTGGGAGCGAGAGAACGACCCTCCCCTTTCAGGAGGGCGAGTGGGCCCCGGGAGGTTGTTTTCATCAGATATGAGCAGCTTTGTGGGTTCTCGAAGTCTCCAGACGACCCCGCCGCCCCCCCTGTCCCCCACAGTAGCCACGGGCCATGTGTGGCTGTGGAGCACGGACCCACGCGCGTCCTAATTGAAGTGGGCTGAGCGTGAAGTACATACACCTGGGGCTCTGACCACTTAGTACAAGAATGTAAAACAGCTCACTAATGAGGTTTTATGTGGATTACATGTTGAAGTGGTAATATACATATTGGATTAATGTTAAAGTTAATTTCACTTGTTGCTTGTTACTTTAAGTGTGTACAGCGTGGGGGGGGGGCCAGAAGTCCCGTGGGACGTAACAAGTGGCCTCACTTTGCTCCTTTAGCTGACCCAAGGGAAGAAACAGATGGGGGGGTTTCCCGCGTGGGTGTCACACCGGGAGAATTACACGCCAGGATTACACATGCGGACCCCTCAACAAGAGCAGGGGATCCCGGAATGTCCACAGCTAGGGCCTTGGGGATGCGCCCTCTACCTGCCCACTCTGACAAGTTAAAGCCCACCGTCCCCTCCCCCCACCATCTCCACCCCTCCAGAAATGGAAAGAGATTCTTTCTGACAATAGGATATGGCTGTCTGTCCGAAATACATTTCTGCTGAGCACTGCCATCCTATGAAGAGAGAGTAAGGCTTTGAGAGACCCACTAGGGACCGGGATGGGGAGGTGGGGGTAGCCCCTGTCACAGAGCCGTGGGACCTAGAGCGTCACTGCCTGTGGGCCCCATTCCCCAGGAAGGTCTGGGTGCTGTGGAGTGCAGCCTGCCGCCCAGACGGAGGCATGGAGGGCCAGGGTTGGCTGAGTCCAGGCTGAGCTGGTGTTCGCAGCCTAGTTCTCCTATGCTGCTCGGGGAAAAATTGGTACTTTCTAACCGTGCATCTGCAAGTGGGTCTCTGGCGAGGTAGGTGCCCTCTGGGGAGGCTTTTAGGCCAAAATGTATACAGAGGGAAGAAGGCAGCCTGGTTTGTGTATCCAGAAGCGACCTGGCGAGTTGGAGGCCTCAGTCCAGCCCACACTTCTGTTCTGAGCCCATTTCCTCTTGGGTAAAGGAAGCAGCTGGATAGATTAAATGTTTCCCCCCTCGACGTGTGTCAGGGAACTCTAGGGAATAGCGGAAGTGGATCAGGAATCCATAGCCTTTCATTTGGCTTAACTGTTTAGATTTTATGTTGAAAGTTCTGATAAAAGTCAGTGGACTCCCCCCGTATGTGTCATGCCAAAAGTATTAGAGTCGCTGATGTATTGAAATTCTGCTGCCAGGGTAGCTCATGTCGGGAAGACTTCGAATAAAGCCTGTCCGCCTGTCAGCTTGAATGCAGGCAGAAGCCACTGCAGGGCAGACAGTTTTAAATGGCCAGGTCACGAAGCTCCAGATTCACGGGCACGGCTGCCGCCGCTCAGCAGGAAGAATGAGACCTGGCATGCATAGTTAAACCGCCACGGCTCCGCCCTGGCTGCTGCGGCTGGGCGGACTGAGTGCCGGCCTGTGAACCAGGGGGTCACCTGTTCGATTCACAGTCAGGGCACATGCCTGGGTTGGGGGCCGGGCCCCCCGTTGTGGGTGGGCAAGAGGCAACCAATTGCTGTATCTCTCGTACCTTGATGTTTCTCTCCTTCCCTTTCTCCCTCCCTTCCCCTCTCTCTAAAAATAGTCTCTAATAAAATAAACCACCACAATTTTGTAACTACTTATCTGTGCGAATCAGGATTTTCTTGATACTATGCAACCACATACAATAATAAATTAGATCCTCCTCTTGACAAAAGGGCAACTGTCATATATAACCCTGACTAATTTGTTTATATTCATCGAAGCTTTTTATTCATCAGAGCTTCTTTGTTCTCATTTTCATAAAAATCAACTGTAAAATTCAACTTACAAATAAATGTACTCCAACTAGTAGTAGTAAGATTTTTTTTTTTTTTTAAGGTTGCTACTAGAGGTTTGGAAACCACTGGACTAAATGACTGAAGGCTTTGCATCCGTGTGTGTGTGTGTGTGTGTGTGTGTGGACATGTGTCTGTGTGCGTATTTTGAGGGGGAGGCACTGAGAGACTCACCCAAGTTCTTAAATCGTAGATTTGCTTAAAACATTGAGTTTTTTTGTGATTATGTGTCACAATGTATTTGATGTGTGGCCCAAGACAACTCTTCTTTTTCTAGCGTGGCCCAGAGACGCCAGCAGGTTGGACCCCCTGCTAGGATATCTCTTTAGCCCCACTGCAAGCATGGCACTGCAGGCTGTGGTTAAGGACTGCCCTGGCTTGCTGAGTTGCTCCGCGGTCTGGGAGCAGGTGCGTGGGTGGTGCTGCCCTCCCCACCCACCCGCGCCTTGTGCCGGAACAGGTTAAGCCCGCCACACATTCGCAGGTGCCTCACGGAGGTGCACACGTGGAGCCACTGCCCTCTCTGTGCCTCCTGGGCAGCCCTTCGGGAGGCAGTTGTCTGTACTGAGGGGAGGCCCCGGGTTAGCAGTCAGGAAGCTCAGGCGTTTGGCTCTGCTCTCTCCTCATTGGCTGCACGTAGCTTCAGGCTTCAGATGAAATGTATCTATTTCACAATTTTCTCCTTCACTAAATGGATGAAAACGATTTGTGCCGTGGCCCTCACAGGGTGATGGAGAGGATAAAACAATGCGTGACTGTAAAAGAACTCCGGCAATTTAAAATCATCATTCACATTAGACTCTTACCGGCTTTGCTTTTGTTTCAGCCCAAGGGGCTGGAAACTCATCCCAGCGTGGGGGACGGGGTTCCGGTCCCAGCTCCTGTCTTCGGTTCACATTGGGACCCTCCCCCCAACCCACCTGATCCTTCTGACCGAACACACGCCTCTCCGTGTTGCGTTCCAGTCAGGTGAGGCTGGCCCCTCAACCCACGCATCCCCACACTGAAGTCCTCCCTCTGGTCTCCCAATCAACTCTTCACCCCTGCACTCCCTCCGACGCCCAGCTCCAGGTCTATTCCCCCTGGAATGTCCTGCCAAGTCCACAGTGGCCAAATTACCCTTCTTCCTCGGCCTGCCCTCGCCCCTTGCTCCTGCTCGTGTTCACCCATCATTCCTCCGTTCCTTAGTGTTCTCTGCCTGATCCTTGACAGTCATGGCCTGCTCATGACCTTGTTGACCTCTGCTGCGTGCTTAGGCACCGGAGGGAGCAGTCGTGGCAGCTGTGGATGGGCTTGCCTGGCGAGGGGGCGAGGGGGTTAGGGGGCAAGGGGGCTTTTAGGGCCTCAGGGCGGACTGAGCAGCCTTCCACCCAGCTGGCTCTCCACCCCTCCCCACCACCCGGCCCCGGAAGGAGTGCAGCAGGTGGGCGCCGGCAGGGCCAGCCGTGCCCTCGCGGCCCAGGGTGGGGAAGGGCGGTGTGTGTCCCCATCTGAACCTTCATTCCCAAGACTTCCCTCAGTCTGGCATCACCTGTCCCTCTCCCCCAGGTCTGGCGGCTCATAAAGAACAAGTGAATTTGGGGACCCAATGCAACCTTTTAATTCCAAGCAGAGTTCCCCTCCCCCAGCAGCATCACACACACACAGTGGAAAGGGAGGCCAGCGTCCGGGCAGGAACAAAACCCAGACCTGGGCAAAAATATATATATAATTATATACACATATGGATTTGTAGAGAAGAAAAGCTGGGGATGTGATTAGGTAGGGCAGAACGTTGGATGAGGAGAGCAGCCGGGGGCGCCCCAATAAATTACATTCTTTAGAGAACATGGTGGGGGGTGGGGGGTACGGTGGGACCGGGGGGCCAGGTCACCCAGCCTGGCCTCTTGATCCCACTCAGGGAGCCTGAAGGCCTGGCTCTGCCTAGGACCCGGGTGTCGGAAGGTAGGATTCAAGCTCACTTTGCCTGGAGGCTGATAGGGACTGGGGTTCAGTATAGGCGGCATCTCCACTCAAAGCCAAGGCTTCTGGGGAAGCCACGGGGCTGAGCAAGAGGCTTCGAAGCGCAAGATTTGCAAGGACAGAACAGGGTAAGCTGGGGGGCAAGGGTGGCCCCCCCGCCGGAGGCCGAACTCCATCTTGCTCCTGCCGGGGTCAGGCCCGGGAGGCCCGGGTGCAGGGGAGGCTGTCTGAGGTGAGGCGAGGAGTGCTGGGCAGAGCCAGGGTCCTGGGGGTCCCTGCCTGCCTGCTGCTTCCCACCGCCCCCCCTCCTGCCAGGCTCGAGGGTGCTCGCCGCCCACTGGTCTAGATATTGACAGGCCTGACCACCAAGTGCCATGTTCATGTCTCCTCACTCTCACCCTTCTGGGGACCTCTCCATGGGGAGGGGACAGGGAGAGGGCGCAGACATTCACTCTGTGGGTGCTGGAGTCCAGCCTGGGTTTGCCCTGTGCAGTGAGGACCAGAGGTGAGGGGAGGCCCCCGACACCCGACGGGAAGAACATCCACGTCTCCCACCCCAGCGCTGAGAGGAGCCCGGGCTCCCCTTGACCCCGTGTGGAGCCAGCCCCACCTCTGCCCACCTCCTGCTCCCCCAAGAGATGATGCGTTAGGGGCCCAGCTCCAGGGAGCAGCAGGGGTGAGGGGCAGCCAGGAGTGTGGGGCGGTCAGAAGAGAGAAGCCTTCTTCTTGAGTTCGTTCCGCTTCCACAGAGCCAGCTTGCTAAACTCTTCGGGAGACATGGCAAATACCCTGGAGAAGTCCTCGGCCGACAGGTGCCTCTGTAGGGGGACACAGCAGGCTGCTTAGGGAAAGGCCAGCGGGGTTGGGCGGAGCAACCAGGGGGCACTCAGACCAACAGGCCGCTCCCAGGAGCCCCTGCGCCGCCCAGGGCATTTGCCTGCGTACCTCCAGCCTCATCCGATCCACGCCTGGAGGCAACTTGGTCCGCCCCTTGTTGGTTACCACCAGCATTTCATAGGGATAGATCTGGGGGTCGGGGAAGGGCAGTCTTAGGGTCACAGTGTCCCCTGTCACCGCAGCCCCTCAACTCCCCGGGCCCCCCGCCAGCCTGCAGGGCCACTGGGATCATGCCATGTTGCATCCATCTCCCCCAGCTTCCCTGCTGCCCCCTTCAGCAGCTTCAGGGGGACCCCTTAGCGCATTCACTTCCCTGCTTCTGCGCAAGCTGGCCCCCCTCTGTAGATGCTCCTGCCCCCTGCCCACCGCCCCCTGGCTCTGCCGCTGCCCCTCACCTTCTGCTCCAGCACACAGGGCAGGGAGTTCCCCCGGTCCATCCTCCCCCTCTGGCCCTCTCCGTTCTGGGGAGACCAAAGCCGCAGTGAGCCAGAGTGGGGCAGGGAGACCTCCCCAGCCTGACCCTGGGCTCCTCGTGTGCTTGCCAGGCCCCTCTGTGGCCCCACACCCCCTCCCCCAACACTGCCAGTCGTTTGTCCATGGCTTCCGGCTCCACGTGTTCCCCTCCAGAAAGCACTCACCTGCACACCTGCGGGAGAGAAGAGTGGTTATCCAGAGGCAGCGCTGAGGCCGGGAAGCCTCCGAGCCTGCCGGCTGGCCTCCCAGACCTCCAGCCACACAGCCCTGCCCACACCGCAGACCCAGCTGCCTGCCCCAGGGGCCTGCGGAGCCCCCTCTCCGCTTGCCTGGCCCTGCCTCTCACCTGGGCTTCCAGTCTCGCTCCCAGACGGGCTGAAGTCTGTGGACTGTAGCTAGAAAGGACATAAAGGGATCAGAAGGAAGCTGGCGTATTCCTCATCCATCTCCTTCAAAGTAGCTCAGTCCCTCAGAGGACCCCACAGGCACATGCTTCCCTTGCGGTCTGGGACTCTGGTTGGGGACCTTACCCGGCTCAGGGTGGGCCTGCCATAGGCCGGGAGCGAAGATGACTTAGATGTTCCGGCGTGCAAGGCTGGAAGAGAGCGAGAGGTCCGTTCAGTCCCTCTGGCCGACAGTCATTTCTGAGCGGGCTCCCTCTCTGGCCTCCCCGGCCAGGGGCAGGGCAGGGCAGGGCAGGGCAGGGCAGGGGGGACCCAGGGGGACCTGATGGGCCTCTGTCGGCCTCTGGCTCCTGCGCATGACCTTCCGTGAGTGACATCGCGCAGGTGCCTCTGACTGTCTCTAATGTCTTGCCTCTCCCTCTAACAGAAGTGCACCGAAAACTCATTTGCGCTGAGTGCCTGCGTGTTCAAGTCCACGGTGGGCCCGCGAGAGTCAGAGGACGAGGCTCACCGTCACACAATGAACCTCTGGGATACAGAAATGAATCTGACATCTTGTGAGAATACTCAGTTATTAGAATTTTATTATGAGTGAATTTAGTAACCAAATTTCAAACACCTGGCATTATAATACACAGCAACAATGATTTTCTCCACACCGGCAGCTGCTAGGTAGATAGTATCGGCAGTCAATACACTTCCCGTTTGCCTGATCGGATGGCACTTCCAACTTGCACATGGAAATAATATCACTAAGCTTTCAAGCGCTGCAGATTATAATTCAAGAAAATTGGTTTTCAGTAATAGATTTTCCGAGAAAACCTTTGTGCCTAAGATTCTTAGTTTGGGCAGATCTCAAAACTCCTTCATCTCCAATTGTTAGGAATTGCTGGCATTCTGTAGCAATCCATTTCATCAGACTTTTGAAAAAATGTTTTGCCTTGACAGACTCAAAACTATAAGGAACTATCTTTTCAAAGCATTCTTATAAAATCTGTTACTTGGAAGTTTAATGGATGAGAATGAAATGTGCTTTGGGGAACTTTTTTTTCTTTAATACTTAATTTTAAGATACTTAATACTCCTTTTTGTGTAGAAAATTATTCGCTTTCAAATCATCATTCATTACTGGGGCACTTTCCTTTTGTAATAAGTGTACATTTCTACTTCAACTGGTGGATAAAATTTCAATCTCCAAGGCACATGAGAAGCTTTCACTCCAAATTACTTGTATGTGCTTATTTTGTCTGAAAGTGGCCAACGTCACCATGAAGTCAGAATGATGTGCCTGCCTCTAATTTGAAGTTGTTCAGGGGGATGAGCTGTGACCAGAACCCACGCAACCCTGTGATCTTGTATCACATACAAGTTCAGGGTGCAAAATGATGACAACAGAGACATGAGCTCTTCAACTTTGCCAGGCCGAATGAAAGTTAAAGAGCTAATTTTGGCTGAAAGCAAATTCTAGTGGAACACAGAGACTGAGTTCAACCTTCGCAGCATCGCGCTATCTCGTTCTTCAGGCCTTAACTATTTACTCGATGTCCTCTACAAAAGGCCTCTATGAACTCTCCCCACCCGTCTTGAAATGTCAGCCTGGTCTTCTGGAGACCCTGTGGATGTCCTAGCCACATACGCACCTGAGGGTCCTTGACCCGCGTCCCAGGGCCTCGCCTCCCCTGCACAGCAGGCAGCCCCTTCAGTGCCCGCCGCCCCGCCCCGCCCCGGACCTTGCCGGCCACACCTGCGTCACCCGGACATTTGAAGCCTGGGTGTCCCACTTTGTGGCCACAGCGCCTGTCTTTGTTTACAGCTTCCTCCAGCCCTGTTCCCAGCACATCTGCTCGTCAGTCTCATGGGGCCCTGCGGTGTCCTGATCCCCACACTCGCTGTCCCTCGGCCTGGGGCTGGGTACAAAACTGCTTTCACCAGCACGCGCCAGCTCACCTGGACCCTCGTCCGGCCACTCCTCCCACAGCCCCCGGCTCAGCAATCGCGGCCTGCATCGGCCCACGGCCCCCTCTGGCAGGCGGCCAGTGGAGGTGAAGCCCACAGCACGTAGATCATTGTGGCTAGAGAGACGGCCTCGAGGCAGCCCCCTCCTGCCGTAGCTCTCCCAGACCTTCCCGAATCTCAGCCAGACTCGCCCTTCTTTCGTTCCGCAGACTACGTCCACTTCTAAGGCGGCCTCTCCCAGGTCTGGTCCCCAACCCGCAGAGAGAGAGGCCTCTCCTGGCCAGCCCCACACTCCGAGGCTGGGTCCCTCCCTGACCTCCTCCGAACCAACGCTCCATCAGCTCTTGACGTGCGTGGTCTCCAGGGAACGTCCCTGCTCTCTCTCCTCTCTCTGCACAATTGCCTCTTTCTCGTGGCCTTGCTACCACTACCTGCCATTGGAAGGCTCTACCTGAGGCCTGACTCACCTCTCAAGCTCCTGACTCAGTCCAACTCGCACTTCAAACCCAGCATGTCCAAGCCTGGCTCTTCGCCTCCCCCCACCGCCCTGCCCTACCTCTCTCATGATCTCAGTTCCAGGTTTGTCATCACCCAGCTCCCAAGGCAAAAGCCCAACTCGTGTCCCCCCAGCCTGCTCTGTCCAATCAGTCACGGGGTCCCGCTGATTCACTCTCCTCTGCATTTCTCAACCCACTCCCTCTTCTCTGGGCCTGTGTGTATTTTAGCCCTTACCCAGGCTGTGGCAAGTGTGGTAGATTGTCCCCAAAGATGGCCCGCGGTGCCACCCCCAGCGCCTCTGCGGTTCCGCAGTCAGGAGGTGGGGCCTCTCCCCTTCCCTGAGTCTGCGCTGCAGGGAGCTGCTCTGACCCACGGACGGACGGATGCAGCGAAGGTGAGGCTGTGTGGCTTCTGAGGCTAGACTTCCAGGGCCCTTGTGGCTCCCAGTTCGGGGCTCCGGATCTCCCCTCCCCCACCCTGCTTTGGTGGCCACGCTCTAAGGACGTCCAGGCCTGACTCCCTGATTCCGGGCCACGGGTTCCGGGCATGGTGTCCAAAGTGCGGCTGCCCTATCGGGCTGGTTTCAATCCCGCCACCACGTGGCACGCTGGGCTCTGATTCCAGGCTCCTCCAGGCCCCTTCCACTGGCCGGGAGGGTTCCTGTTCCTGGCCTTTGTTCCCACTGTCCCCAGGGTCCGCAGTGCCCCTCCCCCTGGCTCACTTTGTCTCATCCTTCAGGACTCAGCACGCTAGGCCCCCTGACCCCAGGCCTTGTCACCAGACACACCGTGCACAGCTGGTCCTATTGCAATACCTGTTGTACTGCACCAAAGCCACCGTTTCCACGTCTGTTTTCCCAATGCTTGGAAGCTACTGGAGGACAGGACTACATTCTTTCAGTCTTTATAATCCCAGTGCCTAGCCCATGGTAGGCATTCAATAGGTGTTTGTTAAATTAAACAAAATTGGCTAATTCTGCTTGGTGACACTATCTATTATCGCCTCATCTTGTCCCATGCCTGGAATTCCTGCCCTGAGGAGAGCGCCAGCACCTCGAGCCGGCGACCGGAATGTCCACGTCCCTCCCACCCGCAGCAGCACGTGCCCGGCCGAGGACAGCACACTCGACCGACTGTTCACTCCCGGCCGCAGGGTCCGGCCAGGCGAGCCAGGCCCTTTGGTAGCACTCACAGGCATGAAAGGGCGTCCGGTCGGGCAGGGAGCGGGTCTTCCTCCGGATAGGCAACGACTTTTCCATCTCTTCTTTCAAGATCATCTTCCCCAAGTTGGAAGTAACCTGGGCAGGGAGAAAGGCGGGTGGGCCCGAGACTTTTTGGTCCTCATTTCTTGTCTCCAGAAAGTTCAGAGTTGGGCATGGTGCAGGCAGGAGTGGGGACAGGTTTCCCCTGTGGCTGGCCATGCCTGGGGACCCGTGGAGCCTGCCATTCTGGCCTGATGCACGGCCACACTGGGTTTGGCCACCCTCGGGAGCAAGCAGTCAGGGCTGCGCAGTGTAACTCTACCCCGGTGGCCTCCTATCCCAGGTCACGATGCCCAGAGCACAAGCCCACGTCACCGTCAGTGGCCTTGTGTGGCTCCCAATGCCTTCTCTCCTCCCCTGGAGCCCAGCAGCCTGCTCTCTCCCTTCGCCTCTCCCCAGGAACGGCTCAGCCCGCTGGAGCCTGGCACTGGGGGACCGCCCTTCCTAACATTAACTAGTGTTCCCCAGGAGCAGCACGAAGGCCTGGTGTCCCTTCTGAAGTGGTGGCTGAAGTCCTGGGAAGGAAGGCGGTTCCTCACAAGCTGTGACCAGGACACCTTCCAGGCATGAACCCATTCAGAAGAGAAGAGCTGTACAACCTGAACTTCCATCCCCAAAACACAGGGAGTCTGGGTTAGGGCTACGAGGTGCTACCTTGCTGAGCTCCTCTCTCTGACGCTCCCTGAGAGCCTTCATCTCCTCCCCAGAGTCATCGTCTTCCTCCTCCTCCTCCTCCACCCCTCTCCGAGACGCTTTCCGCTTCCTCCATTCTGTTTCTGGGAAACACAGGCAAAAGCAAGAGTATCGACCAACGGTTTGCTCAGCAAGTATTTACCAGGTGCTGGCTGTGCGCATCGCATTGGGCTGCACCTGAAAGCAAACACTACAAATTATTTTTAAAAAATAAAATAAAGTAGCTCTGGCTGATGTGACTCCATGGACTGAGCACCGGCCTGCACACCGAAAGGTGGCCGGCTGGATTCCTGGTCGGGGCACGTGTCTGTGTTGTGGGCCAGGTCCCCGGCTGGGGGCAGGCGAGATGCAGCCAGTTGATACATCTCTCATACATGGGTGTTTCTCTTCCTCTCTTTCTCCCTCCCTTCTCCTCTCTCTAAAAATAAATAAAATATTTTATTTTATATTTTATATAAAATATATAACTCAATAAATATATTGAGTTATATATTTTATTTAAAAATTAAATAAAAATAAATAAATAAAACAGTTGCCTTGCAGTGGGGCTGGGTAGGCAACACACACCCCCGTGACTTAAATTCACTGGGGACCAAGACCTTGTCTCATTTCCCTTTCTCTTCCCCAGAGCTCCTACCACAGAGCCTGGGATGCGGCAGAAGCGCACAGATGTCTTTTGACTGGTCATACAAGGGACTGGAGAGTGATGGCCAACAACAGGGCACTGATGCCAGAAGCTGTAGGGGCGGGTGAGCAAAGAGCCCGCCAGGGTCTCGGAGACACAGAGTGGGCGTGGGTGCAGCGCTCACAGGCATCAGCCGGGGGCCCCGAGGCAGGCCTGCCCTTCCCCTCTCCAACAGTTTCTCTTACCCACGACGGCCAGCGACGGGGGGCATGGCCAGTAGTCGGTTTCGATCTTGGCCGGCTGGTTGGGGTCAGGGGGCTGGGCCGCAGGGAACTTGGATGACTCGATGATGAAGTCCTCAATCAGGTGCTTGCTCTGGGGGCTGCCTCCCGTGGACTCTGCCGGCGGGGGTCAGGGTCAGCCTGTGCACACCGCCAGCCCCTCACCTCCGCCCTCTGCACCCGTGAGATCGTGGGTGTCAACAAGGCGCGAGGAAGAGCAGAGAGTACAGGGCGTGGCGACGTGCCGGTGTGGACAGTTGCTCCCCTCTCCCCTCCCAGCCCTTGGCACGGCCCCACACGTAGGCCGAGTTGGCTGGGGGACCCTCACCTCTCTGCTTGTAGATGGGTGGCTTCTTGTAGATGTTGGAGTCTGGGCGGGTGGTCTCTGCAGGGAGCAAAGGCGGGTGAGGAGTGTGTGTTGTTGGCGGGAGGCCAGGCCAGCGGCGAGAATGGGGACAAGAAAAATGGAAGCAGGTAGGAAACTCGCGGGCGCCTGTCCAGAGCGCAGACAGGACCGAGCTCCTGGAACTGGCCCCCAGGGGGCTGGGGCTTTCTGCACGTTTCTGGTTGGGTGGGAGGGAGGATGAGGCAGGGTCCACCATCTGGGAGCTCCGCCTGGGGTCCGGTTTCAGGGGGCCTGGCCAGTTCTGTGGGGAGCACATCCCTGGACAGTGGGGGACTGAGAGAAGGGGCTTCGATTCCTGAAGGGAAACAGAGACCCTGGGAAGGGGGCGCAACCGGGCTGATGGTAGAACCTACCAGGATGGTGGAAATGGGGCAGGCTGGTTCGCGGGGTCCCTGTGGTCCTCGGGGCTGAAACCTGAGAGATGGTTCCAGGGGACCGGCTCCCTACCCACACCTGCAGAGCAGAAGTGAGGGTCACTGCAGCTCCCAGGTCCCCCACGCTACCCGCTCCAACCCATGTAGACGTAGCTTCACCTTACTCTACCATCTCTGTCCTCCCACCTAGCAGCCCACAAGTCCCCAACCCCCGGGCAGAGGAAGGTGTCCAAGGACCGAGCCTGCCAGTGGTGCCCGGCCCAGGGAGACAAGGTTGCTTGAGGTCCTGGGTCGAGCAGATAGGTAGACAGAGCTGGCCAGTGGCAGGTGAGGCCAACGATTCTGTCACCCCCCGGGCTCCGCGGAGCCCTGTCTGGGTGCCTGTGGGGGCGGGGCCGGGCCTGTCAGAGCAGGGCTGGGTGACACTCACCTCTGGGGATGGTGGGGGGGATGTGGATTTGGGTGACAGTGAGCGCTGCGAAGGAGAGGAGCTGGTCAGAGCCACAGGGCGGGGATTAAACCCTCGTCCCTAGACCCCCAGAGGGGGCTCTTCATCCGCCACCCATCTCTGCACCCTTGCCCGGCCGACGTCTGGGCCCCCTCTTCTCTATCGGCCCTCCCAGTCGCCAGCGCTGGCCCTCCGTCCCTCTCCCTCCTGGTGCTCTCCTGAGCAGATCCTGGGTCTGTCCCTGGGATGCACCCAGAAGACACAGATCCTGAGCAGTGTGCTTGTGCCAGGAGGGCCAGCCGAGGACGGCTGTGGCACTGTCCTCAGCACCAGAGCCACAGCCTCCAGGATGGAGCCCGGGCTCCGGGCCGGTATTTAAGCTTCCCCCAGCCTGGCCCCATCTCACCGCTCAGCGCGACACTACCCGCTTCTCAAACTCCATTTACAAAGCACCTGGCGTGCGTGCTTTATCCCGTGCACTCGACTCCCTGGCGAGGGATGGGCAAAGGTATCATCTCTATTTTATGGGGGGGGGACGACACTGAGACCATCTGAGTCACGCAGGTCACTCAGCTAGGACTTTCACCCCCTGAGTTAGGTGCTCCTGGACGCTCTCCACAAACCTGCTACCTCTCTGCCCACTCCCGCCCCTCCTCCCACCTGACCCTCCGTGCTGCCACCGAAGCCGGCTCCCGGGCCCCTCACAGAACCCCCGGCCGTCTCTGCCGGCTCGCCGCCGGCACTGGGTCATCACCGGTCGGTGCCGGTGCTCAGCTCCCTTTCTCGTGCTGGAGTCTGGCCTCCAGGGAGGAACGCACGCACGCAGGGATCTTGCCACCCGCCCAGCATGGCCGGGGGAGCCCCTCCCTCACGCCCTGCCCCAGAGGGACCTTCCCTGCATTCACCTCCCGGCTCCTGGGCAGCTCCACGTGCTCCAGGAGAGAATAGGTAAAGTGGGGCTCGTAGATCATGAGGTCAGGCCGCTCGATGTCCAGGATGGCCTTGTCCTTGGGGATGGCTGCCAAGTCCTTGTAGCCCAGCACCTGATTGTCCATCTTGGCCTGAAGGGAAATGATGGCAACGGAACAGAAGTGACCAAAGGCTCACCCGGGATCCTGGCCTTACAAACCAGACTTGCAATTCGCTCGAAAGAAAATGGACGGACGTTTTAGATGTCAGCTCCTGTAAGTTAATAGTTCCATTGTTTAATTTTAAGGGTTTAGAGAGTAGTCCTTCGCCTAGTACTCTGGGTGGAGGAAAGTCCTCTGGATTTGGGGTCCTCTCTGCCCACCAGCCCTGGCGAAACCACAGTCAGGGTAGCTGGGTGAAGCCGCCCAGCTCAGAGCGCGGCCCAGCCCTTCCCTCCTCCCGGCCTGAGGTGGCCAAGAGGTACTCACCACGATGCTGGAGGGAGAGCCGGGAGCACTGGAGTCTTGGGAGGAGCTCACCCTCCCGGGGGAGGTAAGTGGTTGCTGGGGAGAGTGAGAAGGCGGGCGTGGGAATGTGCGTGCGGGCGAGGGCCGCTCCAAAGGCGCAGGACCGGCCCCAGGAGGGTAGGCCAGGGCAGGGAAGGCTTTCTAGGCCTCTGGGACCCCAGAGTGCGGCGCTACGGGCAACCACCAGGTGGCACCATCGACCCCGACCTGACCCTCGGCTGGAAGCCTGGCTCCACCCACCCTGAGCTCCAGGCCCCCGCTGCCCGAGTTTGGGCGCAGCCTGCCGCACCTTCTGCAGCCTGTCCATGCAGTAGGGAGATGGCCGATCAGTTCACTTGCAGATCCCTGTGCGCGACGGGAGACGTCAGGGCGTCAAGCTCGGCCCGGCTCCTGGGCGCTGTGCGCTTGCGGCCGCGAGGGCTGAAAGGGCGTCCCACTGGGCTGTAGCGTCCTCATCCCTCGGCGACTCTCCAGGCTGGTAGCCGAGTGCAGGGCCTGGAAGGGGAGGGAGAACGTGCCAGCCAGGCTGTTGGGCCGGGATCTCAGCAGTCTGGGGCTGCGGCTGCAGCTCGGCAGCCCCTCGCGTTGGGCCTGCGCTCCGGCAAGCAGGGCGGAAGGGCGCCGGGATCAGGCTTTCCCTTTGCTCAGCCGGGCGAGGCCAGCGCGCCTGTGGCCAGGGAGGCGGGAAAGTGGAGGCCTGCGCTTGTTTTTGAGCCATTGTTCTCTGGCTGGAAAGGAAATGACGGCAGGGGTCAACCATCCCGGTGCAGCCGCCCGGTCCCACCTGCCCTGCCCCGGGGTTGCAGGCCTGTTGCAGGCCTGTTGCAGGCCCAGACGCTCACTCGTCTGCCGCGCCTCTTTCCCTGGCTCTGTGCTTGCGCCGGGGCCCACTCCCCTTGCATCTACTGTCCGCTGTGCCACTAGCTCTCCTACCCCAGAGGGGCTTAGCCGTGCCTGTGCTGTGGACACACGCGGAGGAGAGGACAGGGCACAAAGCCGACTTGGGGTAAAGCGGTCAGGTCATTGGCTGGGGGCTGGCACTCTGCCCCCGGTCCTGCCCCTGGTTCCAACCCTTGCAAAGAAGGGAGAAGAGAGTGGAGGGAGCCCATATCCCCGTGTGCCTGTCTCTGGACAGGACTCACTTGTGGAATGAAGCACCTTTTGGGGCCCAGGCCCCATCCCTGCTGCCCGCACCCTTCTCAGAGGCTGTGCTGATGCCATCCTCTGAAGAGTGACTTCCCTGCGGGCCAGCACCCCCTGGTCCCTCAGGAAGGCATCCTGGTAGGCACTGCTCTCCCCTGGCTCCTAGGTGGTTCGGTCCTGTCTGCTGCACAGAGTAGGACGGAGTTCCCTGCAGCCACAGACTGTGTCTCCTCCTTGCTCAGTGGCTCCCTTAACAACGCTCGCATCCCCCCTGCTCCCCAACACACACGCGCGCACACGCACACACACATCCTGGTACTGGACACATAACGGCCATCAATGAACGCCTGGCTGAGTTTCCAGTGTGATGGTGGCCGTGGGACTCTGTCTGCTGGCCATACGCCACAGAGAGGGGAGGACTGACGGCCCCAGGGGCCAGGGGGAGGCAACATAGTGTGGCGGTTAAGAGCATGAACTCAGCAGGACCCAAGGGAACCTGGGGGTGAGTACAAAACTCAGCTACTCAGAAGCTGTGTGACCTTGGGTAAATTACTTACCCCCTCTGTGCCTCATGTTTCTCATCTGTAAAATGGAGGATCGTGTCGTAGGGTTGCTCTGGGTATCAGATAAATTATAACATGGGAAATACTCAAAACATTATGAATTCTATGTAGAGTGTTAGCTATTATTATTTCTATCTCTGTTGCCGAAGACAGAGCGCCAGGGAGTCTCCCCCATTGGCCGAGACGGTGGCAGTGGGAGGTTCTCATACTCAGCGCATGAAAAGCTAGAGAGATGGGTGGATGGGGCCCTGAGCATGTCAAAAACAAGAAAGATAATTGGATGGGAAAAAAGCCCTTCCCTCCTCCCTGTAAGAACCTGGGCTTGTGCAGGAAGGTTGAGATGGTGGTTGGGCTGGGAGGCCACCACTCTCCCAGGGCGCGCGGCACCTGAATTAAACCACTTTCCTTCCACACCAGCACCTGCCTCACGAGTTCGGCTTTTGTTGTGGCACAAGCGGCCCTCACTCCCACTGCCCTGCTCTCGCGCATGCCCTTTCCCTGCTCTCCGTCCACCTCGTCTTCCAGATCCCACCCTCCCTCCAAGGTCAGCCCTGAGCCCTCCTCTCCTGGGAGGCCTCCCCGACTATTCTAGTCCTCGCCCTTCTCTGAATTCCAGTGGGACTTAAGAGAACCATGTAACTTAGCCCTTGATTTTATGTTGCCTGACATGGGAACCTGTTTGTTGGTTTTGCTAACTAGAATGGCCGCTCATTTCTGGAGCACAAAAACAATAGTCATAGCTATCATGTTTTGCGTGCTTGTGCTAGGTATAGCGGTACCACGGTTCTAGTCCTGAATTCGTTCTGGAGCTCGTGACGAGTGCCGAAACCAACGAGCACCGAGCAAGCAATGAGGGATGCAGCGCTTTCTCCTGTGGGGCAGTGTCGTGACTCATACGAGTTCTAGCAAGCGTGAAGAGTCCTGAGCAAGTGCCGAGAGCCGAAACATTTTTTTTCCTCTCGTCAAAATGCAACACGTACCCGTTTTGACGAGGTGTGAAGATGACGAGTGCTGATGTATGACTGTACTTTTCTAAGCACTTTATGAAGATTATTTTGTTTCATCCGCCAACAGCACTGTAAGGTAGGCTCCTTTTGCACATAAGGAAACGGAGGCTCAGACAGGTGGAAAACTTGTCCAGAGTCATGGTGCGGAAAATGACTGCATCTTAGGTGTTGGCACGCTGCAGAGCGCCTGCTTAGTACTATGTCAGGAGCGGCATGCAAGACTACAATCTGCTGCATTTCTCAAGCCTTTCTGGAATTCTAGAGCCACAGCTTCTCCAAGACAAGACTCTGGCCATCAGAGTCACACCAGAGTCACTTCCCATGGGCAGCAGGGCTCCATCCCACAGTTTCCACTTTTTCCTGCCTTCTTAGCTCACTTGGTAATGTTTTTCACTAGTCAAGCATAGTCAAACATAGTCAAGCAACTGTTAGCTCCCTCTCACTCCTTTCTAATCTTTAAAAGCCACTGTCAGACTAGCTATACACTTGGTTTAGCCCTAGAGGCAAACACTAATTCATCCATCAGTCCATCTCTCCAGCCACCTGTGTATCTATCCACCCAACCATCCACCCATCTACTCACTCATCTAGTCGTCCATCCACCCATCCATCCAACCCCCCACCCAGTCATGTATTGTTTTATCCATCCATTCACCAAATACTTCCTCAGCACCTCTTCTGCCATGACCAGAGAGCTGCACTGTGTGCTAAGCCTTCTGGAGGACACAGAGATGAGTCAAAGGAGCCAGCTGCCCCTCCAGAAATGAGACACATATAGAGGTAACTCCCATGCAAAGCAGAAAATTACATGTGCCAGACAAGATAGTCCGGGGCTGGGAGAGGTCGCGGGAGAGAGGGTCACTCCTCTCTCCTATGCCAAGTGCTGGGGTGTCGAGAGGGGAAAATTAAAAAGATTTCTTAGAGGGGGTGGCGTGTGAGAAAGGCTTTGAAGGATGCCCTGTTTGAGATCCTGCAAAACTTGAAAAACGGATTCTTGAAAGAGAAAGCAGCAGGAGTGAAGGTAGGTCTGTCTGCGGAACAGCACGCGTGGCTGAACTGCAGAGCTCGTGAGGTCGGTGTACGTTTGGGGCCAGGGGGTGGGGGCCCAGACTGGGGACGCCCGGAACACAGACGACAGGATTTAGATTGTGTTCTGTGGGCAACAGGAACCATTGATATACTCAGAAACTTGTTTTAAACAAAGGAGTGACAGATCCAAGCAGTGCTTTGGGAAAATAAATGCAGCTGCAGCCTGGGAGATGGGTTGGACAGAAAGAGGCCGTCCAGAGAGACAGCAGCCATGAATCTACGGTGGCGGTTCAGCTGAGGGGAGCACAAGGGCCTCAACTTGGCCATGGAGCAGAAGGTAGAAAGGGGCAAATGGGGAGCAGCCTAGAGGCAGGGTGTGCAAAACAGGGCTGGACCTGGAGAGCCGCTGGGGAGGGAGAGGCAGTTTGCAAGCCTCAGAGACAGCAGAGGGGAAGCAATGCGTTCGCTTTTGCCAGGTTGGGGTTGAGGTGGCTGCGGCAGTGAACAGGCGGGAAGGTCCGGGAGAACGGGAGGCTGAGGGAGGAGCAGGCCAAAAACAGATACTTGGGAGCCATTTGAGCTAGAAGCGATGGTCTGCACCTGAGGTCTGCCAAGGGAGGGGGAGGATCAGAAACGGTCCCCTGGGAGCACCCAGGAGACCAGAAGAAACAGCCAGAGACGGCATGAACGGGAGGAGGAGACTCAGGCACCTGGCTCCTTGAAGGATAAGGTCTAGCGATTCCTTACATGGGGTCTGCCAGGAGTAACGCAGGCTCGAGCCTGGTTGGTAGGGTAGTAACAGGGGTGTAATAATTTATAGTTTTCATTTGAACGTTTCACCCAAGATGTCATAGGGTGTGCTTGAGTGTGATATTGTTATGTTACAGAATTACCTGCTTATGATTTTGTAATAAAATATTTTGTAGTCATAAAAGGGGCATTATTTGTGCTGACTGCTGTATTTTCAGCAAAGGGCCTGATACACAGTAAGGGTGCAATCAACACGAAAAGGATGGGGGGAGGGGCTGAGAAAGGACACCGCCCCCCAGGAGGCCAGAGTGCTGGAGGGAGCAACAGCCCGCCTGCCCGCTCACGTGGGTGTCAAGGCCTGGTGGTTCTGAGAGTGTCCTCAGAGGAGTCAGATCAGAAGCGTCATGAGGCCACCGTGTCGGGGGTCACGGGGGGCTGGTCTGACCAGGACCTGCGGGGGCTGCTTCCAGGAAGTGTGGGAGAAGGGCAGGATGGGCTAGGGGGAGGCCTGGGGAGGGGAAAGACCGGCTGAAGATTTTTAAGGAAAGGGAGACTTGGCCATGTTTGCAGGCAGAGGGCCAGACAAAGAGGCTGCGATGGCTCTGCAGGCCCCAGGTCCCAGCAGGGTGGAGGGATCAGCCGGGCCCAGGTGAAGACCAGCTTAGGAAAGGAAGCGCTTGCTTCCCCGAAAGGAGAGGACAGGTGAGAAGCAGGGTAACCTCGTACAGTGGCATTTGGAGGGGCCAATCGCAATCTGGAGGCTTTTATTAAAAGTGAGAGAGAAAGTTTTTTTTAAAAAAGCCCTGACCAGTGTGGCTCTGCTGGTTGGCCATCATCCTGCGAGGCAAAAGCGTGGCGGTCCGACCCCCATCAGGGGGCCTGCAGGAGGCAGCCGATCAATGTTTCTCTCTCACATCGATGTTTCCCTCCCTCTCTCAGAATAAACAAATAAAACTTTAAAAAAGAAGTGAGAGAGAAGGTCCCATGCTGATCTCAGGCCGGCCAGGCAGAGGCTAAAAAGAGAGCAGAGGTCTGCGAGGGTCACAGTGGGGAGTGCGGCGGAACAGGCTGGGGTGGACACAGGGCTTCCAGTCTCCTGAAGGCCGAAGCTGCTGCCCCTGGGTGGCCCTGGCGCCCTCCCATTGAACAACATTTGAGGGGCCACTGAGCGGGGCGATGGCTGGTCATTGGTGGCAACTGCGCAGGCGCGGAGCAGGGGCGGGCCCAGAGGATCGGTGTCACGGGGGCGCAGGGTCAGCTGCGGCCCACGCTCACACGCACTGCGCGACAGGCACAGCCGTTCAGAAACGGGGCTCAGGATAATGATGTCTCTGCTCTGCCCCTTCCCTCCTGTCCCAGGCCCTCTTTGTCCACAGCTGCCCACAGCCCCCGCGCGTCGCCTGTGCGGGCTGTCGCCCCTCCGCCTCGGGGTTTCCTCCCTCGCCCTGAGCCATGTCCCTCCAGGCCCTTCACGCCAGTGCTGCAGGTGTGTTAGAACGCACGGCGGTAACTTGTTAATATTTTGTCCTTAGGGGGAGGATTAGTTGTTAATTTGGGCTAGTCTCCTGTCTTACAGTGTGAGATGTTACTGGTGAAATTTTAAATCGGGAGGGAAAATGTTTCGGGGGTGGAGTGTGTGTGTCTCTGTTCGGGGGGAGGTGGAGGGAGGAAAAGGGGGAGGCTGGCTTCAGGCCAATCACACCACAAAGGCAACTGCTTACTCCACCCATGAGTAGCCCCTCCCCCAAAGCTGCTGTCCTCCCAGTCCACACCCCCTCACACTCGGCCTCCTCCAGCCGCCCCTGTTCCCACCATGCACCCCACCGCCTGTGCGCCCCTAGGCCCTGGCAGCCTCTCCTGGAGGAGGCCACAAGGGCAGGCTGCAGCAGGAAGGCAGGGGGGTGGATGGAAGGAAGGGAAAGAACCTGGGAGGAAGGCAGGCCCAGGTGGCAGAACGCACGTCTCAAAGGCCCTGGCTCTGATCAGACACCAGTGGGCTCCTCATCCTTCCCAGCCCGACCCACCCTCCCCGGGCTGTGCTGCCCGCCTTATCTGAGCCACCAGCCGGCCGCACCTCACACTGCCCACCCCAATCTCCAGGACGACGAGAGCCTCAGAGCTCCGGGCTGGGGCGATAACACCCGCCCACCCCACCCCAGCTGGCTCTTGCTGCAGGTTGGGGCTGACCTGACTGTGGCTCTCTGAGCCTGCACACACGAAGGCCCCACCGGCACACCCACGCCCTGGGTCTCTGGTCCGGCCTCTGCTCCTGTCCTAAGCCAGCCACCACTCGCTGTGCACTGGTCACTGGGCCAGGGACTCTCCTTTCTGCAGTGGCACAAGCCAGTGCCCTCCCCGCTTAGAGATGAAGAAACCCTGGCTGAGAGGTTAACTTGCCAGAGGCCACCGGACAGAAGCCAGGCGAGGTCAAAGTTGATGAATACTCTTTGCAATGGGTCCCCAATGATCCCACTTAATGTGAACTTGGAACTTTGGATCCCACATGTTAACCTCATGCGGTGGAGCTGTCCCGAACCCTGCTTACCGGCCGGGTCAGCGGACAGTGAGCAGGGAGCCTGTGGCGCTTGGGCTGCCAGCCGCCTGGCAGGGTCGGGCTGAGGTGCCGACAGGGAATGGGTTATGAAATGAGGCCAGCTGGCCAAGTGGGCTGGGGTCAGGGTGGGCAGGACCTGGCTCTTCCCTGTTTCTCCAGTCTCATTCGCACTGTGACTGAGGTCCCCGCTCCCGCCTGGTCTGCTTTCCTTTCCCTTTTTCATTACTTTCTTCATCCTTCCTCCCTGGTTTGTTTCCCTTTCACCCCCTCCAGCTCCCGGCCCCACCCCCACAGTTGCTGTGGCAACAACTCAATGCCAGAAATAAAGGCAGGATCCAGCTAGGTCACCAGTTCCCAAAACAGCATCCCAGTGCAGAAAGGGGAAGGGCCCAGGGCCTGGAGCATCGCATTGGAGGCAGAGAGGCCCAGCCTGCTCTGAGGGTGGGCTCTGTGGGGCGGGGGCACCCAAGCTCCCCAGACAGGAAGTGGAGGAGCAGGAGACGGCTCCCTGCTCTGGGCCAGGCGGTCCATCCGAGGATCCCCCGCTTCAGCCATCCTGAGGCCTGAGCCTGTTCTGAGACTGGCGAAGCCCTCTCTCCTCTTCCCTCCCATTCTCCGCTCCCCACCCCCGGCCTTTTGAAAGCCCCGTTCTAGCTGCTGGGACTAGGGTGGGGGCTCCTCTACTGCCAACGCTCTCCAGCACCCTCTCCCACTCTGTGAAACATACGGCAGGAGCCAGTGGGCCTGAGGCCTGGTTGGAGGACCCACCTGCTCAAGGCCCCTGTCCTCGCCTTGCTCCTGATGACATCGGGACTATGCCCAGGCACCCCCTGCCTCCCTCCCACCCCACGCAGATACGCATCTGTTCCCCTGGTTTCTCTTAGATCTCTCACTTGGGTTTCTGCATCCTGTCTACATCCTCCATTGGAGGAGCCCCTCTTTGTGTCCCCCAGCCCCTCAGGCTTGCTTGGCCCTCAGCATGTCCCTGCTCTGGCCTCTATTTATAGTGGGTCCTGTGGGGGGATTGTGCTGTCACTTGGACAAGCTGGTTCGATAGCCCTGGGGGAGATGCAAGGGTCCTGCATCCTAAATTCAGCTTTCTGAACTGTGGGCCGTCCCTATTCTGGTATATACACAAACACACACACACACACACACACACACACACACACGAGCTCCAAAAGAGAAATTCCGACCGCCTGCCCCCCAGGTGGACAGCCTGCCCCAGGTGCCCCACACCTGGCCACAGAGATGCCGGCAGCACCGAGGCAACACTCACACGTGGGCACAGGCAGGAGAGCCCACGCTGAAACAGTTGCAGAACTCATGCACCTGCTTGCTCCTTCACACCCCCACTCTCCCGGAAAAGCCCCCACACAATGAAACGCTGGGCCATGGACACCCATTTGCCCCCACCCACTAACCCTCCCCCACACAGCCACTCACGCCGCGTGCTGACACCCCTCCCCAAGCTCTGCACGGGTACAGCCACACACACGGAGTCCCCCCACCTCTACCCATTGCCCGGGCCACCCATTCCCAGAGCACGGCTGCCTCGGTCTCCCAGACCTGCCCCCGCTGCCCCCGGACTCTGGCACGTGGCAACATAGCCCCCAGGTGCGTCTGCCCAGGAAAGGGCATTTGGCCTCTCCGGCTGAGGCAGGGCCATTAGCAGGGGCAGCTCTGGGTCCTGGGGGGCCTGCGTGTCCACTCAGCCCCCAGCCCCTTCAGGTACAGCAACAGCCAGCACCAGGAGACAGTTAGGGTTAGGCCTGTGGCCACGCCCTGCCACCCAGCCTCGTCCTGCATTTGGCCCTCACCCAGCCTGGCCAGCCAAGAGCTAAAAGGGTCCTCCCCAGAACCCTCGCCCCAGTAGCACGTTCCCCCCACCCCATCGACAGCACGCAGGCCTCTGTGTGAACTGCTCCCCCACCCAAATATCACTGGGACTCCTGGCCCACACCGCGAGGTGAAGGGGCGCTGGAGTGACGGCATGGAGCACCCCAGCCCCTCTTCCCCAGATCGGAAGGCGGCTGGATCAGATCACAGCCCGCGACTCCAGGGTCCGGCCACAGGCCCGATCTCCCACTCAACAACGGGCCCAGCTGACCCTCCTCGGGGGCTCCTTGCCACCACCCAGAGCCTCTCTCCCAGCCTGGTGCCGTGGCCCGGAGTGTCCACGGCGGGGAGGAGAGTGGAAGACCCCGCCACCTACCTGCTCCCAGACAGGCTCTCTGAGCCCCAAGGCCGTGCAGGGACGGGCACAGGCCCAGGCCCCAGGCCGCTGCTTTTCTTCTGAGCCTAGGTAGCCGGCATCTCTTCCAGGAACCCAGCCGTGACTCCCCACGGCACAAATAACAGGAAAAAAGCTGTCTGAGGTGTGGTGGGGGGAGCTGGAGAAGGCCTACCTTTCTGGGCCCCCACCTCTCTAGCCCCCACCCTGCTCCCGCACCAGCCTGGAGCTTGGATCCGGGGCTGAGCAGAGCTGGGGAGTCTGCGTCTGGCAGGCGGGCCACTGGCTCCCCCGCACCCGCACCCTCCCCACCTCCCGCTGATAGCGTGTGGCCAGCCCAGGGTGTGTTTGTGTGTGGTGTCTGCTCTTCCACCTCGCTCGCTGGCTCGCTCGCTGTACTCAATCCATTTCAAACAAGAGCAGCATTAAGCCGGCATCATGACGAAGCAGAATCGGAAGCAGACCGGGCCAGCCGCTGGCCTTTTCCCCTTTCCCACACCCCAGTCCAGCAACACTCGTGTACACACACACACACACACACACACACACACACACACGGCTCCTCGAGCCTCCTCCTAAACAGCCAGGCAGGGCTGGATGCCTAGCCCAGGGCGACAACACCTGGTTTCTCCAAGTGCCTGTATCTCCTACTCAGCACCTCACAGCAGCCACAGAGCCTCTGGGGTTCCTGCTCCCTGGGTGCTGAAGGCCAAGGGGTGTGGGCACAGGTGCCACATTCGATCACCCAGGATTAGCCCCCTCCTGGGAGGACGGAAGGGAAGACTGGGACGAGCAGGTCTTTGGCATGACCGACGGTTAGCCCTGCGGCAGCTTGCGCCCTGTGGGAACGACCGCAGAGTGTGGCGGTGGTGGTCTGAGTGAGGAGGACCCCATGCCTTGCCAGGGCAACTTCGTGGGAAGGGAGCTAACGTCCTGCCAGGCGAGGCCCAGGCCCAGCGTGGAGTCGCGGGGATGTGCCTCCCGGCTCTGGGAGGACCTCCACCACCCCAGGACCCTCAACCGGCCTTCAGTGTCCTCTGGGTTCACGGCAGAGCCCAGTTCATGGGTGACCCCGAGAGGCAGGCAGGGGGCGGAGCCCGGCCAGCTGACCCTGGCCTGGCCGCCTCTCTACCTCTGCCCGCAAAACCTGCCTACCTAGGCAGCCTGCATGGTTGCCCTGGTAACCACTGCCCACAGCCGGTCAGCTGATATATCAGCTGTCATTGGGGAAATCTAGAAACTGGGGAGGGGGCCTGGGGTATGTGAATGGAAAATCACAGGCTAGGGCTTTGACGGGGTGGGGGGGGACAAGTGAGACTGTGCTCTGGGACCTTCCTCTCGGAGAAGAGGACAGGAGGGGACAGGTGGGGACGCGTAGGGACCGGAAGGGAGGTGTGCGTCCGGGTTAGTGGAAGGCAGAGCAGAATGAACCCTAAAGGATGGGCTCTAGAGAGAAGGGAGGACATAGAAGGCAGGGAACTGAGTGGCTGAGGGGGAGTAGAGCCAGTCCAGGCTTAGCCGCCCGTGCGCAGGCGGGCGGGCGGGGAGAGGGCCCTGTGCGAAGGTGCGTGGACGCCGGGAGGGGTCAGGAAACATGGGACCCATCTAACCATGAAAAAAAGGCCAGGAGGTGATGCGGGAGGGGGTGCACCTCTGATGCCCCAGCTGGGGGGAAGGGGCTGCATCCTTGGAGGAGGGGAGACAGGGGAACCAGCCTGGTCCCCAGGCCTCTCTGCTTCCTCGCCCTTCCCACCCATTACTGCACAGCCACCCCCCCCCCCCCGCACCGTCCCCAGGCCTGCACAGCCTCCCTCCACCCCTCCAGGAGCCAAGTGCCAGGTGCGCTCAGCCTCTGCCTTCAGGACCACAGATGTTCCCTCTGCCTCGGGTCCTCCCCTCCGCTCACTCACTGCCCCCCTCGGCAGACCCCACCCCAGGAGGTTTGTCTTCCTGCGCAGGCCCCCAGAGGCAAGGCTAGAATGAGCCCTGCCTGCCGGGAAGGGCCTGGAGCGAGGCAGCTGAGGAGGCATGGGTAGCAGCCTCTGGCCGGGAGGAGGGAGCCTTCTCATCAGGGAAACAGGCTCGTCCACTCGGGGGGTCAAGGGGAAGGAGGGGAAGGGCAGGGGGGAGCAGGGAGGGTTCTCAGTACCTTCAAGGGCCTGGGGCGTGGGGCAGGAGCAGGGCAGCTTCCTCGGTGACATACACCTCCATCCCTCAGCGCATCTCCTCTCCGCCTCCCGTTGCCAAGACAACCTGCCGGCTCAGCCGAGGAGGCAGCAGGGAGGGGGAAGGAGGGGGCTGTGGCTCCTACTGCTTGTTCTTCAGTGATGGAGGGAGGAGGCCTGAGGTCGGCCTCTCCGCTGGGGTGGGTGGGGGAGCGGCAGGACCCAGCCCCAGCCCCAGCCCTTCCCCTCCCCCCTCCCACAGGCTCTGGGATTGGCTCCTGGGGCGGCCTCAGGAGAACCTTAATTCAGGGCCAGATAGCAGGCCTGTCCTGGGAAGGAGGACTCTGGGCAGCGCACCCCCCCCCCCCACCGCCTCCGCAGGAAGCTCAGTGTCGCGCTGGGAAAAGGCGACAGGGACAGGGAGGGATAGTCTATCCTGAAGGGTCAGGGTGGCTTCCAGCCAGGAGGAGAGGCCCTGGGCAAGGCTGGGGCAGGCACGTGGTTTGGGGCCCAGAGGCCTGACCCTGTCTGACTCTGCTCTCCCTGACCGCCTCGCCCCAGAGCCTGGCCCTCTCACTGCCCTGGACCTGCAGGAACGACAGAGCCAGGGACAGCGCTCCTCCAACCCCGCAGAGCCCCATCCCACTGCCCCCGGCTCCTCCGCAGGAATGTCCTTCCTCAGCAGCGCCACCCTGGGCAGCGATGCTCTCAGCCAGCCAGCCCGCCCGCCCGGAACCCGGGGACGGCAGAGTTAGGGCTCCCTCTGGCGGCCTGAGGCATGGCAGCTGTCAAGGTCATGGCTTGCCCAGCACGATCCTGGCGTGCGCCAGGCTGGGGTTAGGGGGTCCAGAGGGCACGGTCAGGACAGGCGACCCTTCTCTGGCCTGCCGGCCTCTGCCTCCACCTCACCTCTGGCCTCATCCCACAGAGACGCTTGCTCTGCCTCCTGCTCCTTCTCTTGGGAGGCCCCAGAGTCCCCAAGGCCAGCTGAACGATTTCCGGTCCCCCCCGCCCCAACACCATTGCTCGCCTGCCTCCCCATCAGGCAGGGATGAGAGGGGAGGCCAAATCCTCCCCCAGAAGCAGGCAACACTGGTTACAGGGTGCCTGCCAGCCTAGGCCGCAGGGTGCGCCTCCTGGGCACGGCTCGGCTGTACCCAGAAGGCCGGTCACGGGGCTAGCGTACCTTTAAGCTCAGGGTGCCTGAGGCCTTGCGGATGGGTGCTGGATCCACAACAGGGTCTGGGGCTCCTGCCCCTCCCAGACAGGCCGCCCCAGGTCTAACACCTAGTTCTTGACTTCCTTCCCCAGCAAGGTCACTGGCGCCAAATGTCCCGAGTGAACTCCGGCCCTGCCGCCTGCCCCCTCCAGGGCCTGTGCAGTGGGCCCTCTGTCCTTTCTCTTCGTCTCACTCCAGTGCCCCATGCCCCGCCCCACGCGTGAGCCTGCCGGGGAGGGAGAGCTCCAGGGATGCCCCCTGTGCCTGCGCGGTCTAAACATTAACCCCCGGAGAGGCTGGCTAGCGTGCCGCACCTGAGCACTTCAGGAGAAGGGAGAGGTGGCAGAGAACTGGGTCAGGGGAATAAGAGGGAGGATGAGGGCCTAGATGGGACCCTTTCTCATCAGAGTCTGGACGCCATGTCCTGCTACCTCCCACCACCGGACCCTCTGCCTCTTGGACCCTGGAGCCTCAGCGCCCCACATGCAGCCACCAGCCCAGCCTCGCCCCCACACCCTGACCTCGCAGTGGCACCTGTCACTCTCCTTCTCCAAGCCCCTCACTATCTCCTCCCTGCCAAAGCTCTATGAAGACAAGCTCCGCAAAATGTGACCCAGACACTTCCTGCCACTGCTCCATGTGAACTTCTGGCCAAACTGTGGAGCTCGCTGTCCCCGAACACATCCTGTGTGCTGTGTCCCTGCCTAGAGGCCTCCTTCTCACGCCGCTCTCTCTCAGGGCCTTCCCCTTGCCTGTCTGCACTGCGGGCTGAAACCCTGCTTGCTCTTAAAGATCATGCCAGCCCGGCCCTTCCCAACTGCCCCGCCCTGTGCGCGCTCCCCGCCAAGAGCCCCCGCACCTACACGCAGAGTGGAGAACAGCCCACATGAGGCGCGAAAGGTCTCCCTCGAGGACAGGCTCTAGACTCCAGGGCTCACTGGCTGTGACCGTGGGTGAGTTAGCACGGCTGCGTTTGAGCTCGCCCAGGTGGGACATGGGAACGATCTTATCCCCCAAATACGGGGTTCCATGCCTTGCGCACTGCCTGGCACACTGCCAGAGCTCTGGGTGTGTTAGGGTCCTCATCGCCCCCAGCTCTGGCCTCCTCTTTCACCCTTTGGGGATGCGCCAAATGCTGTTTGCTATCTTAGGTGTAAGAGAGGGATTTCCAAAAGTCCCATGAAAGAATTGCCTTTTTATGGGTTTATCCCCCCAATTAAACTTCAGGCATCTTGAGAACTTGATGGGATGATGCGGTGTCTTCTCGCTCTTTTTAATGCACTGAAGGACTAGGACAGTGCTTGTATGTTGTAGGGAACAGACAAATACGTGGGTTAACTGCTTAGGACCCCTCCCCACCTAGGTGCACCTAAGGGTGGAGGGTAAAGGCAGGGTTCTGGCTCCTCGCCCTGCCTCCACCCTGCGGCACTGCAGGGTGCTGGGCCAGCGACGCCTTCCTGGGCCTTCTGACCTTCATTCCCTCTGCAGATCTTTACTCTGCGGAATGGACTGTGCTGGGCACGGGCAGGGTGGGGGGTGAAGCAGACTGTTTGCACCTCCGAGGCACTTGCGGTCCAGCAGAGCCAGGACAAGCATAACGAAGTGCAGCCTGGACCAGCGGTGGTAGGCGCCGTTGGACAAGGGCTGAGCGGCCGGGGGGACCAGAGCCGGCGAGACTGCCACTTCCCGCAGGAGAGCACAAAGTCTGCGGGGCAGACGAGGTGGCTGTGGACATACAAGCTCTCTGGAGGAGGGCGTGCTAGGCAGTGGGACCCTCATGGACAAAGGGCCGAGATGCTTGCTGAAGGGCGTGGGTGGCGGTTTTGGCAGCACCCTGGAAGGGCCTTCAGTCAGGCTTGTGCCGGAGCCTGGAAAACCGCGCTAAGCCTGTCAGGGACCCCGCGACTGTGGCGCATGGCAGCATAAGGCGAGCTGAGCAAACTGACGTCCCAGAGTTGGGGTGGGTGGTGGCGTCAGGAGGCAGAGAGGCCATTTAGAAAGCTTTGCGGGGACTGAGACATCCTGGGGAGGCCTGGCCACGGTGTCCCAGAGTTTGGGCGAGAGGCAGTCACGGGCAAGGGGGTGAGAGTGGAGATGCTGGCTAGCTTGGGGACAGACAGCGTGAAGGCAGGCGGGACGGGAGGGGCAGACATCTCAGGGAGCGTTCCTACGAAGATCCAGGCAGGGGGAGAACGGGACGCTGAAGGTGGGGGGCCTGTGGCAGGTGGGGGAGGAACAGGCTGGTCCCCGGCGCTGTCAGGGCCGCGGGCCGAGGACACCGAGGGCAGAGGCCAGGCTTTTCGGCTTGGCAACTGGAGGGTCACCGCCACTGGACTCTGAGGGACAGGGCTGAATGGCATGACATAAGTAGAAGCCAGCCTGCAAGGACTAAAAGGAGTGGATTCCCTCTCTCTCTGCCTCGTCTGGCTGTTTGGAGGATGGGGCAGGGAAGGGGGATCGATACGGAGGCTATTCTTAGCTAGAGTTCTTGGTAACCCTAGGCAGGCACAGGATCTGAGGCACGCTGCCACCGTCTCCCTCACCTTGTCACCCCGCCCCCCCATGGACAGGTCATCCTGCCCTAAGTCTTCCCCTGCTGTGTCCTCCTCCCCCACCTGCACCCTTGCTCAGAGCCTTCCCGCACCCGGAAGCAACCAGGGTGCGGGAGCTGCTGCGGGCCCGGGAAGCCCCCTCCCTTCACACATTCATACACTTTACGCCCCTCTGAGGTCCCCCGATTAGAGAGCCATCCCTCTGCCGCGGTTGGCATCTCTGAAATCGCCAGTTCAGAAGGAAGGAGCTGACCAGGCTTTCCCAGAGCATGTGAGCCCGGGACCCCAAGGCCGCCAGCAGGCCTGAGACCCGCCAGGCCCGGGCTTGGCGTTGGGCACGGGCCCTCTCTGACAGGGCACAAGCCTCCAAACCGCCTTCCCTCACTGTTCCCCAATGTGTCCCTCCCGGCCAGGTCTCACCTCAGAAAGCAAGAAAGGAAACAGTGAGGGCTTTCTGGAGCCGGCCCCCAGAGGCCTGTCTGTGCTGGGGAGGTCAAAGGGAGGGAGGGAGGGGCCCAGAAAGGCGGAGAAGAAAGCGGAGGCCAGACAAAGGGCCCGTCCACCTTTGAAGCCGTCTCTAACCCAAGCCAGGGAAGGCGGGGGTGGGCCTGAGAGCCTGGCGAGGGGAGGCAGTCTGGAGTTTTAAAGAATGTCTCAAATTCCTTCGGAAATCAGAGGGATTGTAAGAACTGCCCCTCCCCAACACACTTCCTTCCCAGCCCCCCAAGTCCAGTCCTCCACACCTGGGGGCCCCAACCCTTTGTCCTCAGGTAATTGCTGGGCTTCGCCCCTGAGTTTAAAATCCCATTGATCTCGCCAGTTATCAGCTGTGGCTCCAGACCACCCTCCCTACACACCCCCCAGAAAATGACCCTCAACACATCCCCCTCCTCCCTCCCCGCCCCCCCGCAGTTTTCACTGGGATTAAGGTTCTTTGTGACTGGGGGGGAGAGAGAAAAGCGACCTGGGGAAAACCAATTATGACAAACTGGAGGGAGAATGGCCTGGGGCCTGGGGACCTCCCTCTTGGCTGCGGCTGTCTGAGCGCCCAGAGTCGGGGGTGGCAGACCCGCCCGGCCCTGCCAAGGCAGAGGCGGTGACCCCCTCCCACCCCTCCCCGATGACGGGCTTCCATTCGCGCTAAACCAGGCCCGTCCACAACTCCCGTTCTGTCCTCATTTTTAGGCCATTCTTAGGAGAAGCGGTGTCTTTCGTCCTTTTCTTTCCATAACCCCCTTCCCTTATGGATGCTCCGAAAGGAGGGAAACTGAGCCTGGGGGTCCGTCCGGGAAGACAGGACTCAGGGAGGGTGCTTCCCCCGAAACACAGACTGGGGTTGGGGGAAGAGACCCGCAGGGCAGGGCAGGGCCTCCGCCTCCACAGGATTAAAAGCCAGTGCAAAGGAGCGACGCGGCGAGCTTCCCGGCCCCTGAGTCCCACCGCGAAACGCGCACCTGGGGGCGCCTGGGAAGGCCCACCGGAAGCGCTGGGGTCGGGGCGGCCGCCCCTCCGGGGTCCCCCCACCCCAGGCCGCCTTCGAGGCCCTCTCAGGTGCCCCCGCCCTCCTGCCGTGGACCTGGGAGGCCAGGGGACACTTTCTCCTCCTCACACCCCCTTCCGCCCGTCGGCGCCCTCCTCCCCGCGCCCCGACCCTCCTCACCGGAAAAAAGCAGTCCTGCTCCCGGCCAGGCGGCTTCAGCGGCCGGGGAGCCGGGCCTGCTGCCCGGCTGGCCGCCCGCCCGCCCGGCCCGGCCGGCCCCAGGGTGTGGGTTCTCTGCGCCCCAACAGGTAGCACGGGACTCGCCCGAAGAGCCAGGAAACCGGAGCCCGCGGCGGCTGGAGGGAGGGAGGGGCGCCCTGGGCTCCCGCGGGCAGGCGGGCGGGCGGACGCGCGTCCCGGTCCCCCCCCCCCCCCCACCCCGCCCCGGCCACCCGGGCCTGCGTGCGGCCCCTCGAGGACGCCCCGCCCCGCCCGCGCGGCCCTGCACCTGCTGGAGCCGGCCGGGCGCTGCGCGTCCCCGCGCCTCTCCGAGAAACCGGTTTGCCACCAGTGGGGTTTGGGAGTTGGACCCCTCCACCCCTCGCCCCCTTCAGATGCCAGTTTGCAGGAAAATGGTTTTATTCTGGGGCTGGGAGCTGGGGGCGGGGGTGCAGGCCTGGATAGTGGAATATGAAGAATGGTCAACCCTCCTTTTTTCCTCCCCTTTTTTCCTGAAACAAAAAACGAAAGTCCCTTCCTACAGTCTGGACTAGGAGGAGCTTGGAGGCTGGGGGCTGGCTGAGGGAGGCACTGGAGCCGAAGTGGAGAAGAGCCGCCTCCGGACAGTGTCTGCCAGGCCTTGAACCTGCTGACCTTGCCACTCGGTTCAGTGCACCTGCGTCCAGGGGACACGGTAGCTCCTCTCCCAGGGCCTGGCCCACCCCTGGGGGCCTAGTCCAGTGCGGGGTCCGGGAGGCGCCCCGAGGCCCAGCCCTGGGGGACGCCAGTCCTGCCCCTCTGCAGCTTGGGGCTCTGATGCTTGCTGGTCCTCAGGACCCTCCTGGGGGCTCTGGCTCCCCTCCCTCCACCCCAGCCCCATCTTTGGATTAGAAAGGGAAGGGGGTGGGAGGGCTGGTGAGAGGCAGCTGCCCCGCCCCTGCGTCCCTGACTACGTCAGGGGCTGTGGCCTCCGCGTGCGCTTGGTCCGGCGGGTGGGGGCTGAGCCCACAAACTCGAACTGCTTCTGCCTCTCCACTTGGTTGGGAAAGGGCAGCTGGCCCTCGTAGAGGCGCTTGATGAAGTGAGCCTCGCGCTGGTTCTGGCGGCTGCGGGAGGCCTGGCGGGGCCGGCCCTGCCGTGTGAAGGCCATGAACCAGCCCTCGTGCCGGGCGTTCTGGAAGGCCGTATAGTTGTTTTCCAGCACAATCTCCGTGAACACGCAGTCTTTGCTTTTACCGCTGGGCTGCGGGGGAAGGAAGGAGAGGAGGGAAGTTTGTCCACCCACCTTGTCTGGCTTACCTGCCTTACGGGTCTATTTTAAGACCGAGGAGGGGCTGGCGCCCAAGGATTTCTGCCTGGTGAGATGGTGCCCTTGCAGGAGAGGCAAAGGTGGGAGAGAGCAGCAAGCTTTGCTTGGAGTCAGATCTGAACTTAATTGCAGACTTGCCATTTGGAAGTCATACACTGTGATCGGGGTGTTTAGTGATGCTGAGCTTCAGTTGACCGAGATGTGGCATAAAGACCTGGGTAATCGTGTGGTTCCGTGCGTAGCCAGTGGGCCCTTGCGCACGACAACAGTCCGCAGTCTGGGTGAAGGGCGTGCCTGGGTGGAGGGAGGGGCACGAGCCTCTGATGAAAAGGAGGGGCAAACGTTTATAGGCACCAGCTGTGCCAAGAGTCCCATGGGCACTGCTTTGACCCCTCAGATGACCCTGACGCGGTGCCCATCTTTATAGCTGAGTAGCCTGAGGTTTGACAAAAATAAGCAAATATTTGGAGAGAAGAGCCAGAATGGGAAGCCAGGATTGACCAGTGCTAAGGGAAATGGAGTTCTCGCTGCACAACCGTAGTAGGGGGTCATGCCAGTAAGTGGTCACGCTAGCAGGCGGCCGGTGTGCATCTTGCTGGTTGGATCCCATGGCGCCCACTGACCTCTGGGGAGCTTCTGATCTTGTGTGAATGCCCACTTTCAACCCCGACTAACGCTGGACCCTCAGCACGGGGCCGGCAACCTCAGGCAGGTGCCGGATTCTTACTCACTGGCGTTGGGAGACACCCGTGGGCCCGAGCCCAGGGCCCCGTGGACCAGCGGGCGCCCTCAGAATGCTTGTAGGCCCAGAGGGACTTGCTGAGAGGGGGAATGCAGAAGTGACAGTGGTGGGTGGGAGCAGGAGAGGCGTGGTCCCGCAGAAAGAGGGGAGCAGGACATGGGCGGGGGGGGGGCCTGGGTGGTGCTCCCGTAAGACCCGGCCAGCACCTGCCCTTCCTCTGGGCCTCACCTTCCCAATGAGCTTGCCTCTCTTGTTCATGCAGATGTATTTCTCGCTCTCAGCCCCCTTGATGCGCACCCGGCTCCCAAAGGTGTCTGTCTCCACGATGAGCTTGGCTGTGACGGGGGAGGGGGAGGGAGACATCTGTCCATGAGGACCGCTGGCCCAGGGGGCCACAGGGGCCCCCCCAGCCTGACCTCCGGACTCAGGTGGGGCACATGGGGAGGCCCCCACACAAGGTCTGGGGATGAACCATGTCTGAGGCTGGCCAGGGGTGTGGGTGGCATCAGGTGAGGGCTGGGGCTCACCGAACTTGTTGCCGTCCTCAGCGGTGGCGGAGATACGACGCCCAGTGACCTGCACGTGCTTGCCGCTGGTCCGGCTGTAGAGCTGGTACTCACGGATCTGCCGCCTGCTCAGCTGGTCGGTCATGGCGCCCTGGTCCCTCACGTACTGGTTAAAATTAGGAGACGGGTGATTCTCCCCCTTTGCGGTTACCAAGGGAAAAATAGTGTCAATTTGCTTTGGGCGGCACCACCGCTGGTCCCTCCAGGGGAGAGGGGTGCCGAGGGGAGTGAGGGGGCCAGGCCACTGGTCCTGGGAAGGAGAAGTTCAGGAGGCAGGGGGCCATGACCTTCTCAGGCCAGTGGGTGAGCCAGTCACAACCTCTGGGCTCCCTGCCCAGCCGCCAGCGGAGAGCCGGTGGCTGCCCAGGCTTGGGGACACTTGGTGGTAGAGTGCAGACTTGCAATCGCGACTCTGGGAGCTGGATGGAACTTTCCGAGTTGTAGCATCTGATCCCCAGACTCTATGAAGGAGGCGCACAGGGGACCCTGCACGTTAGGGAAAGGACCCCTGTCCTGCCTCTAGCACTGGAGCGTGTCACCTCTCCAGAACTCTGAGGTCTTGGCTCTGTTGCCAGGACAGCCAGCTTTTTCTCCATCCTGCCCACTAGCTCTGAAGGATCCTGCCGCCAGCAGATGCGCATGCAGCAGCGGACCTGTTGGGGCCACGGGAGAGCATTGTGGGGGCTCCGAGAGCCTTGTCTCTAGGCGTCTGCGGGGTCCCGAAAGCATTTCTTTGTGGCACATGGAGTCCCGGGCTACGCCCAGCTCCTCTCCCTCTCCCCTGGGTGCCCAGAGCCCTCAGAGAAGTGACCCCCTTCCTGGTCTGCCCCCCCGCCCCCCCGCCATGGATGAGGTGCCTCCTCGGTGAGGGGAGGTGCAGGCAGCTGCGAGAGCAGTGCTATTGGCAGGGCCCCGGGGCTGCTCCTCGAGCCACCTGCCTGAGCCCCAACGGAACAGAGGTTGGTGGCCAGCGATGCCGGCCCCCGCCCGCTTCTCCGGGAGGCATGAGGGGCTCCTTCCACCCACGCACCATGGGGGACAAAGGCAGGACAGGTGCCTTGTCCCGGCTGGCCTCTCCTGACCGGCCTGCAACACAGAGCCGGAGAGAGACGGCTCCTGCCCCCTCTCCGCAGCCAGGTGCAGCCTGGACGTGGCTCCCAGCTGCTGGCCGCAGCCTCAGCTCTAGCACTAACATGTCCCTCTCTCCACCTGGCCCCTGTGGCCTGTGCTGAGACAGCCTTTCCCTGTCCCCAGTCCCTAAGCCCAGCCATCTGGACTGAGCCAGACCTGGATCAGCATCTGCTAGGGCTGCTCCCTCCTGGAGGGCGGGGTGCGACGTGTCGGCTGGGCTCAGAGGAAGGGGAGGCGAGGGAGCCCGGGGAGGACCACAGAGGAGCCCGCTCCGGTTAACCCTTCCTGTCACTGCCCATTTTGAACTTCAGCGCGTCCCCAGGCCAGGAGACCCCAGCCCAGCCCACGCCCCTGCCTGGGAAAACCGGAGGCCCCCCGTGTGGGGCGGGGGACCTGCCTCTCCGCCAGGGGGTGGGGCCTGGCTGGCCCGGGACCCTCGGTGGGGTCCGCCTGTCCCCGGCCCCAGCCGCCTGGCCCAGGTTCAGGCCCTCCGCCCTTCTTGGCGGGCAGCCTCCTTCAGGCTTGTCTGTTCCAGGTCAGGGGCAGGGAGGGCCCCCCCAAAGGCCCCTCCGCTCCTCGTCCCCCGTCCAGCCTTGCACAAAAGCAGCCCCACGCCCCCCCACAGCCCACAGCCCACAAGTCGCTCTCCCCGCGGGACCTTGCCTGTCCCTTTCATGTCCCCGCTGCGGGGGGACCTCCCCTTCTACCGTGCAGACAGCTGCTTGTCAGCCGGCCCCTCAAGCATGGCTGTGGTCCGGCCTGCTGGCCCCCCCTCCAGGGGGGGCGAGGGGGCACTTCAAGGGGGAAAGGACAGCTTTGCCACCTTCCCTGAATCCTGAATGGGGCCTCAGCCAGGCCCGAAGCGCCAGGCCAGCCACACCATTGTGCTAACTCCCCTTCCAGAACAGGTTGGGCCCACCCCCAGGCCCCTCCCGGCCAGGCTGGGGGCTTTCTTCTTGCTCTCCCTGGACGTGTGAAGCAAAAGGCCTGGAACGGGGGCTTGAGCAAGAGGGGGAAGGAAAAGGGGGGTGTCTCCCTCTCTCTCTCTCCCACCCCCCCACTGCTTCAAAGGCAGCCCCTTTCCCTCTCCCAGAGAAAAGGCATTTACCTTCAAAAAAAGTCCCCACTGGATATGAAGAGAAGCGGCCTCTGGCCTGGGAAAGCCAAGCGCTCTCCCCAGCGCGGTTCTGGACCAGTGCATTTTAATAGCTGCACTTTTATGGAGGATCACAAAAAGGGACCAAGCCCAGGGCCGGGGCTGTGCTGGGGCCGGGGGGAGGTGGGCATGGGGGGGCAGCCTCGGGTGGGGGGAGCGTGGAGAAGCAAACCCTGAGTCCTGTCTCCAGCAGCCTCTTTGGGCTTGACCTCCTAGCCTGTAGGTAAGGAGTCACCCGCCCCGGCGGGGCCGTCCGACGGCCTGCCCTGCGTGACGCCCGCAGGATGGCGCCCCACAGCACATCCATGTTGGCGGAAGGGGGGGTCATGAGAGGGGCACACAGGTGATTTTACAGAGAGACTTGTCCTTTCAGGTACAAGCCTCACCGGAGCCCTCACCGCCACCCTCTTCCAGCCGCTCTGGCCTCCGTCCCTCGCGTCTGTGCCGGCCCGTGCACTCAGCCTCTGGGCGACGCGGTGTGGAGGGACAGAGAGAGAGGCGGCGACCCCAGGGAGGAGGGAGCGTCATGGGAGGGAGCACAGGTGGAAGCCTGCCTCAGTCCCCCGCCTGCCACAGCCCCCTCTCCTACCCCCTCCAAAGGCCGAGCCCCTCACACAGCAGAGAGCGGCCAGAGCCTGCCTCTGTGCTGCGAAAGGAGACTGCCCCCTGCCCCTTTGGGTGGGGTGGGGGAGCGGGGAGAAGCTGGCGGGGGCAGGGCGCCTACCTGAGTTTGACAGCAGAGAATGAGTAGCTGCAGACACCTGTGTGGGGACGCGAGGCAGAGCCAGGTGTGGGTGTCAGCAGCCAGCCCAGGGCGCCCCCGCCCACACCCCCTCCTCGCCCGCCAGTCCCCGGGGGAGTCCCGCTAAGACTAGGGCTGCCCGAGGCTGCACTCGGCAGCAGAACTGCAGCGGGAGAGGCCGCGCACTTACAGAGCGAAGTTGGGCAGCAGGCGGGCGGCTTCCATCGCCGGAGAGGTTTCTTGGGGCTGTTGCCCCCCTGCCCCCAAACTCAGGAGAAGATGTGGGCAGTCCCCGGGGGCAGAGTCCCAGAGGAGCCAAGGTCTCTTCAAGCCACAGGTTTTCAGGGGGGGAGAGGAGGAGAGAGGGGGCGGAGGAGGGGAGAGAAGCGCGGGGAGGAGGAGATGGAGGCGGGGGAGGAGGGCGCAATGGGGAGACTGAGGTGTGAGGTGTCCACCTTCCCAGCCAGAGAGACTGCAAAGCTGCCACCGGCGGGGCTGCCAGCCTCTCCTGGGCTCCAGGCGCAGAGGATGGCGCTGCTGGGGCCTCCCCGACAGGAGGCTGGCCCTGTGGTCCCCGGTTACCCAGACCCTCACAGGCCCGACGGCTGTGCCCTCCTCCCCTCCCGGCCGGCTGCTCTTGCCCTCGGGTTTGGCGCCCCACTCCCCGAGGGTGAGCAGCAGGTATCAATCTGGGGTCGCCGGGTCTGGCTGGGGACGGAAATTCCCAGAAGCAGCCTTAAAAGGAGGAGCCTCCCTGCAGGGGGCAGGAGGTGGGCTTGGCCGGGAGCAGCGCTTCCACTGCCTCTGTGCCCCCTAGAGTCCCCGTCCGCGCTCTGGCCACCGGGGAGGAGGGGTTAGGGCTGTCCCGACTGGCAGCAAATAGCGGGTGCCACAGCTCGGGGCCCGGGGTGAGGAGGAAGGGGCGGCTGGGGCTGTGGAGGTCCCCCATGGAGCCCCAAAAGCCGGCCTGAGGCGGGGTCAGAGGAGCCGGCTGCGCGGGGCCTGGGCAGTCTCCTCTGAGGGACGGGCAGGGGTGCCCGGGATGCTGGAGGACCCCAAGAGGCAGCCTGCCGTCCTTCGCGGATGGCAAGAGGGCTATGTTCTGGGCCTCGCCCGCCGTCCTGGGGCCTCTGAGGACCCCCTCCCCACGCCCCCTCGAAGCTGCGGTGGGGAGGAAGGGCCCACCAGCCTCTTCACGTGAGCTCTGGCCCCCCACCGCTCTGTCCCAGGCCAGAACACGGAGCGCATCTGCCACCCCACGCCGCACAGGAGGAAACCCGGGCGCACTGGCAGGCAGTAAGCTCAGGTCGGCCCAGCTGGCGAGTGAGGGCCAGGGCCGGGTCTCCGGGGTCGAGCTCCTCCCTTTCTGCGCGGGTTGTGTCTGGAGCCTTTCTGCTGTGTCCACACCCTCAGGGCCCAGCACAGCCCAGGGAGCCCAGTAGCTGAGGTCTGGGAACCTGTCCCTTCCCTACACAGGGTGGGGGATAGTGACCTCTGAAGGGGGCTGGTCCTGGGAGACCTCTGAGGGAAACCCCTCCTTTGCTCTGGGAGCTCACACCTCAGCTCGGCTCTCCCAGGGGGGCGGTGGGGGCGGGGGGGGGCCAGTCTCTATGCCCCCAGGAAAAGAAGAGAAGGGGAAATGCTGACTGTGGATTTATTTACCTACAGAGATGAGTGGGAGGGCACAGCTCTCACCTCCAGGCCTGTTTCTCGCCTCCCTAAGCTAGATCAATCCACAAAGGCGTCTGCCATCCTCCCCGCCCCCCCGCAGACACCTCTGCCCCTCCTGCCTGCCGCACCTGGCTCCCGCCCCTGGGCTCCTCGGGCCACCCACGGGGGCGGGGCCCGGGGAGCCCTGGGCTGGCCTGGGCCGGGCGGTGTGGGCCCCTAGCCCTGCATAGTGGGGGAGTCCAGGGTTGGAATCAAATGGAAAGAACCTCAGCACTAGAGAGGATTTCGTCACCCATGGATGAGGGTCTCACAGCTAGTTAGTGGCACGGCCGGGACTAGGTACCGGTGCCCAGACTCCCAGCCCAGGGCTGGCTCCTCTCAGAACACACCCTGCCTGCCTGCCCCCCCGCCACCCCACAGCTCTGCTTTGCGGAGGTCCAGCCTCCTGGGCATCGCCCTCAACCACAGCCCTCCCTGTACTGGGACGCTGCCTCTTCCACAGACAGCCCCCCGCCACAACCCGCCAGGGGACTGCCCTGCTGCGCTCAGCGCTGGCCCTGCTCCCTGACCTGAAGCCCACACCCAGCAGCCCCGAGCGCCCAGGTAGGGCAGGGAAGGCTGACTCCTGCTGGGGTCAGAGGTGAGAGCTGAGGTGCCGGGAGGAGGCGGCTCAGGCTCGGGCTTTGGGTGGAGCTGCGGGGGGTGGGGACAGAGGTGCGCCGAGGAGAGGCAGGGTGGGGCCTCCCGCCTGGGCCCAAGGCCTCTGAGCCTGAGTCCCGTTGGTGGGGAAGGGCCTGCAGTGGCTGGCCAGCCCCCAGCCCAGGCTGGGTCCCCGTGGGAACAGGTGCCAGCAGCCGAGCCTGGCTGTGGGGTGCAGCCAGGGGACCGGTGCCCAGGGGCTCTGGGGCAGGAGCGGCATCTTCTTTCTGCTCCTTGTCCTTTAATGTTTCACACCTACAGGCCTGGCCTCGGGCCGGGCTTGCTCCTTTAGCCCCTAGAAAGGCCAGCGTTGGCCCCACGTGGGGAAGCGGTGTGGAGGGTTCCGGGCCTGGCCTCTGTCCCCATGCCCTGGGCCCAGCCGTGACAGGCTGTGTAACCTGTGGCAAGTCCTTTCACTCCTCTGGTCTCAGCTTCCCAATGCAGAAAAAAGAAACGACTACTGTTGAAAATGTCAAAACTGCCATGGTGTCAACCAAGATGAAGGACACTCCCTGGAAAGTATCACATATCCCCACGAGAATGGGGGGCAGGGGGGTGGAGACCAGCCTTAGTTTACCTGCACTTTGACATTCTTTCCTGACCAGAGGGAGCTGGGAGGAGGGGAGAAGGGTAGGGCTTATTAACATCTATGGGAGTGATGGTGGCAGCGAGGGATAAGGGAAGCGAGAAGTAGTCCCCGCTGCGTGGTGGTTAATCTGTACCCCCTAGTGACAAGTCCGATGCCCCCAGCTGGGGTGTCTCACGCCTGCTCCTCCTGAAAGCCCAGCTGCGGCAGACCCAGCCCATAGAGCCCACCTGCAGACCTGCCACTTGTCACCACCTGCTTTGATCCCAGCCCACCTTTTCCCCGTTGAGATGCAGAAGAGCTAGGGCTGTGGGAGGGGGAAGGGTAAAGGGCCCCTCAGGTAGAGTCCCATCTTTGCTCTGTGACCCCTGCTGGCTGGCTGCCAGCACAGGGAAATCAAATTAGCAGCCGAGTGGCTATCGCGGGCAGGCCCTGGAGCTGGGGCGCCTGCCGGGGCTGGCCAAGGGAAGCAGTGCCTGCTGGACAGGGCCGTGCTGTGACCAGGCTCTGGGGCCGCCCCTCCCAGGGCTCCGGGGACACAGGGTCTCTGGGCCCAGTTCTAACGGCTGCTGTCAGTGTGTGAGGCTTTCCAGCACCCGGTGCTGCCTGCCTGTCTGTCCCTCCCTGTCCTCCACACAGCGGTTAAAAACAAGGGCTCCATGGCCGGACTACCGGGGAGTGAGTCCCGGCTTCTCCACCAGCTGTGCGACCTTGGGGGCAAGTGGTTTAACCTCACTGTCCACACCTAGGGGCCAGGGCTGTAACGCCCCCCGCCCCAGGCCTGGCTGTGAGGAGTAAAGGAGAGGGCCTCTGCGCGGCTGCGCGCCCAGTCCCGGTGCCAGCACTGAGCACACCGGCCTCCCAGCCCGAGCCTCCAGCCTCGTTCTGCCTCAGGCCCTCCCTTTGTTCTCCCTGTTCCTGCTGCCAGCTCCCCCCGTGGCTGCTTCCTCTCAGAAACCATCTCAGATCTTACTAAACAGCACTCCACCCCTGGACATTGGCCCGTTTTACTTCCTCCAAATCACTCAAAAGCTACTGAAATTTTGTGGTTGGCTGTTGTGTGTCCACCGGGCTGTCGGCGACCTGAAGGTGAGGGATTGTCTTGTCCACCTGCCGTCACTGCAGCAGGAAGCCACGGCGAGCGCCAGCCGCCTCCCTGGGGCCCGACCCGAACTGCTGTGCCTTTCCTCGGCCCGGTCAGCCAGAGGTCAGCGGCCCTGTCCTCACGTGTCAGAGGGAGGACAGCGCTCGCTTCATCCTGTGGGGTGTAGACAGCGAGCAGCAGGAACGCCGGCTCTGGAGGACGGAGCTGGGTGGGAGACCCAAGCCTGATGCCCACCTTCTGTGCAGGTGTCCCAAGCCCTCCTTCTGGGACCCAGAACCGAGCTCCTGGGAGAGAGGCCAGGGCCAGCTCCCCATCAGCCCACGCAGGCCTGGCTGGCGGAGGTGCTGGGAGGGAACAAGCCTGACCTGCGTTGGGGTCCCCTGTGCTGCCCGGGTAGAACCGGCTCCAGAGGGGCTCTGCAGGCCTGGCAGAGGGCCGGGCCTTCGCCCCCTTCCAGTGGTCTCGTGGCCCATCCCCACCGTGTCTTGAGCCGGGCTGGGCGGCTTTGGGAGCTGCCTGGGGGCCCTAGCCCAGGGGTTGGAAGTGTCCACCAGCCTCCCTGGCCAGGGTGGCTCAGCTCTTTGGAGCGTGTTCCAAAGGCTGAAAGGTCAAAGGTTCAATTCCTGGTCTGGGCACACATAACCTGGGCTGTGAGTTCCGTCCTTGGCCGGGGCATACCCATCGATGTTTCTCTGTCACATCTTTCTCTCCCTCCCTCTCCCTCTCTAGAAGCAATGAAAAAAATGTCCTCAGGTGAGGCTGACCCAGACGCAGGATTCGCCTGCGCCCCGGGGTCCCAGTGGATGCGTACCCTCAGGCTGGCCCCATGGGGTCCAGGCCCTTCAGTTCTGTACCCAAAAAAAAGGCCCCGTAGGGAGGGAGTGTAGATGCAGGAAGACCCACAGCAGCTCTAGCTCCCTCCCGTCACCTAGGGCAGAAGGTGGGAGCTGGGTAAGGGGCTGGGACACGTGGTTCTTCCCCTGAAGATGGGCCGTGGGGTTGCCAGGAGAAGAGACGGAGATGACAGAGCCCGCAGGCAGGGCCTGGCCCCCAGGTCGGCGCGCTGGCACGCGGCCGCCCTCTGCTGGGCATGAGGGCTCACTGCAGCCGGCAACCAGTGATGCAGAGGTGAGAGCAAGGTCCTGGCAAAGCAAACTTTATTGAGTCTCCGAGGTTGGGGCTCTTCCTTCCAGGTCCTGCTCAATCCGGAGAGTTGGGGTAGGGGGCTCTTGTGTTGCCCCCCAATACCTCCATCACATTCAGCCTCAGAGGGAGGGCCCCAGGGAGGGTGTGCCTGGGTCCATGGTGTCCGCCACGGAGGCCGACTCTGCTTGGTGGCCTCACAGGCCCTCCCGCGATCACGGTGGCCAGGCCGCTCCTGGCTCCTCATTTCTTGTACATTGGCTTTTTGGCTCTGGGTGTGGCTTTGGCCTATAGAGAGAAGGGAGGGCTCCAGGCCCCACCACCTTCCCAGAGGCCACACCCGCCCAGGGCCAGCCCGCCCCCACCTCCTCTGTGAACCCACCTTCCTCGCAGGGCTCTTGTCTTTCAGGCTGGGCCTGGAACAGGGTGGGAGGGGGGCGAGGCATGGGGAGGAGGGCAAGAGAGAGAGCTCAGCCTGGGGCCGCAGCCGAGCCCAGGCCCCTCCGCGGGGCCCTGGGGCGGGGAGGCTACAGCATTCACACCTGCACCTGCCGCCTGCCAGGGCCCACTCGGGCTGTCTAGCTTCTGAAATAAGATGTCTTTTCTTAGGCTTCTGCCTGCTTTCTTTTGTTTACTTTTATAATGAAAAGGAAAACACTGGTGGTAACGTTCCTCACATTGCACAAAACAGCAAATAAAAAGCAGGATAAATTCCTTGTTATTTACCTCCCACTAATATTAACATTTTGGTATATTTCCTCTCAGTACCTTTGTTTTCTTCTAACAACATGTGAAATAAAATGAAAACGATTTAATATCCTGTTATTTTTAATTCCATGAACCTTTCCAGGTTGCTCTCTTCTTCATGCACCTATGTGACATTCATGGAGAAAATGCGACCTAGTTTAACCTACTGTCCCACTGGTAGTCATTTAGAATATTTTCTATTCTATTTGCAATGCAGTGATGAGTCTCTTAGTGCATAGAAATCTCCCATCTTTTGGACAGACTCCTCGGAAAGGAACTGCCACAAGTCAAGTCAGGTCAGGAGGTAAGCTTAGTGCTTTTCAAAAAGGTTGAGCCATACTACCGTGGCAGCACCCCGAGTGCTCTTGTATGCACACACGTGCACCTGCATGCACACGCCAGGCACACCATAGTCTTTCTAGCACTGCACACCTTCACCCAAAGAGTTTGGCCAAGTCAAGAGATGGAAAGAATTACCTCATCGCCTCCTCTTCTTTTTCCACCTTCTTTTTCTGGGAACCAAACACAGGCGCCCCTGGGGCGGTTATGGGGAGGGCCTGCGCAGCCCCGCTTTGCTGTGCAGGGCTCCGCCTCCCGCACGCTCCGCCGGAGGCTGCTGGTGTCTGAAGAGCCGCGGCAGGGTCCCCTCCCTCACCTTGGTAACGCTGGTCAGCTTCTGGGGCACCAGCCTCTTGCCTGGTTTGACAGGGGTCTCCTCTAGGGACAAATCCACATCGTCATCCTCATCATCGTCGTCATCTTCATCATCTTCCTCCTCTGGCTGTTGCTCCTCTTCCTCCTCCTCTTCCTCCTCCTCCTCTAAGGAGAAGTCTGCGTCGTCTGCAGTGCAGGGGAGAGGGGCAGGGCCTCTGAGCACAGGGTCTCAGCCTGGCTCCCGCCCCTTGGTCCAGCTTGAGGCGTCCTGGGGGTCCCAGCACAGAGGTGGAAGTGTCCATCTGTCCACTGGCCAGCCGCTCCTGGCCTCCCTGACAAAGTGGGGGTGGGGCTGGGTGAGACATGGGGGCAGCCCAGAGGGTGGAGGGGGTGGAAGGAGGCGGGGAAGGGCGAGCGGGGCTCAGGCCAGGTGGGGAGGAGCCTGCGGGGGAGGAGGAGGAGGTGGAGAGGAACCAGAGCGGCAGCTAAGGACGTCGGGCCTTGTCCAGAGGGAAGTGGCCTCTGCTAGGATTTGGGGGCAGGAGGGCACTCTGATGAAAGAGGCACAACTGGACAGAGAAGAGGGCAAGTTAAAGGGATAGTAAGAGAGTCAGTAGCCTTGCAACTTGCTAGGGCCCCTGTAGACGCCACAGCTCCGTCCTTCACTTGAGGTTAACGCCATCCGGGCTAGTACTGGGCGCTGTGCTCACTGCTTTCCCTGAACATCCCATTGATTCCTCACAACTGCTCTTTGATGTGAAACCAGGTATAGCCCTACCTTCCCGTTACAGGGGAGGGGGCGGCGGCTCCCAGGGGACGGCGCAGGGAGGTGAAGGGGAACTGGAGGGGGACCCGCGCCTGTTGCCCTCCAGCCTGGGCTACTGGCAACGGTGGGTGTTTGTTGCCTTTGGGAATTTTCTCTAACCCTTCAAGAATCCCTCAAGGGTTTGAGTATTTATTATGCCCCTGGCCCGCGCCAGGCACTGCACTCTCAGACCTCGCGCGGGTCCGGGCTCGGACTTACCGTAACATTCCTGGCCACTGAGGAACACAGGCCCAGAGCCAGCCCGGAGCTGAAAGGTGACTGGAGGAGAAAGCTCCAGGCCCATCGTGACCTGCAGGGGAGGGGCGTGGGGGCAAGAGCAGAGGAGAGGAGTGGCCAGGGCTGCCGCCTGGCGGGGAGCTGGCCTCCTGCAGAGGCACTCACAGCTCATTCCCCACACCCCGACCTCGCCCCCTCCGAGGGCCCTCTGGCCTCGCCTGCTCCCAGGCCCCTAGGCCTTTCTGCTGAGGGGGGCTCTGCCCGGGGGGGGCGGCGGCGGCTCTGACGAGGGGGGCTGTCAGAGAAGATGCGGACCTGGTCATCTCATTCTTGCTAAGATCGCAGACGGGCTTCCCCCAGGCGCATCTGCTAAATAGTGGAATCTTACTGCTCTAGATTAAACGGTGTCTCCCAAATCCTGAGGTTGAAGCCCTGACCTCTGGTGCAGCTGGAGAGGAGGCCTTTGGGAGGTGGTTAGGGTCACACAAGGTCATGGGAGTCATGATGGGATTAGACTGGATGAGAGGTGAGACTGGAGAGCCGGTCCCCACTCCGTGAGGACACAGAGACCGCGTCGTTTACAAGCCAGGAAGCCGGCTCTCACCGAGACCTGCCTGTGCCCGCACGCGGACCTCAGGCGGACTACCACCTGGATCCAACGACACAGGCAGACGCAAACCTGGACATACAGTGCGACTTCTGTCTTACGAGTAATGTGGGAATATGCTTATGCATAAGGGTTGGAAATATATTAAAGTGCTAACCATAATCTTCAATGGCTAGTGTAGTACTTATTCTCTTTATATTTTTCCAGATAGTCTGAAGTTTCTGGAGTAACAATGATGACACTCACATTTATTGAGTTCCTACCACGTGCCGGGCCCCACGCCAGGTGTTTTACCTGCTTCACCTCCTCTAACTCCTCACCCACGAAGGAGGTGCTATTACTTTACAGAGGAGGACACAGGGGCTCAGAGAGATTCACTTCGAGTTTCTGGTTCAGACAGGGAGCAAGCAAGCGAAAACAAACTGCCGCCACAGACCCCGGGTGAAGCTGGATAAAATGTAATGCAATGTTTTCTCCACATGGCTGAGCAGGGAGAGAGAAAGGAGAGCCCCATGCGTGGAGGAAGCCTGGGCTAGCGCCGCTCCTGTAGCTGCCGCAGGGAAATGCACTTGACACTAACACGCCCACAGGCGACAGGAGACAGACCTCGGCTCAGGATGGCAGAGCTGCCGGGAGCCCACTGCACGGGGCCAGGACCCTCCAAGGGCTGCGCCTCAGTGAGAAGCCCCAGGGTGAGGCTCGGGGAGAGGGGGCTAAGGAGCCCCAAAACAACAACTGGAAACCACACACCACTAGGAAAAGTGGGGGGCTGACAAGTGCAGTTGGCAGTCACAGAACAGTCACGGGGATGTAAAGTACAGCATAGAGAAGACAGTCAATAATATTGTACTAACTATGCATGGGGCCAGGCGGGTACTTTGTAAAGTGTATGACTGTCTAGCTATGATGCTGTACACCTGAAAGAAACACAAAATAATATTAAATGTCAACTATAATTGAAAAACAAAACTTAAGTTTAAAAAAAGGTGGTGGCTTGGCCCATTTTGGAGAATTATTCAATTTTCCTGGGTCTCTCCCAGGTATACAGGAGGTGCACGTTATTAAACTTCTGTTTAGAAAAGAAAAAGAAAACTACACAGAAATGTAACAAGGACATGGGAGTGGGACAGAGGTCTCCTGTGACCTGCCACTTGCACGAAGCCTGCGTTGGCCGGGTGGGGACAGCCATGATGAGGAATCCAGATAAAATCCCAGCTTGTGATGCTCCTGCGGCAGATGGCGGACGCAAACCCAAAACCACTCTCCGTTCTTTTCGCACAGAATTCTTTTACAGGAAACAAGACCCCGAAGACAATTCACCATCTAAAATCACTAAATGTACAGCAAACAAGGTTACAGTCAGCAGAAGGCAACAAAATGACTGCTTCACGCAAAATTGGATGCAGATTCGTTGCTCTACTTGCTCAGTCATTTTGAATGTGACGGCCACACAGTGCACGTGCTCACTCAACAGCGTCTACCACCTCCGCTGACTAGTACAGTGAAGTCGTCACTGTTCGCACATGCACAATCCAGTCCACTCTCCTTGGCTGCCAGGTTGCATCAATGTTGCACAAACTGTTCTCATTATATTAACAATGGCTGGACTTTTTCCTGGACAGACCTCATATAAGCATTGAAACAAACTGAACAAATGGTTAAAAAGCAGAGTGAGCCCACTGAAGCGATAATCCATCAACTGGAACACTGCTGTGAGGAAATTACCCAGAGTGCACCACAGGAAGGCCGATTAACAAAACATGAAGGAGAAACTGAGCTGTGAAGGCCAGGACGAGAGGTCCCAACACGCATCTCCTCAGAGTAGGGGGCTGCAGAGAATGGGGTCGGTATGCAAAGTGAAAACCACCAAGGGTTTCCAGAAATGAACCAAGCTACAGACCCTCATGTCCAGGAGACCGAAACCCAGAACACACAAAACATGATACTAATTCTGCATTTGAACATGCCAAGGTGAAATGGTAGATCCTAAAAACAAAGATTTTCTTAAGATGAACCAGAGAGGAAAGACAGATGTCCAAAAAAAGGCACAAGAACCAGACTGAGGATTTTAACATCAAAAGCAGAACATAATAACATCTCCAAATTTTCGAGGGGAACTACCTCTCCACCTAGAGTTATACAGAAACAGTTTATCATGAAGGGATGAGGGAAAAATAGAGATGTTTCCATGCAAAGCCCAAGAAAGGTCACTACTCCCAGGCACATTAAAGGGTGTGTCAAGAGGATGGCAATTAAATTGAGAAGGAAGAAGTGGATGGAAGAAGCAGTGGTGAGCGAGCAAATTGGTAAACAAAGAAAAACCTTAAGCGTTACCATAAAATAAGATAGCACTGGTAATGACTAGTGTTGAATGGGTTTAAACCAAGTGGAAGCTAAAACACTACATGAGAACAACATGTAAGTGAAGAAGAGGGTAGTTAGAAAAGCTCCCTGGATAGTTTGGGAGCAATAAAAACATTAATTTTGGGCTTTAATCATGCATGATTGTTAAAAAATCAAGGACAACCAATAAAAATTCGAGTGAGGTTCTATAGCTTCCAAATAAATAGAAAAAGGCAGGGGCGGGGAGTGGGAGGTGAGAAACTGTAGTCAATCTGACAAAGATAGAAAAAGAAAAAACAATAAAAAATAAAAACATAAAAGAGCAAGGAAAGTAGGAGCACAAAGTACATTTTACAAATAAATCCAAGCATATTAGTAAGCAAAATAAATATAAACAGCCTAGAGTGGTCAGACAGATTAAAGTGAAGTTTAACTACATCCTGCCTATAAGATAAACATAAGGTCAGAAATACTGAAGAGATGGAAGCATACATCCAGATGTGGTGGAGACTTCCAGTTGCCTGTCCAACATCCATTCTTCTCTTCTTCCATAAAAACAGCGTCCTGATATTATTCAAATATTGTACCCAGCCAAAGACTGCATTCCCCAGTCTCTTCTGCAGTTACCAATGACCATGTTACTAATTTCTGGACCAATGCGTGGTTAGCAGAACTTAGTGGGTGGTCCTTGTGCAATGACTCCTTAAAAGGTGGACAGAGAACGGAGAAAAGCCCCTTTGGTCTTCCCTCGCCTCTTCTTTCCTCTAACCGTAAATGCAGAAATGAGGGCTGGAGCTGTGGCAGCCTTCCTGGCCTGTGGGGTCATCCTGAGGCTGGAAGCTCTGCACTAAGGATAGGAGAGAGAGAAGAGGAGACTGGCCTTTGGTGGCCATGGAACCATCTCGCCAGCCCTAGACTGCCCATCTCTGGCCTTCTAAGCAGCACAGAAATAAGTTTCAAAGTTGTTGACACCGCTGGGCTGGTTCTCCGTTACTGCAGCCCAATCCAATGAAAAGACAAAGGAGGTAGTCGTACCGCCTGGTGCGTGATGTGGATGAAAGGGGAGCCTCTCCCCTTTCATCTATATGTGTCGGGGTGGGCAATACATGAGAAACCTCTGTTCCTCCCTCTCAGTTTTATTACAATCCTAAAACTGTTCTGAAATTTTTTAAAAAGTTCTTAAAAAATGAGCTAGTTGTATTTGTTAGCATTAGGTTTGGTACCAAGTGACAGAAAACTCAGCAATAGCAGCTTACACAGCAGGAAGAAGCTGTGACTTTGCCAAATAAACTGAGTCCAGGCGGGGGCAGCCGCCGGCACGCTGCCCGCCCTCACCAGGGAGCCAGGCTCTGTGCGCTGTGTAGCTGCCCATCTGCAGAGCGCGCCTCCTGCCTGCAGGCCGGGGGCAGCTCAGATTCCAGCCGTCCAGCCACATTCCAGCCAGCAGGAAACAGAAGGCACAAGAGACGGTCACACTGCAGATGGAGCAGTGACCACCTCTGCTTGCATTCCACTGACCAGAGCTCCCTGGTCATGGCTAACGGAGAAGGAACACAGTTTTTGCGCGCAGCAGCCAGTGGCTAGCTGCAAGTCGTGAATTCCACCACTAAAGAATAAAGGAATGACGGACACCAAGGGACAACTGAGAACAAATTAATTCAATAAGCATTTTAGGAATAAAGATGGCTGCCACATATTGACTGAAAAAATCAGTTTACAAGGAAGATAATTCTGTAAGTTATATGCACCAACAACAGTGTAAGTATACATAAAACTATAGCGACAATAATCAAGATAGTGTGGTGTTAGGGGGATACCCACAGATCAGTGGAAGACCTAGAAATAGACCCGCACAAATATGTGCAAAGGTGCAAAAATCGGTTAAGTGAAGGAAGCTTTTCCAACAAATGGTGCTCGAGCAATTAGATGTCCATAGGTAACAAAACCAGCCTTGACCTAAACCTCGCAGCTCATACAGCAGTGAACTCAAGATGGATCATGGACTTGAATGTAAAACATAAAACTGTGAGACTTCCAGACAAAAGAAATAGACTATCTTCATGATCTCAGACTAGGTAAAGTGGGACTCATCAAAATGAAAAACTTTTGTTCTATAAAAGCTC